TAATTACACCATGCTCCTGTTCTCCTATCCTGTTGTTCTATGGTTATGTTATGATTATTTTCAGGACTCCTGGTGGAGTATATAAGAAAATTTCCGATTGTTATGATATTCATATGGTTGCATATATCACATTAATATACAGAGTATATTATATTCAATAATTACGAATATCCAGTGAATCAAGATTAAAAATAAGGGACTTTTTTCTTTTGGTAGAGTTTTTATTTTTTTCTCTTCCTTGACATTTTTCTTCTTTTTTAAAAAAATTTTCTTAGATTATTTTTTTTCTCATTTGGCCTTTCTGTTTTCTTTTAAAGTAATCTTTTTTCGGCTCTTTTTGTCCCAACAAAATAAACTAGATTAGAAATTTTTTACATATTTATCATATCTGGATTTAAAAGTATTTAACGTTGGTGCAGTTTTTATATCACAGGGTAAATCATTCCATGGAGAAACAACTCTTTGGCTAAAAAAATGTTTACGAATATCGGTTCTACAAAATTTGGCACTAAGTGAAATAGGATTTTCTGACATTCTTTTAATCCTATTGGATGTATCTGCTAACATTGAAAACCAAGTACATTTATTAACATTATTAACACCATGAATAATATTATTGATGATATAAGATCTCTTTAATTTCAAAAGTATTTTACGCGAGAAAATAAATTGTTTTGATTGTTTTTAACATTTAATTCGTCATTTTAAAATAGTTTTCCTTTAATTGAACTTGTTTTATTCCCAGGTGATGGAACTGTTACTCTCCAGCCAGGTGAAGGGCGAGGAACTAGCCGAGGATGATCCCCAGATGTCCTACATGATCTCAGCCTGGGCTAGAATATGTAAAATCCTCGGAGCCAGGTTTGCTCCCTATCTACCCCTGGTCATGGGACCGGTGATGAAGACGGCGAGCTTGAAGCCGGAGGTTGCTATGCTGGACAACGATGAGTTGAACGGCGTGGAGGAGGAGACCGAGGACTGGCAGTTTGTCCAGCTGGGGGAGCAGCAGAACTTTGGGATTAAAACTGCAGGATTAGAGGACAAAGCTACAGCCTGCCAGATGTTGGTCTGTTACGCCAGGTAATCTTTCTTCCAATAAACAGGTCTGATATATGTGAGTTGGTCTCTTTCAACACCATAAACTAGACTAGATTTACTTTAATTTGACGTGGGTAAAGGTTTCATTTCCATTCAAGTTTATTCAAGTTTATTAAGAAACCTTTTGCCTGGGCTTCTACAATCTTTGTATCTTCGCAACAATTTTATTCTTTTTTTTGAGTTTGTCCTGGCGTAATAAAACAGAAACTACAAAACTTATGTTTAGAGAGTTGAAGGAACACTTCTCCGACTATACAGAGCAGGTTGTAAAGCTGATGGTTCCCATGCTGAAGTTCTATTTCCATGACGGGGTTAGAACTGCAGCAGCAGAATCTCTTCCCTTCCTTCTTGAATGTGCTAAGATCAAGGGTCCTGCCTATCTCCAGGAGATGTGGGGCTTCATGCTTCCAGAACTTCTCAAGGTATGTTTTTTTTATGATTGTTATTAACTCCGCAGCTTCAGGGGTGTATATTAGGTCTGACACTCATTCCCCCCCCCATATTTAATTTTCAAATAATTTTTATCCCACTTACGCAATTGAAAAATATACACCCCCGGACAGGTTTTGATGCTTTCTAAGGGTACTTCAAAAAGTTACTTCCCCCCTTATCTTAATTTAAAGTTTAAGCGTTTTTGCTAGAAAAGCCACCTTTTTAATTACATTGTATTGTAGGCCGTTTTTCTCGGGCAGAGAAATGCTTAACTAGAAATCATCCCCCATTACTGAACCAAATCGCCCCACTGTCTTCTACATAATCCTATTCTAGGCTACAGAAGCTGAACCTGAGAATGATGTGTTGGCTGAGCTGCTGGCGAGCCTGGCTAGATGTATTGAACTACTTGGCAAGGATTGTCTAGGAGTCACAGGATTAGAGGTTAGCTTCTCACACCATACAAACACAGTTATCTACAGATTAAACAATGAAATATTAAAGGGATTTTCGACGTATTTTCTTTTTATCTTAGTCTATCAGAAGTACAAAATATCTTTTATTTTCCATCTTAAAACGCATTATTTTCTATTGTGGTTGCACAATAGGAGTTACTTGGGTTACTCTAAGAAGGAGGAAATTGGCAGATAGCAATAAGATTGTAGAGTGTAAAACGACAAAAGCTTCTTGATTGCTGTCCGGATAAAGGCTGAGAAGGTACCGTTGTGTATCAGGCATGTAAACTTTACAATGAATGGTCCCTTGAAGTTACGTCTACAATCCCATCAGTTTAAACAAAAGTAATTCAACTTAAAGATTTTTGATAAACTGGGGAAAAATGGAAAAATTGAACATCAAAAGCCAAGTTTTTTTCATTCTATTTTGATACTTTCTCCCCAAATCCATTTATTCCTCTCTAAAAATAATTTTTTCCCCCCAATCTAGCGAACTTCTGGGGGAAATTTTTATTCTAAAAAAACATCCCTGTCTATTTGACAAATATAGCTATATCCATATTAGAGCTAATCACTTGTCAAACAAGATGATGAATGCTAATAAAAATTATCCTCTGGACGGTTTGTTAGATGAGATTGTATCAAGAATATTTATCCAGGAAACTGTTGTTCTTCTCGACAAAACTATGACAGAGCATTTCCGTCGCGAGGAGGAGAGAGCTGGTAAACGGGCAGGAGGCGAGGAGGACTATGACGAGGGAGTAGAGGAACAACTAGAGGACGAGGATGACGAGGATGTATATATCCTAAGCAAGGTTGGAGACGTGATTCATGCTATGTTTGTTACACACGGAGAGGGATTCCTCCCGGCCTTTGAACGTCTTCTCCCTCTGTTCAGTCGGCTTCTTGAACCTACACGACCCTGGTCTGATCTACAGTGGGGACTTTGTATATTTGATGATCTTATAGAATATACAGGTGAAGTTTCAGTTCACTATTATCTAGCGGCCTAAAAATACCTCGTTAATAAAAAGATTTCCAATCCTTCAATTTTTTTGTTGATCGTATTGTTATTGAATTTGTAATTACATCGCTCAAATTTAGTTTTGTCTTGGAACCTTTTAGAACAAAGTTGTGGCATTGGACAAAGTCTTAGTAAAAAAAACATCGAGGACTTCAATCCCAATCGGTAAATTCCATATTTGTTATATTTTTTTTTTGTGTAGGTGGCACCAGCCAGAAGTACCAGGAGGTGTTCCTGGCCCGCCTACTCAGCTGTGTATCCAGTACTCAACCAGAGGTTAGACAAGCTGCTGCATACGGTTGTGGAGTCCTGGGACAATGTGGTGGACCTGGATACGCCCAGGTATACGCAATACGCAGTTCTAACCAAGAATAATCAAACATATTCAATAAACAGAAGTTACCCACATACATTGAGAGTTTAAAGACGACTTATTTTTTATAATATCTTTTGGCCTTGGGTAACCACATTTATAGCACCCAGTAATCAGCGTAGCGTTTTATTTGATTTTGAAATTAAGAAAAAATGTGAAACTTTTGTAATTAAAGAAAGATATTTTTGTTGCCCTCTTATTTCTTTTTGTTGACTTTGTTCTATCTTGGAACTAAATTGATTTGTTTCTTCTAGATCGCCAGTCAAGCTGTACCTCTTCTCGTGGACATCATTCAGCATGGTGAGAGCAGACAACCCGAGAACATAAACCCTACAGAAAATGCAATCTCAGCTGTTACAAAGATTTTAAAGTTCAATGGATCTGCCTGTAACCTGGATTCAATTCTTCCAGTTTGGTGAGTTAGACGCAGTAGAATTATTATATTTGCTTTAATTAAGAACACACTCAAATTGGAGGTGAACAATGAACATGCAATGTTAAGGGTCAAGACAAATTGTTGAGGTCAAGAGTCATGGTTTAGGTCAAGAAACATGGTTGAGGTCAAGAAGCATGGTTGAGGTCAAGAAACATGGTATAGGCCAAGAAACATGGTTGAGGTCAAAAAACATGGTTGAGGTCAAGAAACATGGTTTAGGTCAAGAAACATGGTTGAGGTCAAGAGTCATGGTTGAGGTCAAGAAACATGGTTGAGGTCAAGAAACATGGTTTAGGTCAAGAAACATGGTTGAGGTCAAGAGTCATGGTTTAGGTCAAGAAACGTGGTTGAGGTCAAGAGTCGTGGTTTAGGTCAAGAGTCATGGTTTAGGTCAAGATACGTTGTTGAGGTCTAAAGACCAGGTTAAGGCCAACGTACATGGTCGAGGTCTATAAACATGGTCATCCTACGTTCATGGTTGATGTCAATATTCATGGTTGAGTTCAACATCATGGTTGAGTTCAACATTCATGGTTTTGTTCAACATTCCTGATTGAGGTCAAAATTCATGGTTGAGGCCAACATACATGGTTGAGGTCAATACAATTGTTGAGGTCAACATATATGGTTGAGGTCAACATATATGGTTGAGGTCAACATAGATGGTTGAGGTTAACATACATGGTTGAGGTCAACATACATGGTTTTGATCAACATTCCTGATTGAGGTCAAAATTCATGGTTGAGGCCAACATACATGGTTGAGGTCAATACAATTGTTGAGGTCAACATATATGGTTGAGGTCAACATATATGGTTGAGGTCAACATATATGGTTGAGGTCAACATACATGGTTGAGGTCAACAAGCATGGTTCAGGTTATGGTTGAGGTCTAAAGACAATGTTAAGGCCAACAAACATGGTTGAGGTCAACAAACATGATTGAGGTCAATATACATGGTTGAGGTCAACAAACATGATTGAGGTCAACATACATGGTTGAGGTCAACATGCATGGTTGAGGTCAACATACATGGTTGAGGTCAACATACATGGTTGAGGTCAACATACATGGTTGTGGTCTATATACATGGTTGTGGTCTATAAACATGATTGTGGTCTATGAACATGGTTGAGGTCAACATTCATGGTTGAGGTCAACATTTATGGTTGAGGTCAACAGATGTTTGAGGTTTACGTATATACATGGTTGAGTTCAAAACACATTGATGAGGTCAATATACATGAATGAGGTCAACATAGTTAGTGTCAATACTTGTTTACAATCATTATTCCTGGTTGTGATTAATAAATGAACAAAATTTTAAATAATGTTAATTTGTTTGATATCTTTCAACAATAAACTTTTCATTTAGGTTTTCTTGGCTTCCAGTGACTGAGGACACTGATGAGGCTCCTTATGTTTACGGGTTTCTAGCTGATCTTGTACAGGCCAATAATACACACATCCTTGGACCTAACAATTCAAATCTTCCCCGGGTTGTTGCCATCATAGCAGAGGCGATAGCTTGTGAAGTTCTTCGTCCTGAAGCAGAGGAAAAGCTTAGAATAATCAACATAGTTAAAGAAGTTTCGGTAATACATTAACATTATCTGGTCAGGGGGGGGGGGGGTTATGAGGTCATAGGATTTGAAATTGTAAACCTTTAAAATCTCAAAGGTAATTTAAAACTGAGGAAAAGACAAAATGATTAATTCTTTGTTGGGTAAATGCTGGCTACTCACTAAGGGATTAAAACTTTTTTATTTCAAATCTGCTCATAACTCGCTTAGCTGACGGGTTGATTTATAGTAGAGCAGAGTATTAGGCAACCAGTCTGTTGAATCATTTCTAAACCATTACATCATAATTTCTCAAGTATCGTTATTAATATGAATTTATGTTCAGGGCAATCCAACTGTTTTCGAAGCTTGTGTTTCTGGTCTGTCGGAGCCTCAGAAGAAAGCAATTCAGGAGATTCTAACCTCCTAGTAGTTAATACAAATACAAGATTGCTGATAACTGTAGTCTCTGCTGTATGCAATAAGCTGTGATAGTGGGCGTGGTCAGCTGCTCCTCGACTCCACCCACACCCGGAAAAGCAATCACCAGCTCTACAGTCATGTCAGCAACACGTGCTGATTATTCAGCGAGCACGATTAACCTTGGAGCAAATTTTTGTATAAATATGTTGCAGAATATATATTCTTTTTTGACTTTGGAGATTTCAATTTGTATCCCGTGAAATTTATATAATTTTAAGTGTTTGTATGATGAAGTTCATGTTCCAAAGACAATGGAAGCATAAATGAAAGCTTAAAATTCGAATTTGGCGGGTAATTTCAAACCGGAAATACGTTAACTGCTATTTTAAAGCAGAATGAAGCGAATGGAGGAATTCGTTAAGTACAAATGAATCTCTTAGTTTTTTTCTAAATAAGCCAAATACTAAAATGGCAATGCCAGCATTGTTCGGAAATATGAAATGTTGAATATTAAATTGGAATATATAATTTAAAACTGAGACTTGCCTATATTCAAGACCCGGGTGCCTAAAATCTTTGAAGATCGAAAACTTTATGTATTATAATATGTCAAATCACTTTGTTATAAGGCCGGAGTGCTGCATTTCTATTAAATTTGAATTTTTAACAAATTCCTAATTAAATTAAGTACTTAATATAATAAGAACTTTGAAACTTGAGAAAGCCAGAACTCGGCGGGGTTTAAAAGTTAAAGAGCGCGTCGTCTCATCCCACCGCCTAACCCACCTCCTTTCATCCTCTTTCTCAAACATGGCGGATCAGCCGTTCAGCGTTGAACTATTCTCCGTTTGAAGCGTAATTATTTCTGGGAATTTCAAGTTCTCTTGATTTTTTTCAAGGTCAATAAAATCTTTTTAACTTTTTCAGACCTATGTAATTGCATAAAACTTCGTCTATCTATTAGTTTTCATTATATTCTGATCCTGGTACTTTAAGTGGCGGAAGAGGTATTTAAACTGAACTTAAAGTCAATGTTTTGATTGGAATAAACTGAATTATGAAGAACTTCGGGATCAATCAGATCTCCTTTGCGTCCTAGATCCCTGGGAAGGATGCAGGAATGGTCGGAGACCACGTGCCAGTACTTTCTTTAGAAGTTTTGTTGAGAAATCCTGCCTTAAACTGAATCTCTAGTAATGAAAGGGGTAAGTACCCTCAATATTCACATTATATTTAATAATTTTATCCGTGATTGCTTAAACCCTACGTGGGTTCTTCTTATACATCCTTCCCGCTTCAAAATCTTGGAGTTTAAGTAAGTTTTATCGTTTGAAACTAGTTAGAACCATCAGAGGTCAACCTTCAAACAAACATTTAAAGGTCAAAGGGTTCGAGTACAACGCTGGAATCTGTTTAACGCACTCCTTGTACCCTCCGCCCCAGATATATCCTGGAAACGGGAAATTTCATAGGGGACCCATCTCTGATAATTTGAGATTTTTGATCAATTCCATACTTAGAAAAATTCTGATCGATAGTAAAATGGTTATTTTTCAATTTAATAGATTTCACCAGCTTTCTGGTATAATACCAATGTTCTGCTTTCAACTATTATCAAGCCGACTTTTCGAATCCGCCGTTTTTTACAAAATGATTCTCCGGAAAATGTAAGTTATTGGACATTGTTCACTCGTGTTCTTTTCCTATCATTGAAATTTTATCTAAAAGTCATGAAAAGCACTAAAATTCTTCCCATTCATTTCATATTTCGGGTTCAAGCTCAATAATTTAACCAGTGATCAAAGATATGAATACGAAACTTAGTCAAATGATACCATGATGATAAATTTTATATTTGAACAGCTGAAAGATCATAAGGAAATACTAAATATCATCATTTTCAATTCTAATTAACGATGCTCTTTTATTTCATATTTTTTTCTTCGAAATTATAGGAAAGGTCAACAACGGTTTGTTCTTAATTTTCCTTAATCATATAATTCTGGCCTTTCAATTTAGCGCTTAAGTGCCTGCAAATTTTAATTTAATTTATTATTAGATTTTACTGGAAAACGGGATTGAATAAACTATCTTAAATAATTAAAAGTTTTCAATATTTAATTCGTCACTATTACGAACTGCTGAATAGTATTTATCACAGTTTGAATATTGTTATTATTTAAAAATCAGTAACTAGATCCATTGAATAGGGATACATGGTTTTACCGGGTAGACGTGGTTCAACCACTTACTTTCAGCTTTAGCTGGGGCTCAAGAGAAGTAGTTGAACTACGGCTCAAATCTGGTTGATTACATATTCTAGCTATCGATTCTGCAATGCAAATTAAACATCATGGTTTCATTATTTATCTGAATATAAGACAAATTATATATTATTAAATGGATATCCATATTGCAGCACGCGCTCTTCTGTATTGGAGAGAAGAAAAAAATAATAACAAAATTGTAGAGAACATTTTTTTGTTTGCGTTAATCTTTTGGTCATAGCTTAGAGCAACAAATCATTCCTTAGGTCAGTTAATGCCGAACCAGTAGGGCTAAATATGGTTATACAGCCAAAGTTATTTTGAGCATTTCACCAATGGGCCAAGGCATTCTGTGTTCTTGCAGCCATCTTCTTTTTCTCGAAAAGTGACATGCTTGACCTTTTTTTTCTTGTATTGTGTATACCAACAGGTTCTCGATATAATTATTATTTTCAGGGAGCTGCGGGTAGTTCCTCTGGATCTGAGGACAATGGATCCTCATCAGGTTCTGGATCCGGTTCTGAATCCTCCGGCTCGAGTAGCCTCGGCGGAGATCAGGTGCCGGTTAGCCGGAAACCAGGTGGATCCTCCAAACCGGATTGGCAGGCGGACCCTGAACTGTATGGTATCCGTCAATCCGGGAGATCAAAGAAGGAGCCTGAGAGATATATTCCTGCCAGTAGCGACTCCGATGATGGTTCTAAAAAGAAACGAAGGTACACATTTCAGGGGACTTAGTTCCTAAACTAACACTTGGCCCATTTCTAACACTGATTGTTAGAAATGGGCACAAATTGAAAGACTGGGTTTTTTTGGATCACGGCCCATATCTAGATTAAAAGTCGTTAATATAAACTAATTTTAAACTTCTTTTTAAAAACAAAATTATAAGAGGACAAAGTCAGGTTTTCCATTTTCGAACATATCCTGAATTTGAAAAATTCATCGCGTTTTCGAGACAAAGCTTTCCCGTTTTTCGGTATAATCCGCAATTCATAACAAAGCACACTTTCATTACTTTCAAAATAAATCACTAAAAACATATATTATCTTATGAATTTTTTCTAGAATCTAAGTTTTATCTGTTTATTTTCAAGCATTTTAAACAAACAGTTTCCCGCATTTCTAGGTAAAGTTAAGTAAGAACAAATGATATTAATATTTTTATTTCTCAATGCTGAAATGATTTTCAAATTATTAAACAAGTTTGTTTTTATTTCTTATTCTGGTTATCTAGATGTGTTACGTAAGTGCGTCAATGCTTAAACATTTATATTGATATGAATTCCGGAAATTGTCTCAAAATCAGGATATGTTCTGAAAACGCGACATGAGCTAAAATCCGGTAATAGTTTCAAAATATGGATTTGTTCGAAAATGAAATCAAGAATCATCAAAAACTAATTCTCACGCCTTATTAGTTATTATTATTTTAAAATTGACATTTATTGTTTCAATATATAGTTTTAGCCATTTAAAAAATATATGCAGCGTAATTTTGTTTTAATCGTCTTGGATTTTAAGATACACTTGAAAAAGATAACTTTGCTGATTATGCCCATTTCTGACACTCAGTGTTAGAAATTGGCCAAGTCACGTGTTAGTTTTGGAAGTAATATCCCCTGTATTTGTCTTTAAAGCCATAAGATTCTTATTTGTTAGGATTGAAAGATTTTTTAAGTGGCGTTGAAATAAGTAAACCTTAAAATATTTTGAGTTCGGTGTTTAAACAAATATTGACAAAAATTGCAACGTTTTAAACAAAATTCATAATGTTTTCTTAATCGCAATGAATATCCAGATGTGTCAAGCAAGAGAAAGTTAAAAATTAAATGTTTTCGTAATTTTCATGTAAACAATTTTTTTGTAATCCGATGCCTACGATTATTATATATGCTTATACAACTAATTTCATTGATTTAATTAAATAACTTAGAAATCTTGCTTTGCCTTGAAATCTAAATTTTCTTTTTTTTTAATTCTACCATTATTTTTTTATTTGAAGTAGTAACTAAATCATTTTTTTTAGGAAAAAATCTTCAAGTGCTGCAGAGGGGTTCTCCGAATCTGAATCTGAGTGGGACGATGAAGATGGTCCTCGACCTAAAGCTGGACGAAAAGCTAGTGCTCGGAAACCTACGAGGACGAACAAGCCTAAGCCTAAAAAGAAGAAAGTAAGTTCTGACGAAGAGAGTGAGTCTGAATACGACTATTATCGTCAGAGTGACCGTAGTCGAGCCGGAGCCACTGATAAACCTAGCTACGTTGTTCCGGACACTGACGAGGATGTGGACGAGGATACGGTACAGTCCTGGACTATCGAAGGAGAGGAGGAGACCTCTGATCTTGTTACTGTTGACAAGGTTCTGGATAGTAGGCAGGGTATCCCTGGTGCTACTGGACCAGCAACTACGGTTTACAGTGTTAAACAGAACGGAGATCCGAACGAGAACTGTGACACGAGTAGAGATGATCTTGAACGACAATATCTTATCAAATGGAAGGGATATTCACACTTACACAACACCTGGGAATCGGACGATTCATTAGAAAAAATGTCGGCTAAAGGACTGAAAAAGATCGATAATTACATGAAAAAACAGCAAGAAATCTCCCAATGGAAAAAATATTCTAATCCTGATGACGTGGAGTACATGGAGTGCCAGATGGAGATGGAGCAGGAGATGTTGAAAAGTTACACCACAGTGGAGAGGATCGTAGACCGACAGATGTCGGATGGAGACGCTGAGTTTCCTGATTACTACGTGAAGTGGAAAAACCTACCTTACTCCGACGCCACCTGGGAAAGTGGAAAGTTGATCGAGGATGATAACCAGGAGCTGATCCGACAATACAAGATGAGAGAGGAGAGTAGATACACGCCCAGTAAAACTAACAGAGTTCTCAAGCATCGTCCCAAGTTCATTCGGGAGGAAGAGCAACCTGAGTTTATTGGAGATGAAACTCGTAGGCTCAGGGATTACCAGCTCCAGGGTTTAAACTGGCTAAACCACTCTTGGACTAGGTAACTCTTCTACAATCTACATGTAAAATTAATAGTTCTTAATATTGTACGAATGTTAAGTATATTCTTTGTTAGATATAATTCTGTGATATTGGCGGATGAGATGGGTTTGGGTAAAACTATTCAGACAATCTCGTTCCTTTACTACCTTTTCCACAAATACCAGTTGTATGGGTAAGTCATAAGACTTTTAAAGACAGGATTGTACAATAATGGTAGGCACAGTAAGGGAACTACTAACATGTCTTACAACCAAGAAAACCCGGACGTAATTGTTCACTTGTTAAATTAGTTGCGTAGTTGTATAAGATACAATTGTCTGCTTCCAACCAAACAAAACATATCTGTAACTACATTTTGATTTGGGTAATTTTAGAATGAACTTGTGTTTAAAGGGGGTTTCTTGATGATTGAATTTATTGGTAGTAAATTTTGATCAATGTTACGCAGAACAGCCAGGCACCAAGTCGTGCAGCGTATTTTTAAAATAGTTATGAGCACTAATCTTTTTTTCTTCAATTCTTATCTTCAAGCATTCTTCTGTTCTTATTAAAATTGTTAACAACTTAAACTGGAGATTTTTATTTATTGAAACCGTTCTGTATTTAACTAAAATAATTCCATTTAGTCCGTTCCTGGTTGTAGTCCCCCTTTCTACTCTGGATAATTGGCAAAATGAGTTTGTAAAGTGGGCTCCGGATATGAATGTTCTCACTTATATTGGCGATGTAACCTCCAGAACTATAGTAAGTTTTATCTTGTCACTGTTTTTATTTATGTATTAATTAACCTGTTTTTTCCGATTTCCTACATGGAACCACGAAATTTTAATTTTTAAGCTCTTTATCTTGAAGATTTTGGTTTATTTTTTGAGATTTTTATGTGAAAAGTTTGACGAAGGTTAAAATATCAATGTTGATTCTTTACTTGTTATTTAAAAAGCCGTATTTGTTGAGGATTGTGTGACGCAACAATAAACGATTTATGTCTAATGCGTAGTAAACTCTGTTTATGACAAATTCCTTTATCCGGAATACAGTTAATATAGATTAGCTTAAATTCTGAAGTTGGAAAAAAATTTGAGTACATATATAAAATACAAAAAGAAATACTTTCAGTTTTTATTCCAATAAAACACTTCTGCCAACCTCGCGCTAGAACGTTAGTTGTTCTTATTGAGAACTATGAACTAAAATCTAGGATTTATATTTTTTGTTTAGATAAGATCTCGTGAGTGGATTCATCCAGGGAATAAGAGAACTAAATTTAATGCGCTTCTCACCACATACGAGATCCTGCTCAAGGATAAGGTTGAACTTAATTCTCTCTCCTGGGCCGTCTTGGCCGTAGACGAAGCTCATAGGTATAATTACATTCAAATCTATATTTGTTTCTAAAATAGGTATAATTACATTCAAATCTATATTTGTTACTAAAATAGGTAAAATTACATCAAAGTCTATATTTGTTTCTAAAATAGGTATAATTACATTCAAATCTATATTTGTTTCTAAAATGCACAGTATAACAATTTTTACAATAAGTGATGATTTATTGTATTTAAGTAAAATAGCAAAGTTTAAAATTTTAAACTCAAATTTACCAACATTAGTAAAATTGTGCTTCATTGGTTCTTACGTAAAACAAACATCACACCCCACCAAAAATTAATAAATATTAGATTTCACCTTAATAATTTATTACTAACTTAATTTTGCTTTAATTTAGGCTAAAAAACGAGTCTTCTCTTCTGTATCAAACCTTGGTGACGTTTGATGCTAATCATAAACTTCTGATCACAGGAACTCCTCTACAGAACTCAATGAAGGAACTCTGGGCACTCCTTCACTTTATCATGCCTTTAAAGTTTGATAATTGGGATGAATTCAACGAAGAGCACGGCGGAAGAACGGCGGAGAGAAGAGGTTATACGAAACTACACAAAATCCTTGAACCTTTCATTCTACGCCGTGTCAAAAAAGACGTTGAGAAAGATCTTCCCTCGAAGGTTGAACAGATACTTCGTGTTGATATGTCCCGGTTACAGAAACAGTACTATAAATACATTCTTACTAAAAACTATTCTGCTCTGATGCGTGGTAACAAAGCGTCCACGGTTAGTTTTGTCAATATTGTTGTTGAATTAAAGAAATGTTGTAATCATGGATTCCTGACCAAACCTCCTGATGAGCGTGAATCAGGTGGGACAAGGGAGGAGAGAATGCAGAAATTGCTTCGAGGAAGCGGGAAACTTTTACTTCTTGATAAACTTCTGGTCAGGTTAAAGGAGACAGGACACAGGGTTCTTATATTCTCCCAGATGGTCCGTATGCTTGATATTCTTGTGGATTATCTAGAACTTAGAAGATTTCAGTTTCAAAGACTAGATGGAGGAATCAAGGGTGAGTTGAGAAAAAACGCCATCGAACATTTTAATGCTCCTGGTTCTACTGATTTTTGCTTTCTCTTGTCTACCCGGGCAGGAGGCCTAGGAATTAATCTAGCAACAGCAGATACGGTCATTATCTTCGACAGCGACTGGAATCCTCAGAACGATTTGCAAGCTCAGGCTCGAGCACACAGGATAGGACAGAAGGAGCAAGTGAATGTGTACAGGTTGGTCACCAAGTCAAGTGTAGAAGAGGAGATCATAGAACGGGCCAAGAAGAAGATGGTTCTGGATCATCTTGTCATTCAGAGAATGGACACAACGGGTAGAACGATATTTAAGACGGGAACTGCGGAAAAGCAAGGACAACCATTTAGCAAGGACGAACTCAACGCTATTCTCAAGTTCGGAGCTGAGGAGCTGTTTAAAGAAGATGACGAGAAGGAAGGGGACGAACTTGTCTGTGATATCGATGAAATATTGAAGAGAGCTGAGACTAGGACGGATGAACCGATGGAGGATGAAGACGGACTCATGTCGGCCTTTAAGGTAGCAAGTCTTGCAGTAGACGAGGACGAAGCTATTGAGAGTGCATCATCAACGAAAGAAGGAGGAATTCAGAAACTGTGGGATCAGATTATCCCTGAATCCTATAGAACTGAACTTGAGGAGGAAGAACAGCAGAAGGAACTGAAGGATCTTTACCTAGGCCCAAGACAGAGGAAACCTGTTCACGGAGGGGAAAATAAAGAGAATGAGAATAAACGAAAGGGAACAGAAAGTGATAGCGATGAAGATGACGACCCTGAAACTCCGCCCAAGAAGAAAAGGAAAACAGAGTCCGTTAAGGGATTCAACGACACTGAGATCCGTCGGTTCATCAAATCCTACAAGAAGTTTCCTCTGCCTTTGACAAGAATGGAGGATATCGCCTTGGATGCTGATTTGACTGAGAAACCAATCCATCAGCTTGTTGAGCTAGGGAGACATCTTCATGATACCTGTGAAACTGCACTAAAAAAGGAAACTGACTCCAAGAAAGTTTCCTCGGTGAAAGTAGGAAAAGTGGCTGTGAATGCTAAAACTTTAATTGAAACTGAACAATTACTTAGATCTTTAGGAAAACTTTTACCGACAGAGAAGAGTCGACGCTTGAAATGGATGTTGGATTCTCCGGTGAAAGATGCACATTTCGACGTAGACTGGAGCGCAGAGGATGATAGCAAACTACTGGTAGGAATCTACGAACATGGATTGGGTAGTTGGGAACAGATAAAAGCCGACAAAGATTTGAATCTGGAAGGAAAAATACTTCTCAATGCCAGCTGCAAACCACAAATCAAACATTTGGACGTTCGAGCTTCGTATCTTCTCCGGGTCCTATCAAGACTAGAGGGGAAAACGAAATCCAAGAAACCTGGTAGATTAAAGATCAAGAAGGTAGAGGAACCTGGAAACAAGGAGTACAAGTCCAAGGAGATTGTCGAGGACGATGATAGTTCTGAAAATGAAGATAAATCTGAGAAGAAGAAAGAGAAGAAAAAGAAATCCCTTCCTGCCCCTGTACACTTCGGTAGCAACGAACCTGTGATAATGGGAGAACTAGATCCTGCAGTGTTTAAACAATGTAAGGAGAAAATGAGGGATGTTAAGAAGTCTCTGAAAGCTCTAGATAGACCAGATCCAGAGCTGTCGCAGAATGATCAGGTAATACTTATTTCGGCGCTAATTTTATTTGTGAAAAACATTTTTGCAAAATGTTCAATATTTACAACGAATTCAAACGTCATGACTAAATTAAAAAAAATCGTTCTAGTAAGAGCTGAGCTTAAAAATTTTTAAATGAAAGGAATTTTGTTAGAATAGTAAAACAAATCTTGGGTCTATTTTGTAGGATTGACCAATGAGGAGAGATAAAATGATGGACTTTATCCGATTCTAATTAATTATGTCCATTCTCTTTGTTCGTCTTTACACTGCGTTTTAAGTTATAAGGCAATTAGATTTTTAAAGGTTTAAAGGGAAAGGAAAATTTTTTTTAGAAAATTGTTTTTTAAAAATTTGACTTAATGATTCCAAACATTTTATCAAAAAAATTAAACATTTAAATCATTTTTTTTTGCAGAATAGATTAAAAAACTCAATTTTTTCAAATAAAAACGACATATTTTAACCTCCAGGAGACTCTTGTTCATGGAATTGGTTAGATTTTTATTTGCTATATCCTATCACTAGCTTCAGCTGTCTTTATAACAGCCAACAGCCCACACCTCACTGTAAGCTATAATGCCTACCAGAGTGGTAAACTTACTTCTTCAGGACGGCAAACGAGTTCCTTATGGGATTTAAATCGGGACAGTTTGCCTTTTTGACCTTAATTTTTTTTTGTCACTGAATCCTTGGTTAGCAAGCCAACCCATGCTCTTCCTAGATGCATGCCAGGGGGCATTGTCTTGTTGGAATACAAGCTTTTTTAAACCTCAGAATTCAGATTTCTGTACCAAAGCATAAAATGGTCTTCCCGGAATTTGTTTTTTTTACCCTTCACTCCAGATCACCTTTATTTCTCATGTTTCTGTGATTTAAATGACCAAGTTGTGGAAACTTGCATGATAATGTGATACTCCTTGAAAGTACAATTTTACACTTAATGTGTACTGTGTACAACTCAAGTACACAAAATGTTTTACACGTGTCAAAACCTGAAGGAAAACCTTTTTGTGTACAATGAAGAATGTAAATTTGAGTCGGAATTTAAAAAAGGTAATCGCATAATAACTTGAAACGCAGTGTAGTTTTTCATATTATGTTGTTCATCTCCTATTTTCTTTATATCGACAATCCATGAATATATAATAGGATCAAATCGGTTTCTTCCCTTGTGTCTTATTTTTTGTAATGATTGTGTTTTCTATCTCTAGGTTATCCAGACTAGACAGTGCTTAATCAAGATTGGAACTCATATAGACTCAATCTTAGCGGAGATGAAGGAGGAAAAAGCGAGAGAATGGAGAAGGTGTGATTTTTAGTCTTTAATTCTCTAAACCTAGTTACATAGGTTACATTATTTTCACGCTGTTATGTTTACCTTGCTACATACCCTTAATCTTTTTTTATAACATTGTTTTTTTTCAGCAATTTGTGGTATTTTGTGTCCAAGTTCACCGAGTTTGACGCTAAGAAGTTGTTCAAGTTGTACAGGCATGCGAAGAAGAAGGAAGGGAAGAGAGACGAGGATGGAAAGGTTAAAGAGAAGAAGAAGAAAAAGCATAAGGAGAAAGTTGTGAAGGAATCCCGTGGTTCTGTGGAAAGGACTGAAAGAGTACCTGGAGATAAACCGGATAAATCTGGAAGTAGAAAAGATAATGGTAGAGCTAGTGGATCTAGTTCTGTAAACGGACAAAGTTCTAACGGTCAACCGTCTCATACTTATGATAAAAGTTATGACAAGGGAAGAGGCTATAATAACGACCGTCAAAGCTATGGCCAATCTTTTAAGAACCGGCCTGACGGTCATAGACCAGAGGGAGTTCGGAGAGAGAATGACAGTTACAGTGGTGCTGATGGACATAGAGGAGGACGAGGAGGCTGGGGAGGCAACTATCATGGAGGACGGGACCGGGACAGAGGTTATGGAGGATTTGGGAGGTATAACAATCGCAGAGATTCTTTCGGAAACGGAGGCTACAGAGGAGGTGGTCACCAGGGCTGGAGGCAGGATCGGAGGCAGGATTTTGACGGGCATAGGGATAAGTATGATAGTAGGGATGGACATGAGGGTAGAGAGGGATATGAAGATTATCGAAGCAGGGATGGATATGAGGGGAGTAAGGACGGGTTTCCTCCGAATCGTGATTTGGAGAACAGCAGAGATTATGATGGGGTTGAGGTTAGAGACGCCCAGGATGCCTAGTTTTCTACAAAGATGTTGCTTAGTTCACTGCGGACTGTGCTCGAGCTGTGAAACCTTGTGTTACCAAGGTTATAAACAGATGTAATTTTGCTCCTATTGTCGATATAATATACATTCACATTCATTCTGTCATACAAGTTGTTATATTTCTCGAGTAATTATATCATGTTAAACATAATCCATTTTTTATTTACCTAAACCACGATCATGTGGATACTTGAATTTGTGACGACTAGACGTATGTATAAAAATTTACCTGTGTCATTATGTTGATATGTTAGAGATATAAACAATAATAGTTAATTCATGATAACAATAAGCTAGTTTTATATCTTTGCCTTTGCTGAAAAATGTAGAAAAGATGAGTAGTGAGACCAGAGCATTTGCTGATGATATCTGAGCTGATCTGCTAGTATAAACCCCGTGAAGAGATGTAGACTTGATTTAAGATGATTGCGCTGAAGAGATGAACTCTACTACAATTGTTGATTAAACAAAGTCGCAGACTATGTGCTTCATTCTGATCTATCATCGGATAAGAATCTAGACATCTTTCCTGCTCCCAAGTACATCATTAGGTCGTACTTTCGTTGGGTTTATATCAACTAAAAGATGGCCTATAAATCTTTAATATTTCCAAAATCAGAATCACTCCATTGGTTCTTTCCTTCTTTTGCAAGGTTTTGCTTGGTTTCCTTCCTGCTCATACGAAAATTTTGAGCAAAAGGGCTGTTGTAGATATTTTTCAGTCTGAGGACCTAGTAAAGTAAACAAATATTTATGCCATTTTTGTAAGCTTTTTTCTGGAACATCATAACTTGCCTAAGCATACAAATTCTTCGTTTCGACACTAATATGATGTTTCTCTAATATTTAGCACAATTTTGTGTCTGACGAAGCATTTTCTAGTAAAATGTGCTTACATGTGTCTTGTACATAAACCTTGATCTTAGCCTCTTATGTTGATTTTTTAAGCTTTTCTCCTAAAGAAATGAAGTCTTTGCCGCAAAAGCTGATTTTCGAATCCCTATATATTTACAACCCAACGCCGCAGATCTTAAATATTTTAAATAAGAATTCTTTGAAATTAAAAAATTTAAGTTTTAAATAACAAAGGTTTACACCATCAGGTTGCAAAGATCTAACGATTAGAAACCTTGAATTTTTGCAAAGCCTTAATTCGTCAACGTTATTATAATGAAAAATCAAAACATTTCTCAAGTGAAGTGCTTGCAGATTATTTTCTTGTATTGATTATTAATTAGATGTAGATTTGATATGAATTTAATACCGATAAGTTTCAATTATCTTTTTTTTTAAGCGCCGATGTTTTCTATATTTATAATAAATCAAATACAGATTGTTTTCTTATGTTGGTTATTATTGATATACCATTTCTCAAATATTTCTCGAAAATTAAAATTGAACTTTATGTTCGGCTTTTGAAAAATGAGAGTTATGGTCGTTAATTTTATTTTTCAATTTTGAGACTGTTGAGTCTGTTAAAAGGGTGTCAATAAAGAAACGGTTCACAGTTTTCTTATAATTTTGTTTTTAAGTCAAGTTGCATGAAAATCCGCTAAAACATGTATTAGGAATCAGTAAAACAGTAACAGTTTTATTTTTTGGACTGGGAGTTACTTTCATGAATTCTCAGCAAAGATCCCGCATTATGCGTCAAATCCAAGCTTACCTGGAGAAGCACCCTATAGCTGAGCGTAGGCAAGTCAATGAGATGAGTACAGCCATCCTTAAAAGTTTAATTTTTTTCCAAAATTAAGAAGTTTCATTGCTTACTTCATTTAACACAACATGCAGGCAACAATGGCAGATAGCAGATTGCAGGTCAAATTCGTGAGTGTGCGTTCATGAGTGAATTTGACAAGAACTACAACCCTGTTCCTAAAAACATGAATGGTGCTTTTTACGCTGACTGTTTGGGACTGCTACCCCAGCAGTTGAGGATCTGCACCCAGAACGAGACGCTATCGGTAAGATGACCATGTCTCAATCCACAGCTGTCAATGACTGTTCCAACAGGAGATTGGACCATGAATTGCAGTATCCCAAGTTTTCCGATGTATGGCCGATAGAAAATGTCTGGGGTTTGTCAAGGAGAGAGTAGATCAACAAAAATGAAATATATAGTTTCTTGCTCTGGCCCAGCTGAAGAGGGCCATCCTTGGTGAATAGAGATCCATCAATGAGGACAGAGCTCTGGTGGCCAAGCTGATGTCCTCCATATCAGTTAGATGTCGGGCTGTTGCAGAGAATGGAGGAAATCCAGCGCACTTTTCCAATTGTTTAAACATGATTTGTGTAATTTTCATGAAGTATGAAATGAAAATAAAAAAAAAATATGAAGAAAACTGTGAACCGTTTGGTTTTTTTACATATGACGAAGTTAAAAAAACGTGAGATTTTTAAGTGAAAATCTTTGTATTCTAATGCTGAAATATTTATTTCCAAGAAGGGATATTTTGCTTTAATGTTAAGAAATGTGAGTTCTAATAATTTTATGAAATAGTAATTCAAGTGTCTTGAAATTTAAAATCTTCTCTAACATTTTTATCTTGATATACAAACGTTGTATGAACAATTTCCCTTCCTTTACTACCTCCTAAAGTGAGATATACTTCTGAAGATGTTTTTTTTTTCCTGATGAAAAGATGAATGCTTGGTGTAATATGTACTTTTGAAGATTTTTTTTCCTGATGAAAGATGTACGCCTGGTGATATATGTACTTCTGAAGATATGTATTCCTGATGAAAGATGTTCGTCTGGTGATATTTGTACTTCTGAATATGTTTTTCCTGATCAAAGATGTACGCCTGGTGATATCTGTACTTATGAAAATATGTATTCCTGATGAAAGATGTTCGCCTGTTGATATTTGTAATTCTGAAGATATGTATTCCTGATGAAAGATGTAACCCTGGTGATATATGTATTTCTGAAGATATGTATTCCTGATGAAAGATGTAACCCTGGTGATATATGTACTTCTGAAGATATGTATTCCTGATGAAAGATGTAACCTTGGTGATATATGTACTTCTGAAGATATGTATTACTGATATAAGACGTACGACTTTTAGTATGTATTTCTTTAGATGTATTCATTTGAATGATGTAATCCTTATGTGTACTCCTGACCGGATGAGAGACGTACTACTGATAAAAGATTTACTTCTGATGAAAGATGCTCCGCATGAAATATGTACTCATGATGAAATATGTACTTTTGATGAGAGATTTACTCCTGATGAGAGATGTACTCCTGATAAGAGGTGTACTCCTGATGAGAGGTGTACTCCTGATGAGAGATGTACTCCTGATGAGAGGTGTACTCCTGATGAGAAGTGTACTCCTGATGAGAGGCGTACTCCTGATGACAGGTGTACTCCTGATGAGAGATGTACTCCTTATGAGAGGTATACTCCTGATGAGAGGTGTACTCCTGATGAGAGGTGTACTCCTGATGAGAGATGTACTCCTGATGAGAGGTATACTCCTGATGAGAGGTGTACTCCTGATGAGAGGTATACTTCTGATGAGAGGTATACTCCTGATGAAAAGTGTACTCCTGATGAGAGATGTACTCCTGATGAGAGGTGTACTCCTGATGAGAGGTATACTCCTGATGAGAAGTATACTCCTGATGAGAAATGTACTCCTGATGAGAGATGTATTCCTGATGAGATGTATACTCCTGATGAGAGGTGTACTCCTGATGAGAGGTATACTCCTGATGAGAGGTATACTCCTGATGAGAAGTGTACTCCTGAGGAGAGGTGTACTCCTGAGGAGAGGTGTACTCCTAATGACAGGGAATGACAGGTGTACTCTTGATGAGAGTTGTACTCCTGATGAGAGGTGTACTCCTAATGAAAGGTGTACTCCTGATGAAAGGTGTACTCCTGATGAGAGAGGTTTTCCTCATAAGATGTACTCATGAGAAGAGATGTACTCATGAGAGGAGACGCACTCATCAGAAGAGATGTACTCATGATGAGATGTTTCCCTGATAAAAGCTTTACTTCTGAGAGGAGATGTACTTCTGATTACATGTTCCCCTGATGAGAGATGTACTCCTCAGAAGATATGTACTCCTGATGAGATGTTCCCCCTGAGGAGAGATTTACTCCTGAGAAGAGATGTACTCCTGATGAGCGATAAACCTCTGATGAGAGATATACTCCTGATGAGAGACGTACTCCTGAGTAGAGGCGTACCCCTGATGAGAGAGGTACTCCTGATAAGAGACGTACTCCTCATGAGAGATTTACTTCTGATGAGAGACGTACTCCTGTTGAGAGACTTACTCCTGATAAGAGACGTACTCCTAATAAGAGACGTACTCCTAATGAGAGCTGTATTCCTGATGAGAGATTTACTCCTGATGAGAGATTAACGTTGAAGAAAGACGTTTTCCTGATGAAAGATGTGCTCCTGATGAGAAATGTACTCCTGATGAGAAATGTACTCTTGAAGAGAAATTTACTCCTGATGAAAGATATACTCCAGATGAGAGATGTTCTCCTGATCAGAAATTTACTCCTCATGAGAGATATGAAGATGAAATCTTGATATAGATGTACTCCTGATGAGAGATGTACTCCTAATGAGATATGTACTCCTAATGAGAAATGTACTCCTAATAAGATAAATAATCCTAATTATATATGTATCCTAATGAGATATGTAATCCTATTGAGATATGTAATCCTATTGAGATATGTAATCCTATTGAGATATGTAATCCTAATGGGATATGTAGTCCTAATAAGATATGTAGTCCTAATGAGATATGTAATCCTAATAAGAGATGTACTCATAATGAGATGGGTAATCCTAACAAGTTATGTTATCCGAATTTTATTTGTATTTATTTGAGATTTGTATTTATAATGAGAAATTCAATTCTTATTATGTGAAATACTATACTAATGAGATATATAATCCTAGATGTGTAATCCTAAATAGATATGAAATTCTAATTAGATTTGTAATCCTAATGAGATGTGTAATCCTAATGATATATGTAATCCTAATGAGAAATGTAATACTAATGATATATGTGATCTTAATGTGATATGTAATCCTAATGATAGATGTAATCCTAATGATACATTTAATCCCAATGAGAAATGTAATACATGGAATCCGAATGAGATGTAACCCTAATAAGATATGTAATCCTAATAATTCTAATAAGAGTAATAATCCTGAAGAAAAATGTAATCCTAATGAGATGTTAAATAATCGTAATATGTATATATTCTAATCCTATTGAGATGTGTAATCCTAATGGGATTTGTAATCCTTAATATTTAGATATGAAATCCTAATAAAAATTTTAAAATAAAATCCGAATAAGATACAGTGTGAGTCAAAAAAAGTGTGATTAGCTGCGTCTGATGCAAAATTGTACCTTTTTTGTGAGACTCTCTTGTATTGTAATTATCCAATATTAAAAAAAAAATTTTTTTTTGTACTCAATGGTAAAAAATTGCGTGAATTTCTATTTTTCTCTCAAAATAAAAATTTCAGAAAAGCAAGAATGTGTAATTTTCTATCAAATTTTAGAATTTGATAAAGATTAAATCACAGAATCACAGCAAAGGAATTGAGTCTTAGGAACAAATCCCAATTTTCTAATACCTATATATCTACAACCAAAATATGTAAACCTTAGATATTTCAAACTTTGATCGATTGATATAACAGAAGTCATAGTTTGAAATATCTAAGGTCTTACAACATTGGGTTGTTTTTAAGAAAAGTTGTTTTTCAATGGCTCCTCCGTTTTCAACTGAACAGCGTATATTATAACTTCAGAATATACGAAGAAGAAAATAAAATAGAGGATTTAAAGAACTTTTTCTTAAAAATTAGACCAGAACTGAAAACTGTGAATTTTTATATAACAATTTTTCACAAAAAAGTACAATTTTTTACCAGACACCGCTAATCACACTTTTTTCACTCACCCAGTATTTAATCTTAATTAATTAGATGTGTAATAATCCGGATTGATATGTAATCCTAATGAGATTTGTATATATATATATATTTTTTAACTTCAATAATTTAAAAATAGTTCTTTTAACATCGAGTTGTGGAGCAGGTAGGAGAGAGATAAGGAGGTTTGTAGGAAGAAGGGTATAGGGGATTTCTCCCTGTGTTCCTTCATTTTATACTGTTTAGGGGAATTAAGGAATTTACCCATAACTGCACCCCATATGCAAAATGGGGAGTTGTGATCCCTGAAAGCTCTCTTGAGAGGTATCTTCCATGGTAGTCCAGTCCTCACATCTGGTCGAGTAAAAAACCGGTATCGTTGTGCATGGCTTGTATTCCCAGGAGGGGTTAAACTGCTCTTTCAGTGAACCAAGCTGAAGATGAAGTTTTGTTTTAATCTATGTACAATTCTTGCTTCCCCTGTAGGATACTAGATGCGTAACTAAACACAGTGCTTCCCCAGCTGCAATTCTGGGACTGCATAGTAGGTCCGTTCTGCTAGAGAGAAAGCAGGCAACTGATATATATATATATATATATTGAGATATTTGATCCTCATGAGATGGGTAACAATTTTACCACTGACCAATTTTAGTTTTTAGTTCTCATATATAAATATATGTTTTGAAGTATTTTTTTATATTTATTATGATTTTTACCCGATAATTGTAATTGTATTATTGTATAATTGTATATATTGTAGATTGTGATATTATTTTTCAGAATTTTGATCCGTAATTAAAAAATACATTTCTAAATCCATTCTTAACATAAACAACACTGTCACATAAAAAGCTCTAACATTTCACACAAAAAGTTTACATTGGTCTTTTGATAAGCAATAAGTCTTAGAAAAGAACAAACTGATAGCTAAATAGCGACTGAATTTGATAATTGATTTTTGATGGTTAAATAGAATGCAAGTTTAAATCGAAAATTTACCAATAGCCAAGTTAGAAATGATTCAAAAGAGGTACGTACGTCCAGTTGAAGGCACATATTTCAGGGGACATTAGTTACAAAACTAACACTTGGCCCCTTTCTAACACTGAGTGTTAGAAATTGGCACAAATTGAAAGACTGGGTCTTTAGGATCCCGACCTATATTGTGACTATTTTTTGGAATCAAAATTATGAAAGGAGTTCTTTTTATATTAAAACCCTTGACCCTTTTAAGACAATGTCAGGTTTTCCATTTTCGAACATATCCTGAATTTGAATCATTGTCGCGTTTTCGTGACAAAACCCACTTTCCCGTTTTTGAGTATATAATCCTCAATTCAGAACAAAACTCAATTTCATAACATACAAAATAAATCACAAAAAGTAAAAATTACCTTATAAAGACTAAAGTAACTGCTAAATTATTTCTAAAATCTTAATGTACCTATTTTATTTGTAAATTAAGAGAATAAAGTTGATTTAATTTCCCGCATTCTAAATAAACATTTCTAGTTATATCTGTATTAAAAGAACAAAATAATATTAAAATTTTAATTCCTCAATGCTATAATGATTTTAAATTATAAAAGAACAGTATTTGTTTGTCTTCTATTTTGTTTATATTTAACCTTATCAAAAAGTCTTGTTGTGTAACGTAAGTGCGTTAATGCTTGAAAATCGACATTGAATTGAATTCGAGTAAAATTGTTCAAAACCAGAGCTGGGAACTTTAGAATGGTGGATATCAGGATTAATGCTTAATTCTCTGTTTTTGCTAATCTCGAGAATAACATAATCTCAAGATTATGTTAGTCTTCAGATTAAATATTTAGATCACCAAATTGGATTCTAAGAATGCCAGATTTGTTGGTTTTCTTGACTGAAAGGGTCCTCACTTAATTTCTCACCCATTTATTTATTAATACATTAGTTTAAATTGGTTACAAAAGAATCTCAAACCTGTTTTTAAATATTTTTCTTCAACGATTAATTTAAAAAATGGCTGACAATTGCGGATTTCTGTCATGGGATAGAATTTATTTTCAAGGCTGTTTTTGGTCAATACAATTTACGAACTTGATTCTTGCACTCCCATTGTATCAAATAATGTATGGATATTCACAGAGAGAAAAAAAGTGGATTAAGGACTAAAATTAAAAGTTTTCACATTGGATATTCGGATGAAGGAGTTGGGTTTAAAGGTTATCCATTCTAAAGTTCCCAGCTCAGAGCTAAAAACTATATAATGATTGATATCGAGATCTATGCTTGATCTCCTTTTTTTTCTTAATCTCCAGATTAAATAATGCTTGTTCTCCTCTTGTTATTAATCTCCAGATTAAATATCCGATTTGGATTAAGGATATCCCCTTCTGAAGTTTTCAGCACAGGATATTTTCCGAAAACGCGACATGAGCTGAAATGCGGTAATTGCTTCAAAATAGGGATATGTTCAAAACTGAAAACCAATATCATCAAAAACTAATTCTCACTCTTTATTATTAGTTTAAAGTTGAAATTTCTTGTTTTAATAATTAGTTGTAGCCATTTTTACTAAATATGGTGTAGTTTTGTTCAACTCGATTTGGATTTAAAGACATGTACGCTTGAAAAATAACTTTACAGATTCGGCCCATTTCTAACACTCAGTGTTAGAAATGGGCCAAGGTGTTAGTTATGAAACTAATTTCCCTTGTATTTAAGATATATAAGCCCTCCTCTGGTTCATACATAAACGACTGGCTTTTGTTTATAATTTGAGAGCAAACATTAAGCATGGCATGCAAAAACAATTGTAAGGACTTGGATTAAAGCTAAAGAATTTTTTTTATTTTATTGTAAGTCTCTAATGAGCTATCATCGTAAGTCTATAATGAGCTACACGACAATTTAGAACTGATTTAAAGCGTCTTAAATACTTTTGTGATGTGTTAATGGACATGTATAGCGAAAACTCGAAGTCAAAATATAAATTGAAATGCCCGTTCTTAGAGTATTTATTGGTAAAAAAGGAAAGTTTGGTATAAAAAATACAGTTTGCTCTCTGAAATTATTTTTCCGCTCCATTTCAACATCGTTTTTTGCCAGTTTTGAAATAAGAAATGCGGGAAGATGAATTCACAAATCCGCAAAATAGTTTCATTACGGCAGTTCTCCACGTGACTTGGAAGCGGAAACATACGTAAAAGATTCTACAGAAACATTGATTAAATCAGGCTTAATTATTAAAATAAGTTAATATATTTTATTATTTCTCATGTATATTAAATGTAATAGAGCTTTAATCTTTAAGGAGAGATAAGTTAACTATTTAAATTGGTGGGGTTAACTGAAAACGTAAAGCAAAATCATTAAAGTGAAATGTATTTTACTTCTGTAGATAGGGAAACTACTACTTTTTAGTTTTCTTCAAGCTCATTTTTGACAACGTTGAATTTTCTCTTCAACATTATATCTAATCTATATAATTTGCCTGTAATGCATGATGTAGAAAATTCCTTGTGAACAATTGATTAACTGCAGCTAAACGTACAATTTTGGTATCGACTATTCACTTCATTAGTAGATTTAAAATGGATCCGAAAGATCTTGATCCACTGTACTACAACCCGGAGATCATAATTGATACGGTAACCATTTTAAAATCATTCCTTTCTCTACTTTTATTGAAGTTTTTCTAAAACGGGACTCCTGATGGTTTTCCTTTGAGAGTAAAATTTGTTGTCAAATTTTTTTTAGCTAAAAAAAGTCTTTAAAAATATGCGAAAAAATTCGCAATCATTTTGGAAGTTTTTGTGTCAATCTTCTCTAAAAACTTTGCAGGTTGCATTGAGTCAGCGTGTACGTCATTATCTGACCTACAATCAGATCAAGTGGGAGAGGTTTGGCAGACTCGTCCTTGGAATAGGACAAGCTCGACTTTCTGTATTGCTCGGGCATCCTAAACCATGGTCTGCTCTACGACTCCGAGTAAAAACTTACTATCAGAGGATGTTAGAATGGATGGATACCAGAGCCACCTATGGAAGTAACCCATACATGAAGTACAGGGAAAAAAAGCTCAAGAGATTGATTAAACCAAAGAAGAAGGTTCCGGTTCAACGTTTCCGCGGATTGTTTCAGTGGGACACAGGGAGATCGGAGATGGAAATGCAAAATGCAATTGATTATCTTTCGAGAATGAATGAAGTTCAACAGGTGAGCACCACAAGCTTTTAGCAAATAACGTGTATATTTATTTTACATGTTTTAAACGCTTTCTATAGTTTTTCATTCGTAAATACATAATTTATAGGGTTTACAAAATAGTGGATCAAACAGTGAAGACACCTTGAACAGTGGGACCAGTGGATATAATACTCAAACCATTCCTCAGCTGCACGAAGCTAACAACATCGACTTCTCTTTTAGTTCAGATGAGAAGGATCTGACTGGAATGGAACTTGATGTTGAAGATGATAACGATGAGAATATATTGACAGATCTAGCCGCAGATCTGGACGATATGGTCAACAAGATGGATCTACCAGAATTAGCGGAGATAGATATGGATATTCTAAATCCTGAAAATTTGCTCTATAAATATCCAGGTTTGTTTTGTCGAAATTTGTTGTAGTTGAACACATTGTTTTGTATGTTGAGTATTTATAATTGTAAAGGTTTAAGTATCACACGAGTAGAACCGGTAACAACGTCTCACAATCAAGTCTCAGCTTCACATTATGAAGAATCTACCTCAGATTCTCTTTGTGAAATCAAAATTACTGGAACTCAAAGTATTGGTAAGTAATCGTTACTTTTTATGCCCAAATACAAATTAAAAAGTGGTCGTTAATACGTCCAGGGTCCAGATTTTGTCAAAATAGTTAAAAGTATATTTTATAGGATTGAACGATATGTTCCGGGTAAGTAACGACTCCTACTCAAGCGCTAATGAGTTTGACCTGAGTGCTTACAACATAGACCCTTCTACAGGTTCATATATAGTCTCGGCTCCGGAGAAGGGAAGATATCAAGTTTCAGGATCCTCTTTTTATCCTCAAGGTTCTGCTTCTGGCTCACACACAGATTATCCTCCGGTTCCATTCCGAGATCCTGATTCCTATAGAGACTCAGTTCCTTGTTACTTACAAGATACAGTTTCCGGTTCCTTGAGTATTCCTGCACCCGGTTCTTACCTAGATCATAAATCCAGCTCTGGAGGACTTACAACATAGACCCTTCTACAGGTTCATATATAGTCTCGGCTCCGGAGAAGGAAATATATCAAGCTTCAGGATCCTTTTTTTATCCTCAAGGTTCTGCTTCTGGCTCACACACAGATTATCCTCCGGTTCCACTCAGAGATCCTGATTCCTATAGTGACTCAGTTCCTTGTTACTTACAAGATACAGTTTCCGGTTCCTTGAGTATTCCTGCACCCGGTTCTTACCTAGATCATAAATCCAGCTCTGGAGGGGATAGTGCAGTAACAGTGCAGGCTGCCCTTAATGATTATTATCATGTCTTGTAACTGGAGATACGAAATATCAAAGTTCCAAGATTAAATAGCAGATTAAGAATGAACTAAATTCTTCGGAAGTTTTTGTAGTGAATATCTTTATTCAATTTTCAGCTTTCATTCAGTATCCAACATTACTCTCTAACATGTAGTGAATAGTTTATTTCAATTTTGCGGACATTCAAAATTTTTTCCTCGTTAATTAGAACTTATTTTAATGATTGATTTTAGATCAAAATGCTATCTGGTGCAAAAGTTTTGATAACAGGTTAAACAACTTTCTTATTAATGTTATTTTTATTAATTTGTAAATTGATATGACACATATGTGAGTACATAAATATATGAACAGGAACCTCCAGAGGATTAGGACTGGAAATGGTTACTCAGCTTGCTAATAGGTATTCTTAAAACACTTACTACTTAATAAAAATTCACCTTTCTAATAATTCCTACACTTGTTCGAGCCAAATCTTGTTTATTTTTAAACCTCAAAAATCAGAAGTTTAAATTAGTTCTTGCAAATCTAAAGTTAACTACATAATACAATAGAAAGGTAAAAATTAACACCTACAACATATTCTAGAAAATCTCCTCCAAGTCTGATTTTTGCCACCTGTAGGAACCCAGTTGCTGCAGTTAAACTTCAGGTAAAATTATGAATTAACACTTTCACTTATTTTTTTCCGTTTTCTGAGTTTTCTAATTACTACAAATGCTACAGGAGGTAGCGAAGAAGTTTGATTTCGTCAAGATAATTCAGCTGGATGTAAATGCATTAGGTAAATATATATTTAACAACATTTATCTTTTGCGAAGTTTAGAGAAAACATAGAACCCTGTAATCTAATTCATGTTTAGATACTTACCCTGCACTGAGTAAGGAAGTGTATAAACACACAGATAAACTGGATATTCTCATTAACAGTGCTGGGATATCATCATCAGAAGCTTACGACCTTAGCACATGTAAACATATATTTGTCATTGAATATACATATACAAATCTTGTTTATTGGATTTCATACTTTTCATGAATATAAATAAAATATACTAATATTGTATTTAGTTACCCCTGAGATTATGACCCAAACTCTTCATACCAACCTTGTAGCTCCGATATACCTTACTAAGATTTTCCTACCACTACTAGCTAAACCAGGTAAAGCTAAACCCATTTTGCACTTTTCTTTTATTTATCACGATCATTTTTGATAATACATTAAATAACAATTTTTTTTATCTATTTTGATATTTATTGTTAGTTATCAATAAAGAAAAGCATTCACCACTAAAATTTATTTATGTATTTAAAAATAAAAATAAAATAAAATGGATCCTAAAGTCCAGGAATTATTTGAAAATTAGAAAGTATACGTACTTCACCCTGTTTTTAAATTCAATATAACTTCTCTTATGAAAACATTTTTAGAAATAGTTGAAGGAAACCCCTCATTAGTTGTAAACATCTCCAGTAACATGGGATCTATCTCTGAAAACACCACACGGGTAATCAATCTATTATTAAATTGAAAATTATAAGAAATATGAAGAGAATTTATTCAAACAACTATATTAATACGTGTTTAGGGTGGACTCTACCCATACAGGTGTTCTAAAACAGCTCTCAATGCCTTTACAAGGTCTCTAAGTTTAGATTTGAAAATTCAGGTATATAATACATAGTACCATTCTTTTACAGTTTACTCAAGAACTTCAAGATTAAACAATGTTTATCTCATTTATTTTCTTAGAACATATCAAGTGTAAGTATCCATCCTGGCTGGGTAGCGACAGATATGGGGGGAAAGGCTGCTGAGCTCACCCCGGCACAGTCTATTTCAGGTATTTGGTACACTTGGTTCATAAAATGCATTCCGCACGTCAATTTACAAATTTTATTTTTTTATTGTATCACAATCTTGTGAATCGAGTTCTCCAAAACCAATAATTCTTGTACACCCACTGAGCCGTAACTAAAATGAATGAATGAATTTCTACTCCAGGTGTTCTTACCTTGATTGATGAGTTCCAGGAGGAGCAGAATGGAAACTTTTATGACTATGCTGGAAAGGTTTTCCCATGGTGAAGCATGAGAAGACACAATCTAGCATCAAAGATTAACATATGTTCAATGTACATAAGTCAACTCCAGAATATTTAGTTTAAGCTGATTTAGTAAATGTTGGCATAAAATACATATATATTTTGATTGGTACAATACTTATCAGTAATATTTAGTAATATTTATATATATATTTTATATGATTAAATGTAAGTTTTATAGTTGAATACATGCATATATTTATATAACAGAAAATATAACAATGCGCTATATGATATTGTTACCAAGTTTGCTTGTCTGTTGATTTAAAATTATTAGTTAAAATCATAGAAATATTGCAAAAAAAGGATTAAAGCGAGTTATCTGCGGAATGTAAAAAATTTTCAGAGACATTTGAAAGGAGTAAAATCTTTAAATGGAATCCAACACCCCACCGGATATTGAGATGAGTTTCGAGGAAAAGACTGAACAGATTCTTTGTTCTATCAAGGTAGTGAAATATGTGAATATACAGTACCCGACATTTGAGTTGAACGGCACTTAAAACTCTATTGATGGCACTAGCTGTGTTCACACTAGAACGTTGTTTTAGGCATCAAATGAAAGCGAAGACAGACAGCTTTTTGAAATGTACTTTGAATTTCCTGCACGTTCTCCAAGTTTTCTAGTGAATAATCCGGTCAAAAAGTATTATGTCACTGGCTTGTTTTAAGAGATTGTCAAGAAATGGTTCGAGTACAAGTCTAATATCACCATCATCAAGCTAGGGAAGAGTCCTAGCCTGATTCCCATTAAGAATGCTTGGAGCTGATAAATTAAGAACTAAAATATGCTCAAATCAATTTTAACAACATTTCAGGAGCTGAAAAGAGTCATTTAACTGAGCGATGATGTCTAAAGATGGACAATTATGGATGACTAGATACTAGCCCTTTATTTTTGAATTTTTTTTTAGATATATCATTACAATTTCAACCTGCACAGTGTAAACTCGATCATTTAGTTAAGACAACGGCCAACTCAAATGTCGGGTACTAAAGTAAAAACTGTTAAAAATGAAAAGAGCAAACAGCCCAAATTAAAATTTAGGATTTCCTGGAAAAGGATTTCTACTCCCAGGGAAACAGGAACTGTGAATCTCTTATCATGGCAATAGAAAATGTGAATATTTCCAGTTTACAGGAGAAAATATCAATCCTGGAAACATTACTAAGGTAATCTTTTAAAACATTAATGAAAGAACACATGGATGTTATCGTCATAGAAAATATTGGCAATTTATTTAATTAATTTGATAATTTAAAGTTGTGAACTCGCCAATCAAAGGACATAACAGGTTCATTTAAAAATACTTGTTAACAACGTTACAATTCAAAAAATGAATTGAGTCTTTGTAACAAATTCAGAATTTCTAATATCTATATTTTTTCCGCCTGATGGTGAAAACCTTTGATATTTCAAACTAAGATTCTTTCATCTAACAGAATTCATAGTTTGAAATATCTAAGGCCTACGGCATTGGGTTGCAAAGATAAGGAGATTAGAAAATTATAGTTTGTGACAAAGACTCAATTCCTTTATTAATATCTCGTTTAAAGGACCTTCTGAGCTTGAATTCAGGTTTATCAAAATGCAATGCGTAATTTCAATGTCCGATTTACACAGTATCCTTAAACCAGTATACAGTATCCAGTGTGGGTGGACTGTTATAATCTTATTTTATGTTCAGGTTCTATATTGATCAGCAGAATATCTGTGAGTCTAGTGAGTTGGAGGAGCTGAAGGAGTACCTCATAGATCTACTCAATGTTTACTTAGAGAACTCACAGATAGCTAGACGCATTCTTCACTACTCCGCTAAAACTATGCTAGATATTGCCATTTCGAGGTTAGCTTTTTCTTAGTTCTTAAGAGTTTCAATTGAAAAATCATATTCTGTCGTTGTAATTATAATTACATAAATCATTTCTTAATTTCCGCAAAACTCCAAAATGTCTTAGACGTCTATACATATATTTTTGGTTGTAAATATAAGAAGAAACTTTAAAACTACAAAATTATAAAAAGAGATGCATTACTCATTCATTGCGTCGGAATGGTTGTTAGATCCTACTGCAATGTTTAGACAATATAGTAGATTTTGATATTCTTTAATTAAGGAATGATAATTAAATGGTACATTTTAGTAATTTTGGTCCTGATGTTCGTGTACAGATTCTTAGATTCTTCAACGATTTCTTTTCAAGCAGTGACAAGGCACTCAGGTACTAAATAAATACACACTTTAACTTGGGAACTCAGGTCATTGATGCAAGTGGGCTTTTAATGTGTTCATTCTGCATAAAAGATTTCTTAAATATATAATATATATATTTATTGTAAGTTGTCCATTTTATTTGTTTTTTTTTATCGCAATTTGGAAATAGTTCTGGTTTTAAATTAATTTATTTGCATAAGTTTTGGATCACTGTAAGCTGTAAAAAATGTAAGTAATATAACTATTAACTTTGTGTAGAAAGTAGAAATCCATATCTTGTAATGTTGAAAAATATTTCCAGGAAAAGAGTAAGTGAAGGATTAGTAGAATATCTACCAGGATTAGTTCATTACTTGAATATGTGCGGAGACTTCTTAACCCAAGGATCTGTTCTAGAAACTATATTCAGGTATTAATCTGATCCCCTCCAGATCTGGGGTTATTGAGCTTTGTAATTCTCGCGTAACTTGGTGACCTCATAGCTCCTCCAGTTGATTTTAAGCAGAAGAAAGGAAAATTTATCCGGCCCCGAAATTCAAAATATTTTTGTTTTTACGAGAATCTAAATACATTAGAGATTTTATGACTGAACTCAGAGGAATGAACAGAAAAAATAGTTTCTATTAAATTGTAAACTGTAATTCAGTATCTTTTAAAAAAGAGTATTGTTTATGTCCAATTCTTTAAAAGGTTTAATACCCCTCCTTAAACAAGCCGCCCACCCCTCCACCAATCGTAAAAGTTTGTTAATTAGATCGACCCCCACCACCACTTCATACACATACATCTAAACAGTTTGTTTTAATCTTCGTGACAGAAACAATCTCCAGGAATAATAATTGTCTTAAAACATTTTTTAAAAAGTGAATATTTGCCAATTATATTTTTTCCATCTCATGATCTGAGTTCGTTTCCCTTTTGTCCATTTGACAGCCCAATTTTTTTTTAAATAATCTTTTTTGGTTTGTTTATTTTCTTGTGGTTTAAAAAGAATTTTTTTTATTTTAATCGATTTTGATGGTTATTATATCGTTAGAACTGACGAGGGTCAGCCCAGGCCGAAATATATTTTCAATAAATGTGGAACTAACATCTACTTTTTTTACTCTACAGAGGTTTGGTCCATCACCATCACCGAATTTTAAATTTTTGTTCTTCTCAATAGCTCTTCTATATGTAGAGTTATGATTGAAAACACAAGATTTCAACCTTACGTGCAATTTACTTCAGTTGGACGTGCATTTCTGTACTATATATTTTCTTAATCTTATAATTTAATTATATTATAAATTTACAATAATTGTCGAGGAACTGCTCTGTTTATTTCATTATTGATGCAAAGTGACCTTAAAACATGATGATTTTTTCTTGTTTGTGAATCCGAAATAAAGAATCTGATAAGAAATTTTAATTTTATCAAAATTGATCACACCTAATATTTCCCGTTTTAGGGCGAAAAAGTAACTTTATTGCTTACACCAGGGCGAAAAAATTAACTTTATCACCCTGCTATTAAAATTTCAATATTTACACCTAATATTCCCCGCTGTAGAATGATAAATTATTTAACAACAGGGGAATAAAGTAATTTTATCGACCTTCTATTAAATAAGGTGGGTAAAAACAAGATTGAAGAATAAAACTATATGTTGTATAGGGTATCATTTGATCTCAAACAAACTAGAAAAATTAAAAATCCCGCCAAAAACTTTTCGTACTTAATGATACCCATTACAATAACATAAATAGATGTAATATTGAAGGATATGTAACTGCCTGAACCTGGAGACCTTATCCCGAGATATATTTCCGGATCAAGGTCTTAGATCCCTCTTTGTCAAGTTGAAGGATTTTGATCCAGTTGCAAGGCAGGAACTAGTTCGTTGTTTGTTGATAACGATAAACTTGAAGTTTGTATCCTTATGAACGTCTAATAGAACAAACCTCAATTTTTGTAGTTGTTGTTTTATGTTTTTGACGTAGAAATCCACACATAAAAATTCAACTGTCAGCGTAACTTTAAATAACCTTCTGTAAAGAACGTAATCAGATAATGGGTATACGGGTATACTGTTGTGAATCGTGCATTGCCATGCTTGCATGGAGGGTCACTCGAAAATACGCATTCAGTCCCTTTAATTCAGTTTTGATTTAGTTATATCACACAGTTTTTTTTCCATTATGCTGATTAAGAGTCACTAGTTCCGTTGTTCAGAGTATTATTGAATTTATTAAATGGAATGATGGGAGCAGGATGTTTGGTTCATTCTCTCCCTGCTCTCAAATGTACTGTCGGAGATATACAGATATTCAGTCCACCGGAGTATTCGCATTTCTGGGTTGATTTCTCCCTCAGGTTAGTTTATTATTGTACTCCACCACCCTCCATTCTGACTTAGATACCAACAGGTTAACTCGATAGTTTTTTACGTATTTCTATTTTCAAGACCTCGACAACCGCAATTTTACAACTGAATATTTTTATCAGTTCTTAGAATTCCAAGTATTTCCTAGATCCTCTAATGTCTTGAATTTTGGGAGACGTAAAAACTTACTTAGGTTTACAACGTGACTTTCTTAACTTAATTATAGCTTATAATTGATCATTTCCATCTAGAGTAAAGTCAATGAAAACAATGGACTGTAGAATCTATAAAATATTGTTCAAATATGGAAGAGACAGATGAATTATTTATTTTACTGAACAGAAACGTGTAATTCAAACATTCCAAGCGTTTTAAAGAAATCCGAATGAATAATTTTGAATTGATCTTAATTCGACCTTGAAGTGATCTTAAATAGAATTTGAATTTATTTTGAATTGATCTTAAATTGAATTTGAATTGATCTTGAATTGAATTTAAATTGATCTCGAATTGATTTTGAATTGATTTTGAACTGATCTTGAATTGATTTTGAACTGATCTTGAATTGATCTTAAATTGATCTTGAATTGATCTTGAATTGATGAATTGATATTGAAATGAACTTAAATTGAGTTTGAATTGATTTTAAATTGAATTTGAATTAATCTTAAATTGACCTTGAATTTATCTTAAATTGATCTTGAATTGATCTTGAATTGAATTTGAATTGATCTTGACTCTAGGTCTGGTGTACTCTCCATCAACTATGTAAGGGAGAAGGACGAATCGAATTTGCAGTGGGAATGTCTAGCTTTGGAAAAACAATCTGTTATTAAGGAAAAAGATATTGATTTTTTTATATCACATGTTTCGATTTCAGCTAAAATACACAACAAAATCATAGAGAGAAACTGAACACTTATCTCAAATTTTTCTAATTCTACAGTGATAACAAAAAAACTCTGGAAAAGTAAGACAACTTTGAGAATCAAGTTTTAACTTTAAATAGTTCAATAACCATCAAACGCAGCAATTGTGCAGTGTAAACAGACCTATAAGTGTCTGGTAAAACTGATTGCTTACACTTAAGTATTGCTACAATGTCGGCTTTCCTATTTCATTGTTTTTTGGTTATTACTCTTTATATCTTTGGAACCTGATTGTGTAAACATTTGATGATTTTAAATTAGGTTGTTTGATCTGACATAACTCGAAGTTTAAAATATCTAAGTTTCAAGACTTTTGGTTACAAAGATATATGGATTAGAAAATCCGAGAGTGTGGCAAAGGCTCAACTCTTTTTTAATTTTGACTCTGATAATGTTTAAAAACTGGAAGTGTATTTCGAATTGAATCTCATTAATTGAATTCATCCTAGATTAAGAAGTAAGTTTAAATAAAGTTTTTAACGTTGAATTCTAGATTTGAGAATTAAACTCGAGTATTATAAATCAAATCTACCTGGTGGTAAGGTGACTGTGTTTAAGAAAGGACCTGGAATAACACTAAGGATTGAAGTAGATGCCCTGGAGTGTATGATACAGGATGCTCGGTCGGATATTATCCTTCTTGTCCTACAGGAGAATAGTATCCTGGAGAAGATACTCCGGGCTCTATATCCTGGTAAACTACTTTTTAATGGAGAGGAGAGAAGACCAGTCCTGGATACAGGCGGAGTCTATGTCACCGCGGGACTCATCAAAACTCCACAGAAGTCTCAAATGGCGTTGAGAGTACAACCAAGGTAGTTTAATATTAAATCATCTTCTTTCGAATTGTCATTAATGAAAATGTGCATTGAATTCAACTAAGAATCATTGAAATTGAGAGAAATGATCTTTTAAAATATTAAAGAGTTGTGATCAAATTAAACCAATGATTATCAAACTAACCCATTTTTTAGTTCAATATATTTGTTATTCTCTGATGAAATAGTATCAAAATACGGCACAGGGACAACATTCATATGGAAATAAAACATAATTTTGAATTTGGACGACATCTTGGTAATGTTTCTTCTTGTTGCAGGGAAATATCTCCGGTGAAATGTGTGGCCGAAACATCAGACGATAGTGATGCTCTTCCGTGCGCTCAGAAGAAAACTTGTTTCTCCTCTTCAAATGAATCGTCCATTCCTAACGCTAGATCGGTCATCCCTGCCGCCGAATCGGCCGGAAATGCCAATAAACCGTCTGGAACTGATGTGTCTAGAGCATCCTTGTTCAAGATTTTGAACCTCTCTGTAGTTGCTCAACAGGAAGTAGAAGCAGGTATTCTCTTGATTAAAAAGTATTGCGAACATACAAATAGTTTTCTATTTACAAATTTTCCTAGCTATGCGTGGAAATCTAAGTTTCCTGGAAACCTATAATAAATTCTCTACTTCCATTATCTAATCTATCCCTCATTTAATCTGATCATACTAACCTTAAAGGGACTGTAAGCGTAATTTTAAGTGACCCTCCATGCAAAGATGTCATTGCCTGATTCACAACGGTACTCTTGAAATCTTCATCTGAGCAGGCGATTTAAAAAATTCAAGAAAATACGCTGTCGTTGGGCCTTATTTGCTTCAGCTTTCGGATTTAAGTTGCATATAATTTTTCCACAACTTAAATTTTCCACTAAAACTTCCCAAGTCGAAGCTTTCAATCTTGTGACACAAGCTTTCGTCAGAGTTGGGTCTTAGATTTGGTTTTAAAGCTGGGTATAAGGAATTACGACCCGAGTCGAAGCTTTTAATTCGCGTCCTCTGACCAATAATGTTGAAGATATTGTTTTTGTCCTGGGGTTGAAAGTGTTTGTTTCTGATAATTCCTATGTTTTCTCGCAGTGGTAATGCGCAGGTCACTTTTGTAGAGAGAATCTAAATTGAAAACCATAAATTAGATTTTAAAATTACAAACAAAGGTATCTAATTCATACTTGATCAGACAAAGCTTGAGATTACGCTTACAGTCCCTTCTCGAATATTTTTGTTTTGTTTATTTTAGTATTTTCATCTATTTTTACTTTTTAGTTCCGAAGGGTAAAGGATCGAAATGTTCCTTTTTAAGCCTGAACTCTGGTCCTGTCTATCCTCCTACATCTTCACCAATGGTTGTCAAGGTTTCAGAAATCAAAACTGTTCCTATACCTCTGGAGGGGTCATCACCTTTTCCTAATTCTACTCAACCCAACCTTTCTCCACCCCCTCTACAAACCAGGGAGAGAAAAACAGCTGGATTTGCCTCAGGAATCATATTAACGCCTAAACCAAATCCTTGGGAGAAAGGATTTAATGAAAGGACAGATAAAACACAAGCAATGAAAGAGGGAAAATCCAAATATCAAGTTCTTCCAGGGGAATTAAATTCTGGAGCAAAGATGTCTGAAGTAGACAAGAGATCGAAAGGAAAGGCATCTTTATTTAACATGAATTCAGTACCTAGATCTTTTCCAGCAGTGAGAGATGCGAATAGTGTTAGAGATAGAGCTTTGCCAGCTGAAATTAATACAGGAGCAACATCTTTGTCAGCTGAGAAGGATACAGGAGCTAGAGCTTTGTCAGCTGAAAAGAATAAAGGAGCAACATCTTTGCCAGCTGAAACTAATACAAGAGCAACATATTTGTCAGTTGAGAAGAATAAAGGAGCTAGATCTTTGTCAGCTGAGAAGAATAAAGGAGCTACAGCTTTGTCAGCTGAGAAGAATAAAGGGGATAGAGCTTTGTCAGCTGAGAAGAATAAAGGAGCTAGAGCTTTGTCAGTTGAGAAGAATAAAGGAGCTAGATCTTTGTCAGCTAAGAAGAATAAAGGGGATAGAGCTTTTTTAGCTGAGAAGAACAAAGGAGCTACAGCTTTGTCAACTGAAACTAATACAAAAGCAACATATTTGTCAGTTGAGAAAAATAAGGGAGCTAGATCATTGTCAGCTGAGAAGAATAAAGGAGCTACAGCTTTGTCAGCTGTGAAGAACACAGGAGCTAGAGCTTTGTCAGCTGAGAAGAATAAAGGAGCATCATCTTTGTCAGCTGAGAAGAATAAAAGGGCTAGAGCTTTGTCACCTGAGAAGAATAAAGGATCTAGATCTTTGTCAGCCGCAAAGAATAAAGGGGATAGAGCTTTGTTAGCTGAGATGAATACAGAAGCTAGAGCTTTGCCGTCTGAAAAGAATGCAGGAGCAAGTGCTTTGACATCAAAAAAGAATTATTCTGAAACAAACGATATTTCATCATCATCTCAGAAAAGTGTAGATGCATCACTTACAGTTAATAGATCAGGAGAAAAAGCTTGTAAACAGAAGAATTCCGGATCAATGACTCCGCCTGCTGAAAGGAATGAAGGAATATTAGATGATAGATCTCTAATAGTGGATAGTCTACTATACACTAGAGATCTGCCAGAGAATCTTGGTGCTAGACCAAAGCAAAGGCTTCACCCAGCCTCTGTTATGGATCTAGGTTTGAAACCATTTGAGAAGAAAAACAATAAAAGAACTGTACAGGAGAAAGTTATGAAATTCGTGAAGAAGAAACCAACCCAACCATCAGGAGAAATCACAAGTCCTCCTCCGTCCGGAGACTTTAACCTAGCAAGCAATCCCTTTATTAACGCGTCCAAGCTTACTAAGAGCGGAGGAAGAATTCGAGCAACAAGATTTACAAGAAAAGCTGGGAAAATGAAATGTCTTAGTTCTAAACGAATCCTAGATTTCAATTCTCCGCCGACCCTAGATCTTGAGGAGGAATCCAGGAACACTTGTTCTCCGAATATCTGTAATGAAACTCCAGTTAAAGACAAGTACAGGAGAACAACGCCATCATCAAGAACCAGAGCGATGAGAAGGAAGAAAAGAACTTGGACCCCAGTCTATTCAACTGAAGCCCTTGGCTTTGACGGAGAAGAACCTAGAGGCTTTGATCGATCCGTAAATAGGTCCATTGATAATGAAAGTTTTCTACATAATGATGATCTAGACGCACTCTCCGAATCTCTAGGAAATTCAAGTAGGAATAAGAAGAGTTCTTTACAAGGCATTCAGAAAACTCTTAACTTCGAAGATGAAGAAGAATTTAAAGACCTTGAAGACTCCCAATCATGTATTGAGGAAAAGGATGAAGTTGCAGAAAATAAAGCTGGAGATCTTGTGATAAGTCAATCTGAAGACAGCAGTAAAGGAAAGAAAAGAACTGGAAAAACTCCTGTTTGTTTAAAGAAAACTCTTAACCTTGATGAAGATTATGTAATGGAGGATGAAAGTAAGAAAAGTTATAATAGTATTGCATTGGCAGATCTTTCTTACAATGAGTCGGAAGAGTCGAAAGAAAGTGCCAGATTTCAATCAAACCATGTTCAGCTAGACAAAGGAGCAGCCAGCAGTACTCAATCAACTATTATGGAAGAGTCCCATCCTATACTAAAGCAAGATAAATCAGAAACTAAAAAGAAGGAAGAGATCTCAGGCTTGTACTCAGGAACACAAGATCAACATCATCTTCATCCTCAACTAATTCAGGATTATGAAAAAGGTTTGGGATCAGATCGTGTAGAAGAGGGGGACGTAGATCTCAAGGAAAATCAGAAGATCAAGGAGAACAATCAATTGTTTCCTGAAGAGATGTTGGATCAAGATCCGAAAGACTTCTCAGTTACTGAACCAGGAGATGTTTTAACTGAATCTAATGATGTTTTGGAGGAAATCCAATCCTACTCTCAATCTGGAAACAAGAAGAATAAAAATGAAGAGGAAGACAGAACGAAGCAAGACACGACAAGGAAAGGGATACAGAATAAAACAGAGAGTAAAGAAGTTCGGAAACTGGACCAGAAAAAGAAGAAAGCAGAACTACTTCTTAAAGATTGGGGGTTTGATGAATCTCCACACACAGAAACTAAGAAAACAGCGGGCACAGAGTTCCAAGTCAACAAGAAGACGGATCCAACCATTCCAACTGCAAAGTCTCTAGGATTGGAAAACAAAGAGTTTGAAGACGAATGTTCTAGACTCAATGCTAAGTCTAGAACCTGAGTCTTAATACTTTCGTCTTCAAACGCATTGTTTTCCAGTAGAAACAGTGCTGCATCAAACTCCTTCCATCAGGAACTCAGCTAGCTCAGAAAATATCAAGGTGAGATAATCTTATTCACTATTCAGGTACACAAACCACAAATCATATAATCTCAGAAAAGAAAATGCACATTTTTATTCCTAAATTTTTTAGTAGATCTTAAGATAAATTGGCATCGAAAGCACCTTTACGTTTTAAGTCCTCAAGCTTATCAGTACAGTACTTGGATTGTTGAAGAATGAGGAATGAACTCGTTGATCGTTAGATCTCATCCTTAATCGTTGAATTTGAACTATTTTTGATTTATATATTGATAAATTATTGAAAACTAGGCTACTATGCAAGGCCAGGAGGATTGTTAAAAAGGAAATGATTTTTAAAATTTTCCGTTTTCAGTCTGTGTATGTAGTATTCCTTTATTTAGGTGATATCTCCTGAACAGAAACGGACTAACAATCAAGTACAATACGGGTAAGCAATTTTTATAAGATAATTCACCCCAGTCGGGCAATTTTCAGTTTTTAGCGTCTCAATTTAATTTTCACCGTCGGAACAATAGAAGTGCAGAACTTTTTTAACCAATGTATTATTTATACGCCACCCCATACACACAAATAATCAAGACTAGTTTTAGAGTTTATTTCTTTTGATCATCAGTAAGCTGTGAAGCTGAAAAAGTACACATAATTAGCATGATATATTTATAAAATGTTTTGTACATTGAATGTTATTGATATAACGGATCACTTCTTGAGATATGATTAGTGAGCAAGTCTTTACTAATCTTGATCTCCCAGATCATCTGCAACATGACGATCATTATTTATCATGAAAGCTTGGGATTAAATATTACATGTTTACAGTTTTAACATTTAAAATGTGCCAATATTATTTTCCTTTAAGAGGCTGGATAAAAATTTTGTTTGCGTAAAATCTTAGTTTTTAAAATACAGAAAATAACATTTTTATGTTCTTTTAACTTGAAAATTGACAGGATAAAAATCAATGTTCTTGATTATTTAATCATCCTGCATATATAGTTCTTGAGTGGATCACAATGGTTTAGCCTTCTTCTTTCAGACTGTAGTTTATCCTAAAATAATAGTTTAGTTTTTACACCAGTCATTTGATCCGAGATAACATGTATTTCATATCTTCATAATAAAAAAAGACATTCATATATATACATGTAACTTTTCAGTCCAATCTAAAACTTCTGTTAGATTAAATATTTAGTTTGAAATATGAAAGGTTTACACCATCAGGTTGCAAAGATATAGGGATTGTGGCAAAGACTTCTTTCTTAGTATCTACGTCAAAATTTAGGTGCCTCAGACTATTAGTTTCACATGTTACTTGTTTTAACTGCGATACGACTAATTTAGTGTTGAATAAAGACAATAAAATAGTCCTCACTAAAAGCCTATGTATAGTTTTGACCAAAGAGAATAGAATATATATTAGAGTGGAATTTACTAGAAAAAAGTGTAAAACGGCCATTTTGTTGTACTGTTTCCATACTGCAGGTGTACTTCACATATTTGTGCTATATAACCTTTCGGGCCCTGGAACATCATTTTATAGAAAATCTAAAATTAATATTAAAAAAAAAAAACCAAATTATGAAATAGGCTGGTTTTATAATCGACCAATGATCAGTTCACATAGACTCTGCCTTTCATTTTACAAACGATGATTTTCCGTTATAACTATAAATCAAATGATGTTTTTTATTCACCTAATTCATTTTACAAAGTTTATTTAAAAGCTTTAAAAAATTCGAAATTGAAATGGATGTCCAGGAACATAATGTATTAATGTACTCTACTGCATATAATTTGTGAACATTTACATGATTTGTACACTTTGAACTTTCAGTATGAAAGGGACTGAAAAAAAGCATACCGAGGGATTGACTAAATTCCACTCTAATATATATTCTATTCTCTTTGGTTTTGACCCATGGTTTAATCTAAGGACAAAGAAGAAACCTGAACCAAGGGCCAAGAAGCGCTCATTTATTCAGCCTCGACAGCATTCGTTTTTAAAGGTAAAACAAGTTTTAATACAGAAGCAAGTAGAACAGAAGGTTGTGTTGAAATAACTTTCAACATTCATTTGTCAACCTATTCATGATTCTTGAAACAATAATCACGAAATTCTTCTAGTCCTGGGCGTGAGCATTTCCATTTTCCGATCGGGATACTTTTTTATGCTTTCAATATTTCAGGAGATATCAAGAATTTCGTTCAGATTTCTATTTATAAAATAAAACCTAAATTTTCGAAATTTGAACAAAATTCTTTACCTATAAATTTGGCTTGTCTGTCTGTTTGTTTGTATGCCCTAGACGTCAAAACGGCTAAACCGATCGGGCCCAAAATTTTTTGTGGGAAATTGCGTCACCCCAAATTTTTTTTATAAAATCCGCGTAATTTTTTTATTTGTTTTTCAATGTTATAATGAGAACATGTTCACAATTGAATTAGAAAATGGGCGCCCTAAAAGCCTGGTATATTATATATATACTTTGCTTGTATGGATGTGTACTCGTAACGTTGTTTTTGAGACTTTAAAAACATTAAAGTTCTCTCATACCCAGTGTGAGTAATGAGTATTTCCTGATAACCAGCGCACCACTTTTATATACGAGTGTTATAGTTTGCTTTATTGAAGTAGATATTGCCAACTTCTATCCTCACACTGGGAAATGAAATTAAACTAATGAGAGATTACAAAATATTTTCTATATATTTGTTTTACAAATATTGCATCAGGTCTCAAATAATAAGGTTTAAATCTCAAATAATATAAATTAGAGAGGCAAAATGTTCTTTTATATAAAAATACACTTACAAAGTTGCTCGGGTTCGAGTTTGATATGAGCAACAATTTTCGAAGAGATATCTTTTGCTTCATTCAGAGTCTTCTTGGGTGTAAAAGAAAGTTCTAGGTGAATTATGATTGAAAGACGGAATTCTTTTGAATCTCTTTTTTATCAGTTACTGGGCTTTTAGGGCGCTTTGCTCTCATCTTCTATTTCAATTTTGATTATTTTCTCCTCTTATACATTGTAAAATAAAAACTAAAAAATGTTCGCGGATTTTAAAAACAAAAATTTGTGCATTTTCAAAATTTAACGACAACTGAATTTTGTTGGACGCAAAATTTTGAAATTTTGTTCATCTATAAACCTTCCCTGGGGACATGTGAAGTCCCTTAAAAAGTTTGGGCCCGATCGGTTCAGCCGTTTTGGAATTTAATAGATACAAACAAACAGATCGATGACAAACAAATAAAGAAACAGACAGACAAGCAATATATATATATGTATAGACTAGGCTTCGCGCCCATCTTATATTTTAATTGTGAACATTTTGTGTACATTGTAAAACAAAACAAAAAACTTCGTGGATTTCATAAAAAAAATTTCATGGATTTCAAAATTTGATAAAAATCGAATTTTGTTTGAGACAAATTTTTGAAATCTTGATCATTCATAAACCTTCCCTGAGGCCACGTGAGGTCCTACACAAAATTTGGGACCAATCGGTTCAGCCGTTTTGACGTTCATTGGTTGCAAACGGACAAACAAACAGGCAGACAAACAAAGTATATATATGTTAGCAGTAATTGCAGTTCACCTATAGGTGTGATCCTTAAAGTAGCGAGGGGATAATATAAGGAAACCAAGGAAGACATCCTTGAGATTGTTCTCCGATCTTGAGAAATCATAGGAAGAAGGAAGAGGACTTATAGCTTCAGACAAGTAGACAATTAGAACCATGGAGGCGGAATAAGACCAGAGCAGTGTAGACAAGGTTTTTAGAGGTGGAAGACGCCCTCAGGAAACATCTCACGAGGTGGAGTACGTGTATGAGATCAATCAGACGGAGTTTATGAACAGGATGGAAACGATACTGAATACATATGTTTTAAGTTAACTAAGTTCATGTGCATAATATTTCACTGATAAATATTCGATATGTTCAAGGTTTTAGGTTCTGGTCAAGAATTAACAAATATTCACCTGTAGATTTCATATACTCGTCGAATGATGATATAGTTTTGTAGATGGTAAATTTTAGGTTTAATGTAGGATGGAGGAAACACATTGTTACTAGATCTATACCACTAATGACTTTGCTAATTAGCCAAGTCTTAGTATACCACCTTTATATAACATCTTTACAAATAATTAAAATGTTAGCTCAAGGCCTTTCATATAAAACTGGAAGTTGCTTTAAAGAGATGAACCCTCGTATAAAACTGTAGGTTCATTCAACCCATTCTTCGTCTGGAAAAGACGATTATATACTTTTTGATAATTTATTTATTTCCAAGCCAAATTCTCAAATAAGATATATAATTTATATAAAAAACTCATGATTTACATTCTCATGGTTTGACAAGGATAAAATCAAAATATCAACATAATTAATATAAAATTAAGGAATGAAAAGTTTTAGAAATATAGGAGAAAGTTTGAATTTTCATGTGTCGATCAAGTTTCTTTTTTCTCCGAATCTAGGTTTCACATTTCACACTCAGCACATGGATCTGCTTTTCTCTGAGATCTTCAAAAATCCTGAACATTAAAAGTTTCTAGTAGATCCTCAGATTCCACAGGGTGTATGTTTGTCCGTTAGTCCGCCTGTATCCAATAAACGTCAAAATGGCTTAACCGATCGGGCCCAAATGTTGTGTGGGACCTCATATGACCCCATGGAAGGTTTATGGAACATCAAAATTAGAAGAAAGACCTGGAAAATATTTTTTTTTGAAAACGTGCTAATTCGAAAAGAAAATCCACCAAAAATTTGAAAATGATATAAAATTGCCGACTTCCGCAAATTATTTCAAAGTTCAAAGAAGACCTTCAAGTCGTCTTGCTACTGACAAGTTTCGTGGGACACCCTGGACCTTTTTAGATTCTAAACTTTTTATAATTAAGATACAAGGGTGAAGTTGCAAGGATGGAAACCTTTTGGAACAAAATGAGAATTAGTATTAGAATTAAATCACCACACAATTTAACTCTTTTTATGTTGACGATAAGCCTTACCTATTCCTATGATGATTACATTTATTATAATCCGAGATTTGTTCTAAGGATATGAAGGCAAGAGCTAAAAAGCAACAGAAACCCGCCATCCAAACTGAAGGTGATTAATTAAGAATTCATATTAAAAAATTTAAAAGAATGCATGATAAAACTCATTTATAAATTTAAATAGGGAAAAAGAAAACTAACTCTAAAAAGTGTGTTTATGATATTTCTTCCTCCCCTCCTCCCTTCAAATACCAGAGATTAACCTATGGACGCAAACCAAAGAAGAAACACAGCGGGAATATATTCTCTGATGATGAGGATTCGCCGGTTGATATTAATGAGGAACTCAGGTTTGACTGGGAGGTCCCAAAGTTCCGCGGGAAGTGTCAGATTCGGAAGAAGAACGAGATCAATGATGGAGGAAAAGGAAGGATTGCTAGGAAACCTCTAAGGAATCAATCGTTCCAAGGAGATACAGAGATATTAAGATCTGATCCTATCTCTGATCTAGCCGAGATCTCAAGTATGGCTGATATCGGATCAAGAGAAGATATAATTGAACAATTCTCGGAGGTAAATTTTGAATTTTAAAACAAGACATTTTTTCTTGAAAAAGTATTTAAAATAATCAAATCTTGTTTTGTTTTTGTGAGTATCTAGTTTAATCTTGGTAAATATTGTACAAACAAAATATAAATAATAAATAGTATAGTTATCTGAACTAAGATTAATCTTGGTAAATATTGTACTAGCAAAATATAAATAATAAATAGTATAGTTATCTGAACTAAGATTAATCTTGGTAGATATTGTACTAGGAAAATATAAATAATAAATAGTATAGTTATCTGAACTAAGATTAATCTTGGTAAATATTGTACTAGCAAAATATAAATAATAAATAATATAGTTATCTGAACTAAGTTTAATCTTGGTAAATATTGTATTAGCAATATGAATAATAAATAATATAGTTATCTGAATTAAGTTTAATCTTGGTAAATATTGTTGTTAGCACAAATTCGAAATATAAGGAAGACGATTTTACCGATTCAGATGCCGTTGACTATTTTCAAGACGTATTAATCTTTTTCCGCCGGTCCGCCCACATGTCACCCTCGCTCCTTCGTCCCCCCACCCCTCTACACATCCTAGCCCCTCAGTCAGGTTAGGAGAGTTGGGCTAGTAACAGCTCCGACACAAGGAGCCTCTTGACTCCTTCATTATGATGATACAGATACTCAGCTAACAGCAGGCGTGCTTATACCTGATCTCTGCCTACTAATTTTGATAAGCCCTGTTGTTCCAGTTCCTGTTGATCTGCTCCACCAACATGAAGCTATACAACACTCCCATGAAGTGCACACAAGTATTCATCATTAATTCCTTTGTTAATTTCTAAACCAACCAATTTTAACCCTGTCTTATGCAAATATTTCAAAACTTTCGTTTTTTAAATAAATGTTAGAAATATCCATTTCAGATATCTTTGTTTTATTATAGTGACTTTTTAAAGTCAACAATTGTACTTTCAAAATATAAATAATAAATAATATAGTTAGTTATCTGAACTAAGTTTAATCTTGGTAAATATTGTACTAGCAAAATATAAATAATAAATATTAAAGTTATCTGAAAATGATAACACCCATAAAACATTTAGCCCTGAGCTGGGAGGTCTAATACGTCTAAGTTACGCTTAAAAATTGGTAAACATTATACCTAACCTCAAATCTTAAGATTTAATGTTCTAGGTCGTCATTGAAGTCTTATCCTTTGAAAAGTAAATAAATAATATGTTCATTCACTTTGCATACTTTAGAGTAAACCTATATCTACTATCTCTGCTCTGGAACAAGATATTTTCGATTAAAAATCAATATGTCATTTTTAGGAAGAAGTTAACATAAAACTGTCTGAGAAGAAAGGAAAGATGAGATCTAAACATCAAGGTTCTGATCTATTCTCTGGATCTAAGATATCAGGAGATGACTTATCCTCTGGATCTAGGATTCAACAAGTTAATCCGTCAACAGATCAGAGTTTGCCTCTTTTCTGTTTATCCACAGCACTACAGTGCGCCAGGTGTAGCATTAAACTCTTTATTTTGGGATTTCCAAAATTTTATGACACAAATAAGGAATAATCTAGGTTTGAAATATCAAAACTTTATACCTTCAGGTTGTAAAGATATAGGGATAATAAAATTAGAGTTTGTGTCAAAAACTCAAATCCAAGACGTAAATTAAAGATATGCCTATATCTTGGTAAAATTTTATATAGCAGAATTCATAGTTTGAAATATATAATTTCTACAATATTCGGTTGCTCAGATATAGATTGGAAAATCCGAGTTATTGGCAACTACTCAATTTCTTTGTTTATGATACTGAATACATCCATGGTTAGTTAGGCTTTAATGAAAGAGAATAGAATATATATTAGAGTGGAATTTAGAAAATCCTTCGGTATGAATTTTGCCAGTCCCTTTCAGCCTGAAAGGGAGTTCAAAGTGTACAAAGCATGTAAATGTTTACAAGTTATATGCAATAGAGTACATTAATACAGTATGTTCATTAGACTAAGCATTTAAATTTCGAATTTTTTAAAGATTTAAAATAAACTTTATAAAATGAATTAGGTGAATAAAAAACATCATTTGATTTATAGTTATAACGGAAAATCATCGTTTGTAAAGTGAAAGGCATAGAGTCTATGTGAAATGATCATTGGCCAATTATGAAACCAGCCTATTTCATAATTTGGTTTTCTTTTAATATTAATTTTAGATTTTCTATAAAATGATGTTCCAGGGCCCAAAAGGTTATATAGCGCAAATATGTGAAGTACACCTGCAGTATGGAAACAGTACAACAAAATGGCCGTTTTACACTTTTTTCTAGTAAATTCCACTCTAATTTATATTCTATTCTCTTTGGCTTTAATCCACCTTAAATCAGGGGGGAGGATAGTTCTCTACCTGTGTGCTCAGTTAGCTGTACTGTACAATTACAACTGTTTACTAATATTGATATACTATAGGTCAAGGAGAATTGAATAGAAGGAGGGGGCAATAGGGTTTCCGTACACTTTCCTGTGACGTTTTTAGACTGCTGAAGAATTAGTTTTTGCGTAACAACAATAATAAAGATTGTAAACAATAACAAAAATGATAAACAGACATCTGGCATCTCTGGTGCGTTAGATGAAGATTCACCGTATACTAACTCATGTTTGTTTACATTAGATCGGCTGCCTTTGTTATTGTGTTACGCAAAAACTAGTTCTTCAGCAGTCCAAAAACGTCACAGCAAAGTGTACGGAAACCCTATCGCCCACTCCTTCTATTCAATTCTCCTTGCTATAGGTTAGGCCAGAATTAACTTCTGATAAACAAATCTGCAGTACTCTCTCGGTATAGTTTATGGCCATATACAATTAGTAAAAGATTAGCGTACATCATCACTCTATAAACTATAACCTCGTTGACCTAAATCTTCAAATATTTCTTTTGATCACTGACAGGGAGTAAGGAATAGAAGGGAGATATAACTGACGCGGTTCGCCCTACCATATGATTATACATGCTTTACAGACGAAGTACTCCATTTAAATAAGAAATATTTAAATGTCGTCTTATGCACAATTACCGCGTACATGTATTCAGAAAAGGTCATTTAATACATTTAACAGGGAAAAAAGTATGCTGAACATCGCCAAATAAATTCATTTTTTAAGATGCAAAATTATTAGCAATACAAACGTTTTTTTATATTAAATAAGATTGTTTTTATTTATTATGGTAAAGTAACTACATTTAATTTAAAAAATTATAAGACGACCTTTAAAAAAAACTTTTTCAAATGGAGTACTTCGTCTGTAAAGCATGTATAATCATATGGTAGGGCGAACCGCGTCAGTTATATCTCCCTTCTATTCCTTACTCCCTGATCACTGACCAGCAATAATTTTGTGGATGTACTGAGTAAATGCGGAGTGCAGATATTATTGCTCGAAATATCACTGGTAGAAACGTAAACTACTCAAGAAATGCTCGAACTTGACTGTTAAGACCTCCTTCTGTCTTTGGTTATTTATACATAGATCGAGTAATTTAGTATTGAGCAATTATATCAGCGAGGTTATATTATAAATGAGTGATGATGTACGCTAATCCGATAAGAGTCAATTTGTTGTAGGTACAGCCAAATCTGCGAGTTTTCATCGCTAATTAACGGTTCTGAGAAAACTGAATAAAATTTAAGATACAAAACCTCCCCATATACTTGTACTTCAAAAGCGTACTGCATAGGCCAATTTCTTAGTCGAGTTACCCTGGGTACTACCCCGGGTAAATTGGAATTTACTCTAGAGTTACCCTATGTTCCGATTTTGTCGACCTAAAATACCATGGGTTACGATAGACTCTAGAGTAAAATTACCCAAGGGAAGAGCAAACTCAGGGGTATTAGATTTAACCAGGGTAGAATGCGCTAATAGAGACCAGAAAATAATATAAGAAAATTGCATAGTTCAGAAAAGCGAAAATTATATTCACGATACGAATATAAAAAAATAATATACCTAGAAAAATTAAAATTTAGACATTAAGAAGAGAATATTTCAAAATGTCCATCCATCAGTTCTTTAACAGAATTGATGCATAAAAAAAAGTTTATATTATATTCGTTCTGATGAATTTAAAATAACCATGATTTTCTATTATTATTACTGTTTGCTTTCATTAAATTTTTAAATTTTTTTATTTCTTTTTTACTTTATTTCAAGTCTAATAAGCAACGACGACTTTTGAACCCAGCACTTATTTGTTGACGTCATTTTATACACGTGCGCAGTAAGCAAGTTTTATATATTTACCCAGGGTAGAATCCTGTTCAAGAAACCGAAGACAATTTCTACCCAGGGTAGCAGTTAACTCTAGAGTAAATATACTCTAGTGTTTACTCTAGGGTTACAGAAATCTCTAAAAATTGGACTCATATTTGATGTTTGTACTGTATGAATAGGCCATAATCTGTTAATATCCTTCATCAGTAAACTGTCCTTAGTGTACACTCAGGCTAATATACACGCGCAGGTAGCTAAGATCCAGCCCCCCTGAATTATATCCGCAGCTAGAAAATTGAAATAATTTACTTCATGATTCAGTTTGAATAAACAAACGTATTATTTGTAAGGTTTGCGAGAGAGCATGAAAAGAATTCAACCTCTGAAGATCTGGCTCCGCTCTGGGAGGAATTGAAGCATCTGTTGGCTCAGAACAGATATTAAGCTTCAAACACTGTAACATCAAGCAATTGCGGTGGACGTGGAATGCAATATTAAATTTTGGCGTATTTTGGAAATTTTCAGTGGAACAGTAATTTTTTTAGACGGTTAAAAATTAGGTTGATGAACTTGTAATGAAATTGTATCTTTTGTTTTAAGACCTTTAAAATGTATATGTAAAATTATTAGATTTCGGATAAAATTATAATATGTAATATGTAATAATATTAGTATATCTAGCTGTTAATAGTCGTTTATTCTTGTTAAAATCCTTGTATGTAATAAATAGATAATGTACAATTCCAACCTGTCAAACTGTTATGTATCGCTGATATACGCCTTTAAGAGACTGTCACAATTTTGAATATTGTCTAAACGAGACGACAAGAGTTTTCCAAGTATGTTTTGGCCATATTTTAGTCACAAAGTAGCTAGAAATTTAGATTTTAGCTTTATTTCAGCACTGGTTTCAACTATTTAAACATTTTGCTTAAGGTTAACAATTTGTTGATTCGAAAAAAACATGTCTAAATTTTGTCAGTATGGTAATTGTGCATGGGAAAGTATAATTGGATCGGTTTGTATAAGATTTTTCCTCTTGCACATTTTCTATTAATATTTTATAGATTAGATTACAATGAGTCGTTTAGGACATTCATCTCGAATCTTTCGGCCGAATTTACGTTCCAGGAGATCATTACTCTCAGATCTTAATCAAACTCAAATCTCGAGTACGGTTATCGATCCACCCAACCACGTCACAACGACCTCAACCTCTCTAGCCTGCTTGCCGTTAAACGTGTTGACCAAGATCTATTCAAGACTTGACCTCACTACCTTGGGTAACCTCGGTCTGGTCTCTAAGAGTTTAGCAGATACTGTTATTGAGTTCTTGGAGCAGGATAGTGTGTCCTCTATGTTGTTCCCCAGCTGTATCCATTTAGGAATAGAGGAGGAGAAGACTAAGTATATTATTCGAGGCAGTCAACGTGTTTATACGATGAATTCTAGCAACCTGGCATCAAACTATAGGAACATTATAGATTAACAATATCCCTATTGAAAACATTACTTTTCTTCCTCAATCCTCATCTCGTCCCAGGGGCGGCTTACGATAATTTTCTAACGAATTTTGTTTCTGAAATTCACTCTAACACCTTCGCTTATTTGTATCACACGAAATTAAGCATTTTTACTCAACAATTATTTATAAGACGCATTTTACACTATAAATTTATTGGTCACTGTTCGCTATAGTCTTTTTACAACATTAACTTTGTGTTTTGTAATTTCACATTCGTTACAAAGGTTCTAGTTAAAAGTTTCTAAACAAAATTAGTTTAGTACTGTTTAATTCTGTTAGATGAAAAAATCCAAGTTTGAAATATCAAATTTTACACCATCAGGTGGAAAAAATATAGGTATTAGATAATCAGAGTTTGTTACAAAGACTGAATTCCTTTTGTCAACTCGCACTTTTATTATCTCAGCTTTAATGTCGCTACTTAAGAATCAAGACATAATTGACACACAAAAGATCGCATTCTTTAAGAACATTATGAAGAAATAAATACACATTTTAAACGGAATTATAACTTATTTCTGTAAAATAAACAGCAAGATATTATGGTTCTTTGTTAACATTTGAATTTAAAACCATAGAGTATTGCTCGTGCCCCGGCCCTCTGAAAAAAAAACTTATTTGTAAAAAAGTATCAAATCTTCATCTTAGTTTTGAATTTTGTCCAACTTTTCTAAAATTTAAATCTTGAAACTGGTAGGAGCTTGGGATTGATGATTAAGAGGGTTAGTATGGTGAAACCAACTTCTATTCGTCTATCTCTAGCATACAGTGTAATGCACAGGTATAAAATATGCTGATAATCTCAGTCTCCAGGATTTTCTTTTACTCTATTGAACTTAAAAAATGATCTTTAAATGTTAGAATGATTATTTTTTTTCAGTCATTATGTGTGAAAAATATTTTTAAAAGTTTTGTCACTGTTTATTATTAAAGCTCAAGCCTCACTTACTTTAAAATTGGTAAGCCTTATGGTCGTTCTGTACTTACACAATTCCTATTGCATACTAAAGAATGTGTCCAAATAATTATTTTTGATTCTTAAAGGGACCGTTCACTTATAGAGAGGGACCGTCCCTTTCCGATCAAATTCTGAATAAAAAATTGGCTTTTTCTCCGGCCACAGTTGTCTTTGAAAAGTAAGACTATTACGAATCAACAGCGAATAGGCTGTTTAGTTTACTCTGAAATTACCCAAATAAGTGAACGGTCCCTTTAAGAAGGTATAAGTAATGTTTCTTATAAAGAGAGCAGAAAATAATTTAGCAGTAGATTAAATCAGGGGAGTGGATACAAAACGCCCAAAAGCAAAATGTCCAATAACAAAAAGTCCAATAACAAAACACCCATATTACACATCACCCAAAAACAAAACAAAATACCCAATGTTACAAATCGTCCAAAAACAAAACACCCAAATAACAAAAACATCCAAGATAACAAAAAGCCCAAATTTACAAAATGTCCAAAGTTACAATATGTCCAAAGTTACAAAATGTTCAAAGTAACAAAATGTCCAAAATTACAGAATGTCAAAAATTACAAAATGTCCAAGGTTATAAAATCTTAGTAACTTGCATACTAAATATCTTGTATCTTAATATCTTAGTAATAGGGATTTTTAATCTTTTTTGTTTGAAAATAAAAATACCAGTTTTTAAGTTGTAATTAAACATTTTATTATTTTGACATTTTTAGAAAATTTTAAACATTTTTTAATTCTGGACGGTTTGACATTTTGTAACTTTGGACATTTTTTATCTCTGGACATTTTGTAACTTTGTGTATTTTGTAACTTTGGATATTTTGTAAGTTTGGACATTTTGTAACTTTGGACATTTTGAAATCTTGGGTGTTTTGTTTTTGGGTGTTATGTTTTGGGTGTTTTGTTATTGGACATTTTGTTCTTGGGCGTTTCGTATCCACTCCAAATCAGGAATAAATGGCCGGACTATTTAGGGTTAATAGAGGCTCACTTAATTTAATTAAACAAATTTCTGTGAAAATTGGAGGATAATCTATTAAAAAAATTGAGGTCAAAAATATAAATACGATTGCTGAGCATATGCAATTATTTAAAAAAAATAGAATTTAATCTTAAAAATTAATTTATCATTATTTTATTATTAAATGACGTTGACTGTGCAGGATAAGTCTGATTGTGGCATCTGGGTCTAACAAGGAACTGATGACAGGGTTTGGTATCTACTTCCATTCATTCACTAGGGTACAATATAAATGCATTAGTATATTTCATTCATTCACCAGGGTACAATATAACTGCCTTATTATCTTCCATTCATTCACCAGGGTACAATATAACTGCTCTATTATCTTCCATTCAATCACCAGGGTACAATATAACTGCTTTATTATCTTCCATTCATTCACCAGTGTATAATATAACTGCTTTATTTTCTTACATTCAATCACCAGAGTACAATATAACTTCTTTATTATCATCCATTCATTCACCAGGGTACAATATAACTGCTTTATTATCTTCCATTTATTCACCAGGGTACAATATAACTGCTTTATTATCTTCCATTCATTCACCAGGGTACAATATAACTGCTTTATTTTCTTACATTCATTTACCAGGGTACAATATAACTTCTTTATTATCTTCCATTCATTCACCAGGGTACAATATAACTGCTTTATTATCTTCCATTCATACACCAGGGTATAATGTAACTGCTTTATTATCTTACATTAATACACCAGGGTACAATATAACTGCTTTATTATCTTCCATTCATTCACCAGTGTACAATAAAACTTTTTAACTATAATAATTTTTTTATTTTATTAAATTTTACAATATTTTAAAATTTCTATATGATATCAATGGAAACATTTTGAGACTTTTCTTGTTTTTCATTCTTCTCGATTGTCCATTCCTTGTCCATCCTTCAATAATACTGCAGCTAATTTTGAAAATAAGAATAAATGAATTTTCTGGATGATCATGCAGCTAGCCATTGCAAGAGAAAGAATTATTTTTCCAACCTGTATCTCAGACCTATTCTCAGGGGAGCAAGGTCACTACCCTCTCCCCTTGTTTTGTTTTCTATTTTGCTTGAGTAAGCTGTAACACATTTAGCCTGTGTAAGCTGCTGTTCTACACACTTTCCATGATATTTCTAGGAGGCGGGAAGGGGGGGTTGGTGCGGGCTACACATTTTCCAGTATTTTATTTTGAGTAGGACAGANGGGGGATGGGAAGTCTGTCATTCTGTGTATTTGTCTTCATTTGCTATTGGTGAAAAAAATCCCCTTCTAATTTTCCTGTTTAAAGTTTTCTTCTTCTTTCTTATTTTATCTTGTTTTAAGTCCCCATCGCTACTGTCAAGAGATTTCCCTTCTATTATTTTCTGTTAAATTTCTTTTTTCTTCTTGCTTCTTGTTTCTGTTTTTACACAGTAAGGCCTTTCCAAATAGTTCTTTTTTGACATCAAGTTGTGGAGCAGGTAGGAGAGAGATAAGGAAGTTTGTAGGAAGAAGGGTATAAGGGATTGCTCCCTGTGTTCCTTCATTTTATACTGTTTCCCATTTAAGGGATTAAGGAAACCCATAACTGCGCCCCTTATGCAAAATGGGGAGTTGTGAGCCCTGAAAGCTCTCTTGAGAGGAATCTTCATCTTGTCGAGTAAAATACCAATATCGTTTTGCATAGCTTGTATACCCACGAGGCGTTAAACTCCTTCTTTTAGTTCACCAAGCTGAAGATGAAGTTTTGTTTTAATCTATGTACAATTCTTGCTTCCCCTGTAGGATACAAGATGCGAAACTAAACTCAGCGCTTCTCCAGCTGTAATTCTGGGACCACTTAGGATAGGTCCGCTCTGCTTGAAAGCAGTCAGGCAACTGACCAGCAGGGTACAATGTAACTGCCTTTTTATCTTACATTCATTCACCGGGGTACAATATCACTGCTTTATTATCGCACTATAATTTTAAAATTAACTTTCTGGAGTGATGGACTTTTAAAAAGATAATCTAAATATCCTAAGATGACATTAATTTTCAAAAATAAACTGAAATGAATTGGGGGAGATAGTGAATACTGTATCCTGAGAACAATCTACTAAAACTCAATATTCATTCGGCCTGAGTACTGCATATCACTGCAGTACGCACCTTAAACTAAGTTTAGGGTGTGGGCCGGGAAAATCTATATATATATACTTTGATCGTCTGTCTGTATGTCGGTCTGTCTGTCTGTCTGTCTGTTTCTATCCAATAAACGGCTGAACCGATTGGGTCCAAATTTTGTGTGGGACCTCACGTGACCCCAGGGAAGGTTTATGAATTATCAAAATTTTAAAAATTTGTGTTCAAAAGTTTTTATTTTTAGAATTTTTTAAATGCGCGAAAAAATATTATGAAATCCGCAAACTTTTTTTTATTATACTTTACAAAGAGAAGATGCTCACAGATAAAGCTACAGTTAAAAGTTGGAATAGAATATGGGTACGAAGCGCCCTAAAAGTCTAGTAATCTATATTTTCTCAATCAAGTTGGTTACAGTTTATTGATTGATGTTTAAATCATTCCGATAATGTTTTGAATGGGTAAAAACTATTTTGATGAAACATATTTAGTTTTATGTTTTAATAGTTAAAGTTTTATATATGTACTTTGCTTGTCTGTCTGTCTGTTTGTATCCAATAAACGGCTGAACCGATTGGGTCCAAATTTTGTGTGGTTCATGAATTATCAAAATTTCAAAAATTTGTGTTTGAAAGTATTTTATTTTTAGAATTTTAAAAAAGCGCGAAAAAATATTATGAAATCCGCAAACTTTTTTTTATTACTGTACAAAGAGAAGATGCTCACAGATAAAGCCACAATTAAAAGTTGAAAAAGAATATTGGCGTGAAGCACCCCAAAAGCCTGTATTTAAATATTGTATTGTAGGGCTGGAGATCAGATGAAAGTGAAGCTGCGGCTAGGATGATTTCATCTCACAATATGGCAGAGATTCAATCCTTACTCCAGGAACAAACTTGTTGTCTCTAACATATTCACGTCGTTTTAAAATGTGTCGAAAATTCCTGAAGGATAAATTATCCAAATATGAACATAAAAAAGAAAATTACAGTATACATACAGTGAAACCCTTAATAACGAATACATCGAAAGAATTCATCAAATGTCGTATTCTTCACTTTCTGATAATGGAAGGTTGCAGATATTTAGTTTTTTAATTAAATGATTATATGGAACTCGTTAAAACTGTTCCCGCATATTCATGGATATTTATTTATTTTCGCAAATACTGAAATTTACGTAATATAGTATAAAACTCATTGAAAAGTTGTCAAGACGACATTTGATAAATTCTTCCGATGTATTCGTTATTAAGGGTTTCACTGTATACTACAGAGACCTATATCACTTTTGCTTTTTATCATCAAACAAACACAGTATTGCTTACATGTTGTCTTCCTATTTCTTAGTTCTGAACCCAACTGTATTAACAAACAAATTTTTTCGTGACCCTAATTTTTTTTAATTTTTGAAAAATCTTTAGAAGACGTTGCCATTTTTTTGGCCAGCGGTTTTTTAAAGATGGATCCGGATCAAGCTGGATCCTAAGCACTTTAATCCTCCTAATAGTTTGGATCCCCAGGAGGAGTACATTTTCGGTTCCAACCCTATCCTGGAGATCACAGTCAGGAACTTCCTCAGGGCATTCTTCGTCGATGTGGAGAAGGAAAACAGGTTTAGAAACTAGACAAAACTTATAAATCATTTTAAACTCTTGATTTGTTGATAAAATAAATCTAGGGATTAATATAATACATATTATTTTCATAAGTGCAAAGGTGCAACTTTAAAGATTTTGTAAAAAAAGGTTTTATTCTATGTAATCTTTAATTATAATATACTAGACGTCAATTTTCTGCTAACTGACAGTGCATGTAGTCTGCAAGAAATATTATTATTTTGAGGTCATGAAAAATTATTGCTTCAAGCCTTTGCATTACGTAAAGATATGCGGCATATACAGGATAACAATACCTACAATTAGTATAGGACTTCAATGACGACCTAAAAAATATTAATACAAAAGAAAAAGGTTAAATATGGAGTTCTGCATCGAACATCATCTTTTTATTGTGTGTGATTAAGTTTTGAAAAAAGTAACAGTTTACAGTTGCAGGGAACGTATATAAAAAAGCCTGAATAAATTCCGTACGGTCAACTTTATATCATGTTGATTAAAATCACAGAAAACACTTATTATTCCACCGCTATTGGTTTCCATCATATGTTACATTGCATTTTTCTTGGCCTCTCTGTTTTTATTGTTTTTCTAAAGTTTAATCTGAGAATATTGTCGGAAAAAAGTTAGAATATTGGTTGAGATTAAAGACCCTGTCTAGGCTCTCCTGGTTGCTGGCCATGGTTCGTATATTCGTCCCATTCCGTGAGTCGGAGAAGGTTGGGAAACTGCTCTGCCTCGCCTCTGCTCCTCTCAAGGAAGCAAGATGGTTGGAGGGAATACAATGGAAGGTAGGTGGACAATAAGGTTTATATTTCATGATTTTTTCAAACCTTAATCCTACCACTATTTCAAGACTGTATTTTTAGGGCTTAGGCAGCAAAGAAAAGCAAGATAATAATTAAGATTTGTTTCATTTTATAAGTTACACATCTCTTATGTTGTTGTGAACTGTTGATGGCATTTTTTGTTTAAATGTCATCCAAACCTATTTAGGATAATATGGAAGCAGTTCCGGCTTGTGTCAAGGTGGCGAACTATAGATATCAGGAGCTCGTCAAAATTATTCTTAATCTGGAGAGATTAGGTGGATATCAAGGTATACTATATAGTATAGATATCAGGAGATTATCAAAATTATTCTTAATCTGGAGAGATTAGGTGGATATCAAGGTATAATATGGTGATCATATGTCATAAAATATTTAAAACATAAATAGGGAACAAAAATAATTTTAGATTTTTTAATAAGTTTTTAAATAAAAGTAAGACTTTGTTTAGGTTCAGATAATTGTCTGATGAAGGTTCTCTCTGTGGTATTCCGAACTCCCCAACCTTGGTTACCGGAGAATAAAGCTAGTTTTCTTATCCTCTCAGGTCCTAGGATCACAAGGTGGGTTCTACTCGTTCTACCATCCACTCAAATATGCTTAAAACTAACTAAATATCGAAGTGCATCCAGTTTGTATCGGAATATTTTCCATCTTATTTTGATCTCATTTCCAAAATCCGTTAAAAATCATTTTTATTTGAATATTAGAAAAACATAGCCCAACAAAAAAAGTATATAACAGAAAAAAATGAAATTTCACATAAAAAGTGAAAAGGGGGATTAAAGTTAAGAATCATTGGGGAACCAGAACTCCTAGTTTACCATGGTCAGAGTTCACGTAATGACAACCCATTTATAGATTTACAACGTTGCTCCATCGCGTCGTATGATGATTAAGACAAATCTTTTACCCAACCATTCTGGAAAAAATAAATTGTTTTTTTTTTGCCACAAAATCAAATATTCTGTCCCTGTATCTTCGCAACCTGATGGTTCACCTTCGATATTTCAAACTTAAATTATTTGATTAGATAATCAGAGTTTATGGCAAATACTCCAATTCCTTTACATTCTTGTTTTTTCCTCCTTGTAATTGCTCGATCACCTCGCTCTTTGAACAATCCTAAATTATCTACTTTTATACTTCATCTCCTTTTTCTTCACTATCCTCCTTTTTGTATTTATTTAAACCCCAATGGTTTTTTACTTTTGATAAACTTGTATGATTCTGATAACTGATATTTTCTTTCAGACAAAATATCAATTATTTATCCTTAACTTCAAAACTTGGAAAATCAATTTTTATTTTTTTTTGTTCTGGTTTCAGGCAGTACCTGGCGTACTTAGTGAACCAGGCAGTACAATGTAACAGGATGGACCCACCTATCACCAGGGTGGTATAAAATATATATCAAAAATTGACCCTCATAACATGAACAGGGTTACCCACACAGGATGAGTTGACTGCATAAAATTTATTTAATATTTTCTTTTAGAATCTACTCCTTGCTACTTAAAATTTCTACATTTTTTGTTAAATCATTAAAAACTTTCCAAGGCAAAATTCAACCTTAAAATTGATATATATGAGAGTTTGAGGCTGTCGGCGTTCAACTTTCATTATTCCTAGGTGACCCTGTATGTACTGTTCTTTTGTGTTGTGTTGATAATCTTTTAAACCTCCAATTCAGTAACCTATAAATATGGGTATACTCATGATTTTTAAAATTATTATTTTAATATCAGATTTTGTTTTGTATGTTTCTAAGAAGACAACAAAACTAACTTTTACTCGACCAAGTGTGAGTCTGAGCAGTTCATACTAAATAATCATAATGGATGTCACAATAAACAGGAGTTAAGTGACAATACTAAAATAGTTTTAGTCGCATTCAATTTCTCCAACTAAATTCGTTATCATAATATAATTTTATCTAAGAACGATTGTTTTATATTTCCTCTAGCTCTGCTTAAAAGTCGGTCTGTTATTCAAATGAACCGGAGTTGATTATATTATATACCCTGATATACAGAGAATCCTTCAACCTGGTTGGAGATGTTCTTCTTGGTCTCTTCCTAATGCAATCTAGGTTTAGGAGATCTATGGAGCTCATCTACATCAGGTTCAGTAGTAACAACAAAGTTGCAGAGTTGTGTATTTTTGATAATAATTTTTTCCCGTATAAGTAATTTTTTAAGGGTATATTCGCCTAACTGGGAAAAATTACTAAAGTTTTGGGCAAAAAGTGTCAACAAACTTTCCTTTTGATGTCAACTTTTCGTTTTAATAGTAAATTATTGAATTAGATGAACTTGTGATATCTAACTGTTGGATTGGATGAACTGATAGTATCTTAATGTTGGATTGGATGGACTGATGTGTTGTGTTGTGCTGTGCGCTGTGTGCTGTGTGTTGTGTGTTGTGTGTTGTGTGTTGTATTGTATTGTATTGCATATCATTGGATGAACTGACGATATCTTATTGTTGGATTGGATGAACTGATAGGATCTGATTGTTGGGTTGGATGAACTGATAGTATCTAATTGTTAGATTGGATGAATTTATAGTTTCTTTTTGTTGGATTGAATGAACTGATAGTATCTAATTATTGGATTGGATAAAGAAATTATATTTAATTGAACGAACTGATGATATCTAATTATTATAATGACTGTACTAATTTAATAATTATGTCTTATTGTTATATTTCATTAACTTATAGTCTCTAATTATTAGATTGGACAAATAATAACTGATTGTCAGTTTTAATGAACTAATTATGTTTAATCGTTAGATTGGATAAACTAATGATTTACAATCTTATATTAAATTCATTAATGCCATCTATTTGTTAGATTGGATGAATTGATCCCTTTACTACCCAGCTCTGCCCGGAAACCATTCTTCAACGCAGTCTGGGGCTCTATCTCCAGGGAGATGGTTGAAGTGAGGGAGGGAGTGGAGGATGATTGGGCTAAAGATTCATCCTTCCATATATACTCAGTCATTCGGTAGGTTTCCGTTTACTACAACATTCGGTAGGTATTGGTGAACTACAACATTCGGTAGATATTGGTGAACTACAACATTAAGCAGGTATTTACAAAATTCCGTAGGTATTGGTGGACAACAACATTCGGTAGGTATTGGTTGATTACAACATACAGTAGGTATTGGTGGACTACAACATTCGGTAGGTATCGGTGTACTACAACATATGCAGTAGGACATAAATGAGTACTAATATAGTAATACTAGACTTCTATTCAAGTGTTTATTTTGTGGCTTAATCTGTGAGCATCTTCTCTTTGATTTTAAAAATTTAAGATTTAAGACAGACAGACAAGCACAGTTTATATATTTAGATAGTAAAACTATTGTTTTAGATTAAGTTTGTTATTTCTTTCTCTGGTTGATTAGATAAAATTGGCTCATGATTCTAGTCAAATATCTCGATACGAGTTCAGCTTTTGTACCAGGTCCTTATATCTGAGCTGAAAACTTAAGAATGAAATATCCATAATTCCGACGGGTTAAGTAATCTGGAGATTAAAAACAAGAGGAGAACAAGCATTATTTTATCTTGAGATTAAGAAAAAGAGTGGATCAAGCATTAATCCCAATATCCACAATTCTAAAGTTTTCAGCTCAGAGCAGTTTTTATTATTTAGGACTCTAGGATTGAGGTTAACAGTTAAGGGATTTCTCAATCGTGAGAATACAGAGAGGATGGATACATCAGAGATTGAGGATTAGTGTCTATACTCCAAGGTTTAGACTGAGCTTTAGAGATAACCATACTCCAAGGTTTAGAGCTCGAGAGATAACCAACCCAAGATTTAAATGATATCTTGTATCCTAGGGGGCTAGTCTATTTCCACATTTAAGCTTAGATTGAAAATTCGATATGCTATAATTATATTTAAACCTGTTATAAACTAATATTTGTAACTCGAAATGATTTGTTAAAAAATTAAAATTTATTGTTATGTTTTTACCCTTTTTCTAACCTAAATAAGGAGATAGTTGTTCAACTTTAATGAATTAATTTTAATTTTGAGTATTATTTCTGCTACCCAGCTAAAAAATATTCTTTCTGCTCCTAATAAAAGAGGATTTAAAATACTTATGAGATCAAATAAACCTGTCTAATGTAAATTCAGAGATTCTATTCAACAAATATTTTGCAATTGCAACAAAGAAGATTGAGACATCTTACACAATTCAATTAATATCAATATCATTTTATGAACTATTCATTTCATGTTAACTGAGACGCCATGTATGTTTTGCAAATCAGCAATAAAATGTTGCTTGTATATTTTTTTTGGGAAACATATTCTAACCGTAGATGACCTCACCATCAAGGTCAAATTTTGATGGCCTCACATAAAGGTCAACGATGTAAATATTTTGATATAAGAAATTCCTACATAAGTAGAAATATAATAAGTAGTAGGACACACAGGGTGTCCCACATAAATCCATATAGGTTGATAAGGCCAAATATTACCTATCATTGTACAATTTTACTTAAATCCTGCTAATAACCATTGCGTTGATTAATGATTTTTGAATCCAAAAGAAACGTACCGGGTGTGTGTACACTGTGCAGTGTGCATGTGTTGAGAGAGAACTTAATATAATTTGCGACATTTATTTTTCAACATTATTTTTATATAAAATTCTTGTACCCATGATAACAATATATCAAAATCCTGACATTTTCAAAATGCTTGAAAATTACTGGAGATGGAAATTTGGTTCCAGGTAACTTTGCACAGAAAAGGCGGACCGATCACATTTTAAAAATGCCAGTACTTTGGAAAATTTTATAATAGTGGTATAATTCAATTTTGTTAAACGAATCAATGCCGTAAAAAAAGTGAAAGGAGATCTGCATGTCATCTATCGACTACTATGTTTAGTTAGGACACTCTGTATCAGGAAGGAATATGAAATGATTGAGAAATCACGGTTTTTATTCATTATTGTTTAAACGTCAATAAGTTAGTTTACTATTTACATTAGTTTCTACAGAATACTAGATTATACAGTTTTTATCCAATGCGAAAAATCATTCATGGCCATAAGCTTACTTTGAATGACCGGTGTGTTCGACAAAACATAAAAAATAATGCTTCTGCTTACTCATTCATAGATTGTAAACGTGTATAATTATCCCAAATATATGCATGGTGTATTTTCACCCGACAAATGTGCACTAAAACTTCTTGATCTAAGGTGCAAACTTACAACTTGAAAAAGATGTCAGCTAATCGTTTAAAAACAGTGGTCGTTCCAGAATTAGATAGGAAATTATTATGGAATAATTTAAACTCCGAAAAAAGAAAATCGGTTCGAAATTGACGCTCTAACATTTAATAATATCCCTGTAACAACAATGGATTTGAAATAAATTCTTTAAATTAAAAACTTTCGGATAGTTGTAAACATAAGCATTTCCAAAAATGTCGAACAGGTAAAAAATTCAGTAGTTTGATATTAAAGGGGCTATTCGCGTAATTTTAAGTGAACCTCCATTCAAAGATGATAACGCCAGATTCACAACGGTACCCTTGAAATCTTTATATGATCAATGACCGTTAATGGGAAAAAATTATAAACATTGATATCTAATTCATAACTGATAAGCCGAAGCTTTAAAGGGTACCTACAGTAAATTATCGTTCATTGTCAACTTTGCATGGGCAGTCACTTGAACTACGCTTACAGTCCCTTTAATGAGAGGATACTACTCCGGAATAGAAATATCTTGAGGAAGGTTTAAACCAGCCTCTTGGATCAACTCTTGTAGTTTCTTCCTGCTCTGAGTCTCCTGTTCCAACCTTCGGTTCAAGGATAGAACCTCTCTCTCTAGTTTATCTAACCTAGAAATATCATGTCGGTTCGACATGACGGAGGTCGAGGCTGAGAATGAACTGATCTCCATTTCTGAATCATCAACCATACTCAGGAACGGAGTTGAATCCAGCATAGCTGCAATTAATCAAATATTAAATTAAGAACAATTTTATCAATTAATTTTATTAAAATTTCACATGCTTGAAAAGTGCAGAAAAGAGTAAAAAAAAAGTGTGCAATAGTGAAATTAAAAATATATAATAAGGATGTATAAATAGAAACAGAATTAATCATGCACAAAAAGATGTAACTAGAAGTTAACTAGGAAGTATAAGTAAGTTTTTATTGATTATGCTGATTTGTCCAAATCTCTTAAAAAATAGATTAAACCTTACTTTTACTTATTAGCAAAAACCAAAACAAGAAATCATAAATAAAATAATTGAGAAAAACGTGGAAACCTTAATATTTATCTACCATCTACATATCCAGCTTTTTAGCTGTTTTCTTAACAGTGTTAGTTACAAGTCCACAGCAGAGATGAGACATACAAGCAGGATTACTGCAACCCTATTCAAACCCGCATGGTATTATAAGGGCGGGAGAAGACTACTCTAAATGAAGGGTGNGATTTTAAATTTTAATCGATTGAGAAAATTCGAAAAACCCTCAGTTTTAAATTTTCTTTAAAAATTATTAAATCAAGTCCAGTCACCGTACTCAATTTTAAATTTTCTTTAAAAATTATTAAATCAAGTCCAAGAGTAATTTTCTCTGTAGTTTGATTGATTGAAAATGACAACAAAACATATTCTTGTTGTATGAATTTCTAATTAATTCCAGGTTTAGTTCCTGAGGTGTATCTGTACAGCATGTATCTGATCTACCAGGTTTACAGGGTAAACACCCTCCTGCACCCAGATAGGCGGAGCTACGGTCTCCACCACACCCTGGACACTAGAACACCAAACCTGTTAGAAACCTGGAACCCTGGACACTAGAACACCAAACCTGTTAGAAACCTGAAACCCTGGACACTAGAACACCAAACCTGTTAGAAACCTGGAACCCTGGACACTAGAACACCAAACCTGTTAGAAACGTGAAACCCTGGACACTAGAACACCAAACCTTTTAGAAACCTGGAACCCTGGACACTAGAACACCAAACCTTTTAGAAACCTGGAACCCTGGACACTACAACACCAAACCTGTTAGAAACCTGAAACCCTGGACACTAGAACACCAAACCTGTTAGAAACCTGAAACCCCTTTTATGGAAATGGTTAGTTTACATAGAAACAGTTTTAACTTTTAAGAAAACTAAAATCAAACCACCTGCTACCCTTCGGATATCATTTACTTATTGCAATTAAAAGGGACTGGGCACGTAATTTCAAGTAGCCCTACATTTAAAGAGTTATCGGTCCGATTCACAATGGTATCCTTAGCTTGAGAATAAGTGTGGTTTTTAAAATTTATTTATAAAAAAATTATGGAAATTAAGAGAATATACATATTTGATTAGAAAAAACGACGATATCCCAACTTTTAATTCATTGTGAATCGGGCTACTTGAAATTACGTCTACAGTCCTTAATAACCCTGACATATTCATTACTATCTAACGCTGAAGATCTTTAAACTGTTAAAAGTAAAAATTTTCATAAAAATTATAGATGAATAATTTCCAGGATATTTCTATACAATGTTGGCGCAGTTAGTCAGTTTGTTCTACCTGACTAACTGCCCGACCAAGTAGATTTCCTAGTTCACCATCACCAGGATCAGATTCATAACCAAGAAGTTGCTAAACCAATTGTTTATCTCTCTCATATATTATCCAACACGCGACTACAGCAAAATACTGAAAACTAACTCCGAACTTGTGAAAATAAATTTATCAAGGTTTGAAATATATTCAGAGTGTCAAGGGGTTTATGTTCTGAAGAATTACCAAATAATGGGGGAAAATTAACAAATTGGATGTCACCCCCCCCCCACCCCCTCCGAATTCAAGTACTTTTACCCAACAAAAACATACTAAACAAATTTTATAATAAACTGGAGGGAAGAAGGATTTCTGGAGGGTAGCATAAAAAGGGTTGCCAAGAAGATGTGTAATATTTAATTTTTTCTTCAAGTTGATGTTGAGTTAAAAATCTGGAATATTGTAGGAGTCTTTATTTTTATTCATTATTGATTTTTAATGTGAAACCACATGTTTTTCTTGCTAAATTTCTAGCGATAAAAAGTGTAAAATGTTTTCACAAACTTCTAACATTTTAATGCAGAATTTTCTTCCGTTTTGTGTTCAAGAAGTAATGATTTTCTGTGTGGGGGGGGGGGGGTCGGGGGTTGCAAACTATGGTATATTCTTATTGAATATTTGTAGAGTATAAACAATAAATATCCCTGGCATGAATCATCTCTGTCGTTATGATTAAGGGTAAGCACTACAGTACAGTAAACACAAAAGTAAACAAATACGTACGGAGCCATCAGAGAAGAAGGAAGGAGGAAAAATGTTAGAATTAGTTTAATTAGTTTAACAATGATAAATAGATTTATCTTGTGATGAATTTTTTATATAAAAAATATAAAATAATATCTTTGATTTAAGTTTTTACATATCTCAAGATAATCTATTAATATATTTAGTATAGATTAATTTTTAAATTATTAAATTATAAATTACGGATTAGTAGTTTTAAAATTAATGATATCTTGAATGAATATACCTGAATTTGTTATGGTTTGTCTCTGCTTGGAAGTACAGTAAGCTTCAATTACACGGAGGATTTGGAGATCATCCTCGTAGCTACTCTGTTCAACCTCTACAACAGGATTTATATGTTTTACGAATTTTAAATGCCAATGAATTAAAATATTTCCTTTGACTCCAAGAAAGTAAATAATGAAGATTTTGAATACAAAGTTATTTACAATTAAAGCGTTATTGCGGATCTATCCGTTATCCTTGATCAGTCATAGGTTTAAAGGGTACCGTTGTGAATCCGACATGTCAATCTAATAATGATAGTTGAAATAGTCCATTTAAGCCTTTAAAATAAATTGAATTTTAACATTAGATCGGTGTCTCGGCTATTTATTGTCAAGTGTGTCATTAGTGAATCAATGCAATACAATTAACAAGCTGATGCAACAGAAATTAAAGTGGTGTAAACAGAACTAAAAACCTACCTTTCCGTCTCAGCGTATTCCGTTTATCTGCCTGGAAGAATGACCTGGCCGGAGGAGCTGGGCGGAGGCAGGTCATCTTCCAACCTTGAACTCCTTGACCTTGACCTCGCGACGCTAAACCGGTTCTTGGCGACCTCGAGACCGCAGGACTAGAACTAACTGACGAACCAGGTTTCTACAAATAAAAATAATTTAGTCAACTGCTTAATCATAAAACCTTTATAGTACGATTTGGATCAGTAAATTTGGGAAAAAGAGATGTAAAAAATGGCATAAAGGTTATAAATTTTCGATTTAAATTAATTAATTTTTGAACAAATTTTCATATTTGAAAAATTATATATGGCCCAAGGACTATTAACCTATAAAAATGGTATAAAGAATATGATCAACAATATTAAGTAGGAGCAAGGATATTAATCATCAAAAAAACCAGGAGCATAAAAAAAACTTAGTAAGGATTAGTGGGAGCTGAACTAAAAACCACTCAGATTTAGTGAGAGTAAAATAAACAAAACAGATTAATGGGGGCAATCTAATTCTAACACGCTGTAACACTGGAGCTCCGCTTGCCTTGTAATAATTCTGTCAAATCTTCTTTCTTCTAATATTTGAAATGCATTGGTTATGATCAAGCTCTAGGAATAACTAAAGCTGAGTTGGATTACATGGTTCCAATCCTTCCTCCCGGATTGGTTGAAGACTTGTGTTCATCCACCAGTGAGCGTATACACCAGACTTATAGTTTACTTTAGTTCTACTCCAGGTAGGCTCATTAGTACTTAGCATAGTGTGCTCAGTGTAGAACTTAGGACGGGGATTGATGACATCAGGTTCAGGTTCAGATTTAGTGCTCCAGGTCTGGGTATGAAGATCAATACAAGAAAGAGCCTGGTCGGATTGAGAGTAGCGTGGAAGAGAATATCCCAAATCATCAAGAGAAACACTATGCTGTGATGGGATGGGACCGGAGAACTGAAGTTTCTTCTGGGTTCGCAGGGACCCTGATATCCTGTTATTATTATTAACTGAAGAACTTGTTTGAGGTTGGTAGAACGCGTGATATTCTTGCTCCTGGCCACAGGAGCAGCGAGTAGGCTGAGCTTGTGGAGAACTTGAAGAACTAAACTGATTTAATGATCTTGAAGATCCAGGATGTAAAGGTGAATAAATGGTCTTCCCAGGTTCGGGGCTGAATTGAGTATTGTGAGTTTCCTGGTGTACCTGGATCCTAGAACTGGTTGCTGAGTATATTCCTCTACTGGAGAACCTACTGAGTCTGGGAGAGGACGGATACTGATGAATACTAGTTACTGATTGTAAACTTCCTTTACTGAGGGGGGAGAAGGGGCATATTTCAGCATGTGAGCTAACATCGGCTAATCCACTATCTGAGGAACGCCGACTGTCACAAGTACATCTAACCGCCGGCGGGCTTTGATATGGTGGAGGCGGATAATGATGTATCTCTGCTGTTACCCGGCTTCTAATTGTTTCTTGAGGATTTTCATCCTGTTTCTTATTTTGATCAATAATATTTGTATTCTTGATCATATTTAAATCATTGTTGAAGGTTAGTCTGCTTCTATTAATGTCACTGTTACGGAATTGTTCAGTTCTGATATTATTGCCCTTGCCCTGTAAAGTTCTATTAATATCATTATTAGGAGTTAGTTTGCTTGTATTCAAATCACTTTCTCGGTTAAATTTGGTTTGATTTATTTCTTTATTGTGGTTGCTTCCATCAAATGCACTATCCGGAGTGTGTCTGAGTCTCTCCTTGACACTATCCGGAGTTTGTCTGGTTCTGCTATGATCACCATACTGTTGCTGAGAGGTTTCCAATCCAGTTCTGTCTCTAGAAAGCCTGGATCGGCTCAAGGACCTAGATTTACGTTTTATACTCTTCACGGTTTGATATTTTGAACTTCGGGAACGTGGAAACATTTCAGGTTGAGAAAACTCTTCATAATCAACAAGCCGAGGAGAGCAGGAAAGGTTGTCTATAGAGCTATCTGAAGGTGACTCGTCAATAAATCTTATCGGAGATATTTGTTTTCGCGAAGCTGACAAATTGGTCGAAGTTGAAGAATTAGTCGAGTATTTCTTTACTTTTCGACGGGATTTCGGAGACGTAAAACAGGAAATCCAGTTTGGGGGTGACTCTGTGTCTCTATCACTACTATCACTATCAACTATGTTCTCTTGTGTCTTCTGTTTATTAGATATTGAAGGAACAGAGCGGGAATGTTTAATTTTAGCGTAGATAGGTTCAGGATAATATCCAGCACTTGCCACCCTCTGCTGATCACAGGATACAGACCATCCTTCCTGCCTGGGCAATCTTTTCCCCCAGTTCCCCTGATTATTCTCCGGTCCTGGGTGAAGTTCATGGAATCCCCAGTAGTTAGACTCATACTCATCCGTCCAGTGGGTAGGTTTCTCTCTCAAGGGATTAAAGAGTATGTTATCTCCAGGTTCAGATGGAAGCCTAGAAGACAGTTCACTTGTAGATCTAAGCAAAGACCTGGGAAGAAGAAACAACATATTCTCATCGGAGTACGGAATATACTCCTCCTCCTCCTCTACACCCGGAGACTGGGATCCAGGTAGAACCAGAGTAATAATATCTTCATCCTCAACAATCATGTGATCTGTAGACTCGTCAGTACTGGAGTTAATGTAGTGAATAAACCCGAAAGGATTGTTATTCCCTTGATCTTCTAGTATCACAGGGGTTACAGGCTCACCGGATTCTATTGTTTCTAGAGAAGGGTTTCCTTTATTCCGGATATCATATCCTGTATCCTGTATAGGAGGTCCTGTATCCTGCACAGGGTGTCCCGTATCCCGAGCAGGGTATCCTTTAACTAAAACAGGGGAACTTCCATCGTTGTATGTAGTAGAGGGATAAATAACACATTCTACCCTGTGTATTCTAGGTTTAGAGATAGAGCTTGAAACTACACGAACAGGTTTTCTTAAGGTTTTGATCTGGTCTAGGGTTAACTGGTTCTCCGCCAGCAGATTCCTGATCCAGGTGGTCAGCTGAATATACGGCGGAGTTAAACTTACATGAGGCGGAGGTAGAGGTTGTACTGACAGCTTAGTTGGGAGAACAGCAGACTGACGGCATACACGTACTTGGTTCTGTCAACAATATGTAAATATAAAAATATTCATCAAAATGTGAATATTAACTCTTCGTGGGTTTAATTTACAATAAAAATCTTGTCAAATTAATTTCATTAGGATAATTCCCAAAATGACCAGTATATAAAATGAAATAAGATTTCTTTGAAACTCGGATTTAAGTAAGAATATACTATAAAAATGGATATGTAGACTACAGTAAAAACCAGAATACAATTGACTAGGAAGAAGACGTACAGCAATACTTAAGTGTATTTGATGCTGTTACAAAGCAAACAGTTTTGCCACACTTTTATAATCCTATTTTATTTGAATGAGTTTGTTTACACTGCACAATTGCTGTGTCTAGCGCTCAGTTGACTTTTTAAACTTATAATTTAATTCTAAAAGTCGTCTTCCTATTAAAGAGTTTTCTAGTTAGCGCTTTAGTTAAAACTAAAATTTCCAAATAAAATACTTGAAGCAGACTCGCGGAGTTAGAAATAGTTTCAAAACTATTTTAATTTAATTAAATGCCGGGAAACGCTATTCTGTTTACATTCTTTGTTACATTTTTAAAAGAGGAGGGGGGGGGGGGGTCAAAGAATAGAAGTTCGTGACTAGGTCAATGTCTAGCACTATGGAATTCTTTTAAGAGGGATTTCTAATAAAATTGTATTTCTAAGCAAGGTTTTGGTATTCTGAAAAAAAAGACATTTCTAATCATTAGTAAAGTGCATTCAGTGTAATGTTTATGATTTTAAATTGCATATTTATGTTCCTGAAGTTTTTCAATCCAATCCATACAATCTGGTTTCTGTAGAGTTGAACAGTGGATTGTTTCAATCATAGATCCTTAATAAAATATAGGTTTAAACCAAATAGATTATCAAGTACAACAGGTGGCAACAGAGAAATGAACCAATTATACACGACGTCACAAGTGTCAAACATAACAAGGAATACGAAATTTTCTCGCATTAGTTGACATGTTTTTTAAAATTAAATAAAAAGTGTAAAAACAGAAAATAAAGAACATATTTAATTGCACTTATTTTACTGTAAGATAAGCACTTAAATCTAAAATTATCACTATTTTTAATAATTTTGTCGGACACAAAAACTGAATTGACGCTTGTGACGTCAGAATAAAGCTGTTCTAACCTATTCAACTAGAATCTATTTGGTTTAAACCAATTTTAATTATTTACACTTAACTGGGAAGTTAAAGGAATTTTACCAAACAAACAAACAAACAAACAATCAACCATCATTCCGTGGAAGTCAGGGCTGAGACCTCATCAAAAATAGCCACAATGGCTATTAATGTACCAATTGGTGACACACTGTCTAGTGTGGCCAACTGTAGAAGTACAGACCAATGACTTAAGTCACCGCCCAACTGCACACTAACAGTCCCCCAGAGTAGTCCATCTCGGTACTACCCCAGTATGAAGTTAATAAAAAGCTTATTAGATTATTATTTGATAATGGTTTAAACATAAGATATAAGATTGTTTGACAAAAAAAACCCACCTTGAAAGCTCTCGCCCTACAGATCACCTTCATGAATTTTAACCAGCCATGACTCCAATAACACTGCCATTTTCCTCCCTCTTTCAAGTAAGACTACTTGGGCTGACCCATCCCCCCCAAGATAAGCCCTGAGAATCTGCCATAGAGGCATCTTACCATGACCGGCATAGCTTGAGTGAAAATCTGCAATCCCGAAATCCCTACGCTGTGCCGCTACACATGGGCAGATAAGGACCACGTGAGACTCTACCAGCCTGGCACGGACACCTTTCGAGAGACACCAGGGGCACAAAACATGGGTACAGCCGTATCTATCTTTGTATCTGTTATCTAGCTCTGCGTTACCAGCCCGAACCCTGCACAGAGTCCTACTCGCCCTGGAATCGTTCACAAAACTCTGAAGTCGGAACCACTTCCACGGCTGGGAGGCTGCAACAGCAGAGGAATGACCTCTTTTGGTTGATACCACAAATCTCACAGCTCTATCTGCCATTGCTTTCTGCAACTCCTTCCTGCTTGAGAACATTGCAATGGACCCAACCTCCCTCTGAATCTCCATCCAGGATTTCACCCAAGGGTCTGTAGGGTGATCTAGCAGTTCCCGTAGCACCTCCAAAAGAAGGGTATTGAACTTGGATTTCAGAATACTTCAGATGAACAGAGCTTGTCTGGTCTGAATTCTGTGGGTCATAGGCATGAGGCCCGCATCCATCCAGGTGAGTACCTTAGAGGATGAGTGAGGTATCTGCAGGATAAACCTACCTACCATGCATTGTAGTCTTTCTAGCTCTACAATAGTAGCCTTCTTAAGAATCGCAGCCTCCACGCAATACAGGATTGAAGGGATGGCGCACGACTCCCAGAGTCTCTTGGCAACCATGGCCCTATCAAGGACTCCCCTTGATATGTTCATTATGGCATAAGCATAATTAGTGGCCTTCCTGATCATGTCCTTCTCATACACCCCAATCATAGACCTGCCGCGTACCTGGATAGTCACCCCTAAATACTTGGCCACTAAAATCTCTTCAATAGTGACGTTATCGACCTTCCAGGAAGTCTCATTTGGGGCATTAGTAAGGATGTAAGTCTTAGAGGTGGCAAGCTTCATGTGCATGTCCGTGCAGAATCTTGAGACAATTCTAAGAAGCTTATTCATTCCTCTCTTAGGGGTTCTAGATAGCAAGAGCAGGTCGTCCGCGAAAAGGATAGCTGTTATCATAGCTTTCCCTAGCCTAAACCCAAGCTTAGAACTGTCCAGAGCTAGCCCTAGGGACGCAATATAAAGCGCAAACAGTAAAGGGGATAGGCTGCACCCTTGCTTAACCCCTTGGGTGAAAAACAACGGTTCCGTCAATCCATGTGCTAAGTTAATCCGCACACAGTCATTGAAATACATCGACCGAATAAGGGACACTACCCTCCCTCCAAAACCAATACTCCGAAGCTTTGTGTAGAGTAGCTCCCGGCAAACTGAGTCATAAGCTTTCGCAATATCACAGAAAGCCAAAGAGATTGACTGGTGCTTCCTTTTTGCCTTACGTAATGCGGCCAGTATCATAAACACACAGTTGCCTTTCTGCTTCTGAACCCATACTGAACCGGTCCATAGAAGCCTTCCCTTTCACAGATGGAATCCATTCATTTCTGGACTATTTTGGTAACCATACTAAGCATCACACTTGAAACTGTGATGGGGCGTTTCTTAGCCACCTCTAGTGACGGTTCTTTTTTGTCAATAAGGGTCATTTTTCCCACTAGAAGGGAAGCTGGAACCTTACCCTCCTCCAGGGACTCATTCACTACATCAGTCAATTTCCCTATGAAAGATGTGCTCGCACTTTTTAACATTGAGGGCGTGACATTATCTATACCAGGAGCTCTGTCTAACTTAAGGGATTTGATTACCTCCATAACATCTGCCACACCAACAGGCTGGCAGACCTCATCCTGATATTCAAACTCATCCCGCTCCTTTGGACACCATTTCTCGAAAGCGCACTCGTTCTTTACTGAAATTTCCTTCAACAATTGTTGACCTCGAGAAATAAAGATTTTGGAGGTTTGACCCAAAGAAACCTTGGCCATCTCCGTCACCACAGTGTCTTTTAATTGCAGAAACTCAGTAACTAGTTTCCCATCGCAATCATTGATAGCTGAAAGCAGCCCTTTCTTCTTCTCAACTATCTCAGCTATCAGCCTAGTTAAGTATATATAGAATAGGCCTCCTAGATCCAGTAGTTCTAGACTTAGTAGAAGACAACTATCAGCCTAGTTAAGTATATATAGAACAGGCCTCCTAGATCCAGTAGTAATAGGCTCAGTAGAGGGCATCTATCAGCCTAGTTATGTATATATAGAATAGGCCTCCTAGATCCAGTAGTTCTAGACTTAGTAGAAGACAACTATCAGCCTAGTTAAGTATATATAGAACAGGCCTCCTAGATCCAGTAGTTATAGGCTCAGTAGAGGACAGCTATCAGCCTAGTTAAGTATATATAGAACAGGCCTCCTAGATCAGGTAGTTAAAGACTCAGTAGATGACGCTCTGGATATTTGTAGGCAAAATTGGTCGAGTGAATCCGTGGTTAAGTAAAAATTCTAATTCCCGAAAAAGTAGTTTTACACAATCTTCTTTTGAGATAAAAATACAAGATGTTATTTTACTTAATAGTTTTAAGCGACGGCGTAACTTATCATCCCGCTATTGGGTGAATCTTGGGTCGGTAATGTTGGTACTATTAAACTGTAATACCTGAAATATCAAATGAGTTTTTGTTTTCTTGTTCTTCTGGTTTAGTAATACTCAGTCCAGAGAGAGGAAGCTTACCCTGAATAAATAATAAATTGATCGATTTTTTGATTAATCGATCTTCGATTTCTTGTGGAATTTCTGTGGTAAAACTAAAATCAAATAAGATAAAGTAAAATTAAGTCGGAAATTATGTATTGATATCGTTTATCTTGAAAGCTTGATTTCGATAAACAATGTGAGCACTTTTAAATTTGAGGATAAATGCTTTATCCATCAATAAAAGTTATCCTTGCAGGGTGTAACCACCGCAGGATATTAAATAAAAATTTAACTAATCCTAAAGTGTGCATTAGAAGGATATCAATCAACCAAATGATTTTCAACTTTAACAAGAAATATCAATAAAATCCATTAAAATATAAAATTGTATAAAAACTACAAATAATTAGAAAATATATTATGTAATGTGTAAAGGACAATATTGGATATCTACCTCGTAAATAAAAGCTGAGAGACGGTGAGATGCAGAGAGTAGGAGAAGGGTAGAAGGAAACAGTACAAGATACTTATCTTTCCTAAATATATACATCGATTCATTTTCTTCATTTTATCTCCAGTAGGAAAACAGAGTTTTTTGAAGACAGTCTGTAAAAAACAATTTAGAGTCATAGAAATTGTTAAATTTTCAATCGTAGCCTTATTCTTAGTTTAAAAACCACTTGCCGAGGAGAACTAAATAAAAAAAATCCTAATCTCTTTTTTGATTTTATTTCGATGGATATTGGATACCTCTAGCTCATTGGCTTAATGGTTCCTGGGACGAACAACTTTGTCCGACTAAAGAGTTAAATACAAAAGTATCGACCCTCTGAATAAATTGTTTTGGGCTCCGACCTACTTAAACAAATAGGCGCCATTAAAAAATTATATTTTTCATGATCTGTACGAGGATGTACGGAATGTATACTATATATTCCTTATATTAATGATTCCCTGCCACTATAAGTTTGTTTCTTTTGCCCAATCAGAAAAGAAAGGACTATATTCAAGGTACAAGACTTAGTTTGACCTTAGAATCGTCATGTTTAAAAAGATTCAGGTCGTCTTTACAGTCTTATCCTTTATGGGTAGCTCTGTACCTATCTCCCTCTGGTCCAACTACAACTGGACCCATCTTGATGATATCTCCGAGTTGATCAATGGGTTCTCCTTCCCACTCCCGAACTGTTCCAGTGAGCACTTCTAGTTCCAGTTCACGCTGCCGTCGTGCTCTAGCAGCCTCACTAGCAACCTCCTGCAAACATAAAAATATAACGTGTCCTTTTAGTTTTGATGCAGATCCGGATCCCGGATTTGTCTCAAAAAAAGGGTCCGGATCCAGATCATGAACATTTCTTAAAGATTGACTGATTTTTAGCAAAAGTAGAATTTTCAAACAATTTCTCTTAATTTTTTTCTTATTTTTATGCCAAAACTTAATGATTCATTCAGAGATAAGGAATTTTAAATATCTCTCTTTGTCGAACAGTTAAGATTTGGGTTTAGAGAGCAAATTTAGTTTTTTTTTGCAGTTTATGGCTGATATTTTGCCCCTAGGAAGCAAAGATATAAAAAATATTGCAAATCTAATGGATCTGGATCCAAATCCTAAGCAATGAATATAAATATATAAAAATATAACACACGTTAATAACACATTATTAAGGACGCACAAAAAAAATTGGTCGGCGGTTCGACGTTTATTAAAACAAGACCAACAAGAAGTCAATGCAAATGTATACAATAAATTTTCTAGTTCGCAAGTATTCCTTTACTTAATATTGCTTTCTTATAATTGAATTTCAAGAAAATATGCGTTAACTCTTACAGTTCTTTTTGTGTCTGTTTCAAGGATATTTCTATCAACGTATCAGAACTAATCAAGATTGTCGGTAAAAACTTGAACATTTTTTGTCCCAATTTAGTTTTTCCAAGATATTAATAAGAAAGTTGCGTAACATGCAGATGTTTTACATGGGAATCTAATATTGAAGCAAGAAAAGAGAAAAAGAAATGTTAAACAAGAAGGGATGTGGTAAAAACTGGAAAAAAATAAGAACAATATCAACTTTAATAAAATAACTTAAGGAAATAAAAAGAGAAACGGATAAGAATTAAAAAAAGATAGGAAAGAGAAAAATTGTGAAACGTGCAAGAAGAAAAAAGGAAAAGAATCAAACTACAAGAGCGCAAGAATAGAATAAAAATCAACAAATAAATATAATTTCATAAAAGAAAAATGGACTGAGCAACAAACCTTGTAATATCCAATACTTCGCTGTGTATCTCCTCGATCAATATGGTTATCCTCAAGGTGCTGTTCTACCTCCTGAAATATAATCAAGTATTTCAAGGTGCTGTTCTACCTTCTGAAATATAATCAAGTATTTCAAGGTGCTGTTCTACCTCCTGAAATATGATCAAGTATTTCAAGGTGCTGTTCTACCTCCTGAAATATGATCAAATATTTCAAGGTGCTGTTCTACCTCCTGAAATATAATCAAGTATCCTAAAGGTGCTGTTCTACCTCCTGAAATATAATAAAGCATCCTAAAGGTGCTGTTCTACCTCCTAAAATATAATCAAGTATCCTAAAGGTGCTATTCTACCCCCTGAAATATAATCAAGTATCTCAAGGTGCTGTTCTACCTCCTGAAATATAATCAAGTATTTCAAGGTGCTGTTCTACCTCCTGAAATAAGTATCCTAAAGGTGCTGTTCTACCTCCCGGCAAGTTAATCAATCAACTAAAGCCTCTTTAAGTGAAATGGGTCTGTGTACATTTCACAATCGATACTGAGTTATCTTTATTAAAATTAATACAATAGTTTAACAGTCGTATTTCTATTCCCGAGTTTACTGGGTCCCCCTGTACTAGGACTGTTACATTATTATTTGTGTATCCCGCAATGTTCTCTACCTGTATAGCTCCAGCTAGTCTCTCCAGCTGTCTGAAAGGTCTAGATAGTCCTGTAGTCAGGATAATAAGACCTGGAGGAGAAGAACCAGGAGTTGAACCCTGACATGCATCCAACCAACTATTCAACTTCTCTCTACTCACATATAAATATCTCATCATGAGGAAAGGGAGAGGGGGATAACTGTTAACAACTACTTCACAGGAATGTTACCGTAAAAATATTTTGTATCTATTTGTATTACAATACAAGCGTTAAAAATTCGAGGCAGATAAAAAAAAATGTTCATAAGATTAAGAAAGCAGATTGCGCAAGCTGGAAGAATACAATAATAGTTGTGCGTCACCGAGGGGTGCGTCACCGAGGGGGGGTGGCAGATTAAATGTATTTTTATGTTTCCTGTGTTTCTCTAGAATACAGACAGCTCGGGGATGATTGCTCCAGTAACTGAGATGTGTACTCCTAATAATAATTTTTTTATTATTTTTATTAACAATTAGTTAATGTTTGTATATGAAATTGATATTTCCCACTTGAACCAAGATCCTAAGCACTGTTGACCTTTATAACACTAAGATACGATCAAGAATCTCAAGTAATGGTCAAAAACTAAATTTAGGTCTAAATACTGTTATTTCTTAACTTTTAAGAATTTAAAGTCTAGGTCTGGCTCAACTGCATACCGACGGTTCAAATTTCAACCACCGATTCAAATTCTTCCTTAATTTTTAGCTTTACATCGGTGGTTCAAATTTGAACCGGTAGTAGGAAGATCAGCGAGGCAGCTGTTCATATAAGAACTCTAATTAAATCATTATTATTGCGCTTCATCCCCCCCCTCCCGCCCTCCCTCAATCCCTGAGTAAGCGGTCAATATGAGATTACTACACCCCACAATCATCCTAAACCTAATCAAAGGTTCGTAATAAGCTGCTGTTTAGTTCACCCTAATCTTTTGAAGTAACAGCGGGGATAAATTGCGCAGAAAAAAAAACATAGTTTATTTGTTAAATATGACACTTTGAGCAAAACATGGTTGAAAAGATTCTTAAGATATTGCTGAGACTGTGACACAATACCTGATATTGCTACCATGCTGAAGGAAGACTTGTCCTAGCCTCTGCTGCCTAGGCTGACACCTTCTTACATCCTCTAAACTTGAATTCAGCCGCTGATGAGCTTCTATCAGCTCCTCTATATTCCCAACCAGCTGATTATACTCAGAATCTATCAGTCTAAAAAATGATTGATTAACAACGGAACTGAACACTCACTTAAATTATAATTACTAATCCCTTTATCTTTGCAACCTCATGTCTTATACCTTTGAGATTTTAGATTATGAATTCAATACTCTAAGTTTAAAATATCAAAGATTTAAACCATCTGATTGTAAAGATATAGGGTCTAGCAAATTAAAGGTTGTGGCGAATCTTCAGTTCATTACTTCATCAAAATAAGAAAACATAATGCGAGTTAGGGCCGGATAAAAAAATCAACATATATATTTCTTGAAATTTCAAGTTTTGTAGAATAGTATCTATCCCTTGTTGTGAGATAAGATCTGATTTACAAATCTACTGTAGCATGACTAGTTTGGTTTATGTTATCATATCAGGCATACGGTGGACAATACATACTGTTTTATTTATTTATCTAGACACCAAAATCTAGTTGAACCGTACACTATTCCAGGATCTTTCAATACAACTCATAACAGAGCTGGGAACTTCAGTGTTGGATATTCATAATCCCGATCGATTGATCTCGATATCCAATGTGGGATTTTTTTTTTGAGGATTTAAAACAACTATTTTTCCATAGCTTTATTTTAGTTATTCCTACCCTGCTAAAAGCTCCTGGGTACGATTACAATGCGGGATATCGGATAAAGATCAAATTAATCAGTAGATTAACAAAGATTGAGATTAAGCATTGATCTCGATATCCAAAATACAATAGTTCCCAGCTCAGATTATTGTATCCTTACAAGCAAATTTATATCAAATATCTTAAGCTCAATCTTTATTTGAATTGTATTTATTTAAATTTTCTTTCTTTAGCCACCCGTTTGAGTTACTTAGTTTATAAAATGAAGAATTGTGAATAACGCTAAATAAAGTTTTAGTGTTTATCTACTACGCCTTCAATTACATACAATGCATAGACTGAATAGTGCATACTGCATACTGCACTTTCTATTTTTTAATCAATACAATACAATTAAATTCAGGTTCGCCCCCCCCCCCCTTTGTTTCAGGAAAAGTAAACGAAGAAAAAGATATCCCTTTTCAAGAACTAAAATGTTTTCAAGACTGTGTGTATTATTTCCTCTTGTTGGATGGATCGCTAGTGAACCCGCTTCAGTTTTTGTAATCAGGTTAAATCATTAAATGATCTTTACTAATTATACTTTCAGACAAGCCCTTTTAACACGGTCAGAGTAAAAATTGCACGAAGCGCAAAAATTTGTTAATGTGTGGGATTCAAGGGAGACAACAAAAACATTATTCAGGAGGATGGGATGTATTGGAAACTAGTAAATTCAGATTTAGTTTTATTACATTTGTTAAATATTTTAATCAAGGTTTTTAAAACAAGTAAGCCATTCCTCTACTCGACTGCATTCCTTAGCCTATAAATGTTCATTCCTGCAAAGTAATTAACATTTTTATAGGAATAGAATTCAAAATAAAATTGAACAAACTACGAGCGATTAAACATTTCAATTTTTTTTACAGGAAACTGGAAATGAAAACTTCTAATATCCCGGGTTCAGGTATACGTCAACTGTATAGTGGAAGATAGTTTTCTTGTTAATATTTCCTCCAAAAATTTTCAAAAAACCTTTTTTTTCTAATCTAAGAGGGAGACAATATAATTTCTTTATTAGATTATTTCCATTGTGGTTTCTCTATAAATATAACCAACAGAGTATTGTTTTTGAATCAGGCATGCATCTTTTTGAATGAAATACTTCAGGGAAATGAAAGTTCAAAAGTTGGTTTATTTTCCAAAACGTGTCCAAGATTCGAATTACATATGTGCGAAACTGAAAAACCTTGAATTGTTTCTAAAATGGTATGGGGTTTTTATTAAAAAAGAACGACTACTCACAGTTTTGATTTTACATATAACATATAATAATCATATCCATGAATAACAGTTGCATTCCTACAGCCTAAGAGGAGAGAGCTCTGCTCAGAAAGCTCTCTGCAGTATTTGCAATGGACGCTGAGAAAGGTGTCTACACATAGAAGGGAGGGAAGGCCAAGCGGCCCTGAACCTCGTGCTCAAAACGCTAGCCTCCTTTCTAAACTGCAGTACCCACGGCCGGGGTACTAAGTCAAGAAATATGAATAACAAAGAGCTAATATGTCTAAGAACTAATCCGATTTCATATCCACTCCACTTAGTGATCGAAGCACTTTCTGGAAGGGTTCTGCTCCACGACTGATAAAAAGGGATAACTCCGCATTCTGCATGCAGCGGTGCACACTAAATGCGATACTACTTACGGAATTCCGCTGGACTGGGAAACAGTTTAACATGTGGAGTTATGAAGTGTTTTTTAACAAAACATTCCAGATACGCCACTCCTACAAACCCTTATCTACCTACCATCTAACCTTCTCACAAGCAGCGAAATGAGACTCGAGGACATTTCTCTGCAGGATCCTACAACAAAATTACCTCTGAGCGGGTCACTTGATTATTTTTTGTTGAATAACCCTCTTTATATAGAAATTAAAAATGTGCGGTTCATAGCAGGGAACCTATTGCTCCCTCGCTGCATATAGAAACTAAATATCTTTAAATGCTAGAAGTGAAGACCTAGCACATGCAAGAAGACAGAATGTGGAGCTGAGGCTGCATTTACAATCAAACAAAACAAACAAAAAAACGGTGAGGGGATTTCTATACAATGAAAGGGTGATCGTGCACTGTCTTAAAATGGCGCAAAGACAGCGACTCGTACACATGCATTCAAACCAGCACCGAAATGGACGGGCAAAGGGATGCAAGAAAAAAAAACCTGCAGACGTGCAGAGGGAGAAAGGAGAAAAAAAATGAACATTTGAAATTATTACCTATGCCTCGTACCAATTTATTTAATAAAAATTATAAAACACTTTTAAAAAATATCCATGAATGATTCAACATTAAGGAATGGATAAACAGAACAATATCTTGAGCTTCCTTGGGTTCGGGTCCGGAGGGGAGTACTCTATTACAATCTGTAATAATGACAGGTGTTGCAGGTATCTAGACTATGAACTTGTTTATTAAGAGTTTGTATATTGCGTGCATGATATTTTTACAGATAAAAAACCCAAGCTGATTACGTTTGATCCTTAAATGTGATAAATGACCGAGTTCAACTTAAAAAATATATTTAATAAAACCACTTTGCCACAGCTGACCATTTATAAAATATTATGCATCATCAAAAAATCAATGTTTTTACACGGAAAATTTCAATTAAAAGAAAACTTTCCACACTGATTTGATGATAATCTAAATATTTTCAAGTGACAGTAAACTTTACAAAGTTACTTTATAGCCATTTTTTGGATGAATAATGAGGAATATTTAGTCTTTCTTGCCAGAGGAAAAGGTTTGAGGTGTATTGTTGTAAATCGGTAATTTGAATCTTTAGATGTAGGATCACTTGAAATTAAGTCAACAGTCCCTTTAAAGATATGCATTTAGGACTGGGATGTTAAATACTGAGGACAACAACTGGGAGGTTGGACAAACAGATTGGTTTGTAGGAACCCAGATAGGAGCTTGTAACACATTCAAGATCAATCCTAACATGGAAGTCAAGCTGCAGTTAAACCATAGAGGCAGTAACTCTGGTAGACTAGACTTCATCAGGATCTATAGTTGGCATTCTGCCGGAGCATTCATTTGTAATATTGAGACTAGATTAGACTATACATCAACACATTCAACTTTATGTCAGTTCCAGGTGATGGATGTTTTTCGAAATTATTTTTTTTAGAAAACATAAAAAATCACATTGGTCCAATTAATTCATCTAACAGTAACGATACACCTTTGCAATGTAACAAAAACAGCTGAAGCCATTAAAACCCAATTTTTAGCCTGTTACCATACTGTACACTAAACAATTTACATGCTTGATATTTGAACCCAACTAGCTTGCTACCATAATGTACATGTTTGTTCTTTGAACCCAACTAGCTTCTTACCATAATGTCCATGCCTGTTATTTGAACCCAACTAGCTTGTTACCATAATGTACATGTTTGATATTTGAACCCAACTAGCTTGTTACCATAATGTACATGTTTGATATTTGAACCCAACTAGCTTGTTACCATAATGTACATGTTTGATATTTGAACCCAACTAGCCTCTAAACCCACTGTCAACGCCTGAAATTTGAAAACTGAGGGACTTGCCAATTGGCAAAAAAAAATTTATTTGAATTTTTAACTTTAAGAAGAGAGGAGATCAAGATGAATCAGCTTGGTGTAATGGATCTCAAGAGTTCTGTGATCTAAGATTTGATCAGTTTCTGTTTCCTGGAACTCATAACTCAGGAACTGGGCAGAAGAAAGGGGTTTTCCAATGCTCATCCAAGAACCAAGATCTCACCATCAGCCAACAACTAGACTTTGGGATCAGATTCTTCGATCTTGACATCATAAATAGGTTTAATTAAATTAAAATTAATTAAATAAATGTTTTTTTATTAAATGATAATAAAAACATTTGCAGTAATGGATTAGCAGGATGCAATGGATTAGAAACTGGACACGGCGCAGTTCCAGAAATAGGAGTTTATCAATGTTTTGGTCAGGTTAATAAATATTTTTACAATTTTGTTAAAACTAAGCTTAGGGCACATCGCACTCATCCTCTTTTTTAACTTGTAATTGTGGCTCTATCTGTAAGCATCATCTCTTTGTACAGGAAAAACAATAACAAAAAAGTTCATGGATTTTCAAATATTTTTTCTCACATTTTTAAAATTTTACAAAAAATCAAAAGCTTTTGGATAGAAATTTTTATAATTCTGAGCATCCACAAACCTTTCCTGGGGTCATGCGAGGTCCAACACAAAATTTGGCCACGGTCGTTTTAGCCGTTTTTACGTTTATGGGTAACAAATAGAAAGACAAGCAAAGTATATATATATAGATACTAATACAAAGTTGTACAATATTCTGTATTTTATTCTATATTTTCCACTCTAAACAATTTTTTAAAGGGAGTGTTCGCGAAAAATGAAAGGGGGTATAGGCTTAATGCGATAAATAAGCGCTTTTTAATGCTACTAATCTTACTCCTATCTTTTGCGTCTATAAGGAGAAAATTTATAAAAACGACTAATACCGAAGAACGTAGTGTCCATACAATTTCAGAATGATGCAACATTCAACTCGGATCGTAAACAAATAAATTTAATTCCAAACAAATCATTCAGATATTACAAACAATAGTCATCGATTATCTTTCGCCACATTTGTATATAGTTGATATTTCATAGTAATTTTTTTTTTTATGATCTGATAGTTACTTTTGAAAACATTTATTCCTGTTTCGAGGATTTTTGATAATGAAGACGACATTTTCATATTTTCCAGGAATGTTCGAAAATCCAGCGCCCGCGAAGTATTATTTTCAAAAACAAAATCAGAAATATTATAAAATATAAATTATATACAAATGTGGCGAAAAATAATCAATGACTATAGGTTGTAATATCTGAATGATTTGTTTGGAATAAAATTGATATTTTATGTTGCAATTATCTCAATTTGTATGGACGCTAAATTATTCGGTATGAGACGTCTTTAACAATTTTCTCCTTATAGACCCAACAGATAGAAGTAAGATTAGTAGCGATCAAAAGCGCGCTTTTTTATCGCATTAAGCCTATACCCCCTTTCATTTTTCGCGAACACACCTTTAAAACTACTTTACAGTAACGTTAAGGGAAATTTACTTTACCAAGGGCGCACAAAACCAATTTTGCCTACAATATGCATAACAAACTTAAAATGAAACTTTCAATATAGATAAACGACATTATTGGTCAGATACTGGTTTCAAGGGTACCGTTGTGAATCGTGCATTGCCATCATTGCATAGAGGGTCTCCTGAAATTACGCTACAGTCCCTTTAACTTGTCTCATTATTCCCAGGTTGATGATTTATTGCTTGAGGTAAAGAAATGGCTGGATGAACATACTAGTGAAGTCATTGTTCTTTATTTTGGAGGCATTGCATTCAAAGAGCAAACAGTTCCTGCACTAGGAAACAGAAATAATCAAATATAAAAAATGTTGCTGAAAAATTATCTTTTGTATTAAACCATAATTCTTAATTTAGGCCATGTTCGTTTTGCACTGTCCTAACTTTTTTCTGATAAAAAAAATCAAACTTAAAATTTTCATATCTTGTAAGCCTTAGTTTTCTTAAGAAATGAGTTTGGAATGCAATACATTGCAGCTTATTTTCGGAGGCATAGGTTTAAGATCAAATATTAACTGATACTGATATATTTTTGTTGATCAGTTGATGCGCTGAAAAGCACATTTAGGAATGAAACTGGTGTCAGGTATTCATTAATATAGAAATATTTTTTTTAATGTAGATTTTTATCTTTTAAAACAGGGGAATATGTATAATATTTCTTGAAATCTGTTGTTCCCAAAATACATCAGAAATTTGCAAGTGATTTTATTTTGCCTGATTGCTAGTTTTTAGGAAACATAAAGTTTAAAAAGGGAAAAACTTGGCAGTTGCCATCAAAAATTTTATTTTTCCCCAAATTCATTCCTTAAATATTTCAGTCTGAATAAAGATTACAAGGAGACAGGAGAATGGCCAACCCTGGGTTCTGCTGTGGAGAAAAATGCTCGAATATTTACATTTGTGAGACACAATAGTATTGCAGGGGAGAAGGTGATTGAGTATTAAGGGACAATTCTCTCATTTTTAATTGGGTTTGAAATACTGTGCAGGAGTTTTTTTTTCCATGTTTTTAGGTTTTATTTCAAAATTCTCTTCTCATAAACATCAGATAGAAATGAACATATAACAGCTTCATAACTCATTATATACCACTAATTATTTTTTTGAACAGTCCCTTTAAATACATAAATAACTTTATTTATTACAGGCCATATTTAAAGAATTTAAACCGCGTCACTGAACCTCCAAAAACCGGTTCCAATCGAGATCCGGCTCAAACCTCGAAACACTGAATACAATTTCAAGTGGAACCAACCATGCATTCTTTTAATCTCTGGACTGTTTAGGGAATAGTTGAAGACTTCAAGCTAAGACCTGATGAATATAAAGAGAAAGCTGATGGATCAGCTTCAATAATATCCTCTTATACTGCCGGGTAATACGCATAAAAATTCATTTATCTTAAAGGGAGTGCAGACGTGATTTAGAGCAACTTTCCTTCCACTTCATAATGGGACACTTTACACCTTATATAAGATATCAACTATGGAAAATAATAATTTTTTAAAGAGAAGTCAACCCTTCTCACCTTGAAAAGAAGGCAACCCTTCTTACCTTGGAGAGAAGGCAACCCTTCTTACCTTGAAGAGAAGGCAACCCTTCTTACCTTGAAGAGAAAGCAACCCTTCTTACCTTGAAGAGAAGGCAACCCTTCTTACCTTGAAGAGAATGCAACCCTTCTTACCTTGAAGAGAAGGTAACCCTTCTTACCTTGAAGAGAAGGCAACCCTTCTCACCTTGAAGAGAAAGCAACCCTTCTTACCTTGAAGAGAAGGCAACCCTTCTCACCTTGAAGTTTACAGACTCTTTAACAGAGAAGTTAAGGTTTTATAAAACCAAAGCTTACAAAGCAAGGGAACTAAGCGAGAAACCCAGGGGGTTAAGTAAAAATTATAATTTTCAAAAAGCTGTTTTCAACTTTTCAAAGGAATAAATTTGGGAAAGTTGCTCAATGATAGTATTTATCAATGATTGAAACTAATTTTAGACAAGTTGGAAAGACCTGTGAGTTTATCCTACCCGCTAGTAATGAGACCTGTAGTAGAATAGACGCTGACCTAATCAAGCTCTCCTTATTCAGCAGGTTTTTCAAGGTATAATTCACACGCTGAGTCTAGTATTGAAATATTTTCTCATTCCTGTTCTTCCTCGTTTTTGATCGTTGCTTATTCATTTTTCAGGTGTTACATTTTCACTCAAAACTTTGAATTGCCATGAGGACATAAAAATAGGCTTTACGCGCGTTCAAGATAATTTTTGAGAAAATGTTAGAGGGACTGTAAGCATAGTTTCAAGTGCCTCTTCATGCAAAGATGGCAATGTCCGATTTATAAGGGTACCCTCACGGGCAGCTGTAGTACATTTGAATTTCCGGGCTGGGTCAACCTTTCCGGTCCCAGTTGAAACATTTTCGCCCGGACATTGGGTAAATAAAGCAGACACTCAATAGGTATAGCCTGTGCAACACGGTTGATGAAGTCAGACTTTAAGTTTAATTTACTTTTACTGAAGGGTCAGGGGTAAGTGGCCTGCAAACCTTAATATGATCTAAAATGGGGAAGATAATGTTTTTACCTAACTAGAAGTGTTTTTTTCTGATAATTTCTCCAGACTTTCTCATAAGCAAAAATTGCGCAAGGCACATTCCAGAAAACCCCCAAATGAAAATAAATAGCTTTTCAAAAACAAAAAACATGGAGTTCTGATTCACACTTTAAAGGTACCTGGCATTGGCATCTATGCATGGAGGGTCACGTGAAATTACGATTACAATCCCTTCACTTGAAATTAATTACGCCTCGGCAAAAAGCTTTTTTCTCAAATATAAACCAATAATATTCTTTTTTAGAAAGGAGTTGATTGTCTTTGGCAAATGGCAAAAGTGTGCAATGCAAGGTCAGCAAGCGCAATAGAGGTTTGCAAAAAGTAAGTTAATTTTAGCATAATGGAATAAACTGGTTTTTAATAATTCGTTTTCTTTTAGTCAATTCTCCAATAGTTTGGAGGAGAATGATGAATTTAGGTTTGCACCAAACTTTCTGCTCCTAGATTATCCTAATTATCAGGTATACAGAATACAGACACAGACATTCTTTTTAGACTCTTCTCTGTTAGAAATATTAAAAATAATGAGATTTTTCTAAAATGATTGCAACATATTTAAAATGGGGGGGGGGGGATATCTTAATATTTTTTTCTTTTATCATCTTTAGAACTCATAATGGAGTATCATTAATCGCAGGGCTTAAATATGAATACTTTTTCATTTCTAATATTTTATGTAATACAAGCTGAAAGTCTGAGTTTGTGGCATAACACATTCTATAAAGGAATCAAACAGACCCTAGGAGTAAACGCAGTTTCTTTAAAAAAATAACATTTTCTAATTTGTAGGGACGTGAAGAGTTTGGTTTAGTAGAGCTGTGTAGACTGGAAAACATGGAAAGATCAAATCTAATAAGAATTCCAACATCTCTAAATTAATGTAAAGATGTGTCATCATTGATATAAAATAGAAAAGTTAACGTAATATAAGAAAAATTAAAACTCAGGATTGTATTTGAACAAATAAAATTTGATTTATGAAAACTTGATTTTCGAGAATAAAAATACAAAAGTTGACTTCCATTAAGGATTTCCAAAATGTGCTCTAAATTTATTGTATTGATAAAATAAGACTAGGAAAAATAGGAACTAAGGTATTTTCGGGTGTATTTAATTACAAAGTTCTTGCATGACAATGTTCTTTACATGTAATCTTAGAATATACACAACAAGACAGACCACATTTTGAAAATTTTTGATGTGTTTGATAAGTTGTAAGGTTTCAAAAATAAAGTTTTTACGTCCTATATGTAACTTATTTGAACTGTACTTCCTAATTATGCATATGCTTTGCTTATTACCCACGGGTATTCTGTAAATGCATTGCCTGCATTCCTTTGTGTCAGGTAATTGAAATATTCAGACAAATTATAGAAAACTATCCTAGTATCTCAGTATTCAAGTATTTCACAATCTACAAAATAGTTTTCATTTTCACACAACATTACTCTCTCTTATGGATTTTATATTTGCAAAAGTTCAGCAAAAATTGTTACCAATTATTTAAATCTTATAATTTTAACATTTTTGCGGAATGCTACTTATTCTAAAATTGCTAACATAGCTCAAGATGGATAGAGTTAACCCACTTTTTTTCATTCAAATTATTTTTTTTAATTGAGGTTCTCTGTAAAAGTGACATGCAGATTTGTGCAACGGGAGAAAAAATGTAATTGTGAGATTTCAACAGTTTTCCAGTTATGAAAACGATGACACCTTCCTCATTGTTCTTCAGCAAATAGATCTAATAGGGTACAGTTGTGAAAATAGAGGGTCTATTGAAATTACGACCACTGTCCCTTTAAGTTCTCAAATATGTTAACGAAAAATAAAATTATAATCTCCGCAAAATGTTACGTGAAATATTTTTGTTATTGTTATTTTTGCTAATTATGTCATAAGCTCATTATATTAAGTTCAACCGAATTTTCTATTTCCTGAAAACCAAAGAAAGAAATTACCCTGAGTCCGCACATAGATTCAGCCTGCTTAAAACAGTCTCATCAATTTTAAGTCAGGGTTGACTTTGAAGTGTCGCAACACCCTAAGCTTAGATTTTACCGCTCTAACTCACTTATGCTTTTCTGTAGCCCTTTTCATGTACATTTTAGCGCTGTAAAGAAATTTTTTATTAGCTTTAAATTTTTTAAAGTAATTGATAAAATTCACAACGATTTTTGCTTGAGAGCGTGAGACCATTGAATCACATGAATGAATTTAAGCCGCGTCTCAAATCCGCCTAAAACCGGTTTCAATTGAGCGCCGGCTTAATTCTTGAAACATTAAATACAATTTTAAGTGGAACTAACCACTTTGAGCCGCGTCTTAAATTTAAGCCGCGGCTCAAATTCTTTAAATTCGGCCTCAGATTTAAATATTTATCTATCCTGAAAATTATATTACTTCATTTTACTCTTTTAGAACTTAAGTATACTAATCAACGAGAAAACATTCATTCCATAACATTGAAAAATATTGGAAAGAAAACGTTTATTTTGTGAGAGAAAAAGTTAAAATTTCTTTTCTTATCTCTTCCTGTCTCAATCAATCTATCAATGTTCTTAATACAGTCATCAACCTTAAAATACAAACAAGGAAAACTAAGAACTTGTGGTTAACTTTGCTTATATATATTTATATGTTATCTATAGCAGGTAAACGGTTGAGCAAAATTGATTGATATAACGGGGGATAACTATAGGGTAAATATTTTTTTCAAAATTCTATTTTTTTCAAATTTCGAAATTTGTTTTTCAAGTGTTCCAAACTTTCACAGGCCGGCAGCGCCGGGCATTTCAGCTGGTAATACTTAGTACTAATAAGCCATCATTTATAGAAATCTAAGCTTCTTGAAGAGTCTAATATTGTCAAAAATACTCAAGAAAGTTTTTCTTTGTAGACAAAAAAAAAGCATTTTTTTCCAAGTTTCGAACGTATACCCTGCAAACAAATTGGAAATTTAATTTATTCTTTTTTTTAAATATTAAAAAGTTTTGAGGGTCCAGCTTAAAAACTATTTTAAGAAATGCTGAGTTTGGAAAAGTACAAAATTGCATTCAGTAAATTTAATAAAAACATGCTCACAGGTGTAGAACATATCGGACTCATTTATCATAATTAGCAACCAAATATCACTTATCATTAAGATACAAGAAACTGAGTTAAAAAAATGAATGATAAACGAGATTTATTTTTTACCTTTATTTTAAAATATTTTTAATATGGGGTCAAATATTGAATTTACAAAACATTTTTCAAGGAAAATCTACTCTTCAGGAGTTTAGAAAATCACAGAAGCAATTTTTGAAGGGTACATTGAAAGACAATTATTTTCAGCTAATTTTCTAGCTTTAAATTACTATTCTAATATTAGAATTAAGAATACCCAATGTCTGTACATATAACTTTCAAAAAATGTTTTTAAAGGATGAACTGCTGTGAAAAGTGCAAGTTTTAAGATAGATAAATATGTTTGATGGTGGCGGGGAATATATATCATATTTCACTTTAATTTAGTGAATATTTACATTCCACCTTGAGAACTGCATTCGGATGTTTTTTCGAAACATTTTCCTTCAATTATTTTACAATAAATCAGATATATTTTAGCACCTTTTGGGTGTACTTTCTAGACAGGGAAGTATAAATTCCAACATACCCAATCAGGGGCGACTTTGGCCCCCCCCCCCTGAAAACTTGTGGCAATTGTTAAGCCTATTACCCTGGACAAATTCTTATTCATGGCTTTACAAATATATGTATTGCTATTCCCAATTTATAAAATTCACTTTTTTAAATTGTACAATAAATGTAAATCTACCTGCAAAATAAGAATTTAAGAAAAGCAGTTTATTGTAAACTGTAGAGCAGATTTGTGTACAGTGTCCAAAAAGATTCCGACTGCTATAAGAAGTTGCATCAATTTTGACTACTGGGTCGAAGTTTCAGTTTCGCAATGCCTTGGCCTTTGATTATTACCTAATTAGCAGTGCTTAGGATCCATTTAATTTTGATGAGGATCCGGATCCTGGATCCGCACTGGAAAAAAACGGATCCGGATCCAAGTCATTTCTTTAAGATTTACTGAATTGTTTTAACAAAAAATAAATTACAAATTTTTTGATTTATTTTTTTCGCTTATTTTTATTCTAAAACTTGATGAACCATTCAGAAAAGAGGAAATTTTTATAATCTCTCTTTTTTTTCAAAAGTTCAGATTTGGGTTTTAGGAGTAAATTTTTTTTTGCAGTTTTTGGTCAATATTTTACTCTTTGGATCCGGATCCGTGGATCCGCATATTTTTGCAGATCCGGATCCAGGAAGCCAACATCTTACGGATCCAACAGATCTGATACATTTACCTGATTAACCCCCTAGCTATAAATTACTACTCGATTTAACTGCTAGCTATTAACTTTCAACCTGATTGACCACTTAACTATGAACTTCCTGATTGACCCTAGCTATGAACTGTCTACCTGATTGACCTCCTTGCTATCAACTATCTACCTGATAGACCACTTAGCAATGAACTGCTACCTGATTGACCTCCTTGCTATCAACTATCTACCTGATAGACCACTTAGCAATGAACATCTACCTGTTTGACCTCTTACCTATGAGCTACCTTGATTTACATCCTCGCTACGAATGGCTTTGTTAATAAATCTAATTATCAGGAGCAACCACTGTATGTGCTATTGGTTGTTGGTGTGCATAGAAAACTGATTTAAAAAATATGCCGCAATCAGAGCTGAAATTGCTAAAGCTTAGAAGTACCTAAAACCAGTACTTATTGACTGATAAGATTTTTTTTGTCAAAATAAACTATCATGGTTAAACTAATAAATGTAGGTTAGTTGAATTTTTTAATCGCCACGTAGCGGCAACACTCATTTTTTACATGTAGTTGATTCCAATCAGATAAAGCCCAATTTTTTGGGGAGATGCTCTACAATCTACATATCCCCTGTAACCACACGAGACTGTGAACATATTCAAATTCAGAAAAAAAGGTATTTACACAAATTTGGGTCACACTAATCTAGTGAGTGTACAGTAGTTATAGATCATGTTGATCTTATCACGAGGTGACAAGGCGATTAATCTCTGCAAAAGAACTTTGACTAAGGGCAATATTATTTAAAGGAAAGTTTCAAAAAGATTAATTTCAAAATCGTTCAACAAATATGAAGTAGTATTATCTGCTTGTTTGCTTTTTTCCGATCATAGCTTGACTAATTTGCATCACATTTTATTTGAAAACTCGATAGAACCATGCACGTTCTTAGCTTGGTTAAGTGGGTTGATATTTGCAGTGAAAGTTTGGTTTCCAGGCAAGGCTGGGTTCCCAAGCTAATGTATCATAAAAATTATCTAATAAATCATTCAATAGAGTTTATTAGCAGAACAGGTCGTCTGAAGTGTAATACGTAATAACTATTTATAACACTGTTATTTTGGTTCACAGTGTTATAAAGTGTTAGGACAAGAGGTTCAAGCCTTCTTAGATTTAATTTTGTCCCGAGCTTTAGCGAGTTACAAAATATAATCTAAAAAAGCGAGAACCTTCAAGATATAGAGAAAATTTAAGCCCAAAAACTTTATAGCACGTTGTGCCAAAATAATAGTGTTATAGGTAATTTTATGAAACGTTTGTGTACTGCCTATTTTTATGGCTGTTTCTAGACCAAATAAGCTTTGAAACAAAGCAGAAGTCAAAATATAAAGCTGATTTCAATTTTGTTTTCATTTCAATTGATAAATTTTTTTTGGAAATATCCTAAATTTTTTGGAGAAAATCCGGGAACCAATCAAAACTTTATAGCAAGTACAGCTAATTTAACATTATAGCACGATGATTACTTTTATAGCACGTTCATTATGAAATTCAGGATGAAGTAAGTAATAATGATAAAGTACACAACAGTTTCATAAAATATTCTAAATATTTTTCAAAAATGTTTTTCTCCCGTCTCGGTAAGGTCTGTTCTAAAAATAGACCTTTCTGTGCATTGTTTTAAGACCTGTTTAAATCAAATAATTTCATATGTTTGCTGAAAAAATAAGAGGCTATTTTTGGGTTCTTCATGGCTTAGAAATAATCCTTTGATGTAAAATTTCTAAAAGTATAATTACAAGTTAAATAAATAATAACTCTTTGTCAAATTTAATTACAAGCGGATAGCTTAAGATTTTTCTAAATTTATCTCCTTTCTAAAAAATATGCTATTTATGTATTTATGTTAAGAAACTGTTGAAAATAAACAAATATATCTAGGCCAGGAGCTTAACAATGCACTATAATGTAGTTTAGTAGGCTCATGGGAAAATTGCAAAAAGGAAGTTGACTCAAGAGAAAAAGTAAATGTTAAAATATGTTTGCGAATTTCTTTATGAAAAGAAGAAAATTAATTATAATTGTATCTTAGTTTTAAAGAGAATGTTCGCGTAAAATATAAGGAGGTGAACTTAACAAAACCTTTCTCAAAATATCATTTTAAGTTTGAAGAAAAATCCAATTAGTTGATTAAGCACTAGAAATTGCTGCAACAAAACTGCATTGAAAGAAATTAGAAAATCCTTTCCCACAAACTCAAATTTTCATAACCCTTTAACTTTGCAACCTGACGGCGTGAAACATTGATATTTCAAACTTTGATTATTAGATCTAACAGAATTCATAGTTTGAAATATCTAAGGTCCAGGACATAGGGTTGCAAAGATGTAGGAATAAGAAAATCAGAGTTTGTTGCTCAGACTCAAGTCCTTTAAGTTTGCAAATATACTTCCCCGAAATATGGTTACTAGAAAACCAAATATACCTATTTCTACATATGTGTTAACAAAAAGAAAGCAAAAATATACCTATTTCTACATATTTGTTAACAAAAAGAAAGCAAACAATTAATTGCAAAGTTCACAAAAAATCATATTAAACTGTAGGACCATGTATTCAACCCCTAAATCATTAATCAACTTCTCAAATGTAGTTGCAAAAAAAAAGTTTTGCAATGTTGGAGAACATTTTCACGGATGCATGTCTTGAAATATATTTAATACAGTTCCGTAATGGCCACACGCGCCGACATAATATTACGTCTAGTTTAAAGAATTTCCTGTACTCGTACTTTACTGTATCACATCTTCAATTTTCCCCTACCTTTACACTAGAAATATTTTTAACCCCGTTTTCTATGATTAAATCAAATAAGCAACCATAAGCCATTTTTCAAATTAAAATTGATGAAAATTGAATAATTACAACTGAAGTCCATTATTCGTACAATTCTTATTGTATATGATGCCTTTTCCTTGGACCATATTATATATTGAATATTTCTTTTTTTTGCAAAAACTACTTCTCCTTTCGTATACATATTTCCTCCTTATAATCTTTATTTTCCCACACATGTAATAGTTATCCTTATATCCGCAATAATATATATCTCTCATATACTTAGTTTTCTTCTATATACAATACATATTTCTTTGGCTACTATCATCCCTTTTTAGTTTTTGCCCTTTGTTACATAATCTTAATATATAAGACTAAGATGTCATTAAGGCTAAAAGAAGGCTCGAGCCTTGAGATATCTTCAGAAAAGGTCAGGCCTAACTTTTAGCGTTAGAGTTTATACTAACAAAAATATAGAATCGAGACTAAGCTATTTGATCGCAGCCTCTGACTGAATGTACTTACATATCTGCATGTCTGAGAGGTTGAAGAAACTGATTGTGTAGAGAACGAAGATCAGAGACAAACTCCTGTTCCTTCTCCAGTAGGTCTCTGATCACTTGCTGACGGTAGTCAATATTCTTTGCCAACACCTCCTCTGCAATTTCAATAACGCTTTAGGCTAATTAATAAAAGATAAATGTTTTGCATGGCTAACGACTAAGAAAGTCTAAAAGCTAAAAAAGAGCTTATGACGTATAAATGGTGAAGGTTAGCAATGACAAATGGCTAACAATAGCAAGTGGATAGCAATATTTTTAATAGCTTACGACTACCAACGCTAATAACGCCATCGAAACTAAGGACAATCAAAGAAACAAAAAATAAAACAAAAAAATAGCTCCATAAAAACTATGCTTAAAATAAACATATGATAATAATACTAACATTAACAATAACAATGATAATAAACATGTTTTACAAATACCACTAATCTGTCTCCATATTGAATAATTTTATTCTATAATTTGATCATCTTTACTCTGTGCAAAATGTAATTTCAAGTTATCCTTCATTTAAATAAGGTACATGCCCGATTCCCAACGGACCTTCATCTGATCAAGGATGTGGAAGACAATGTGTTTTTTCTGGCTTAAAAAGTATTTAATTAAAATTATTTCTCCATTGGCCTTCATGTAGCATAAATGCGCCAAGTATACTTTGTTGAGAAACCAAAATTGAAAATGCTCAGATTTCAAAATTATAAACATTGATATCTTAGTCATTCGTGATCAGACAAAGATTTTAAGGGTACTGATGTGAATCTGACATGCCACTCTATAAATGGAAGGTCACTTGAAATTACGCCTACTGTTCCTTTAAACTGACCTGGTACAGGAAGATCATTATTTCCTGTACCGTTCCTTTAAACTGACCTGGTACAGGAAGATCATTATTTCCTGTACCGTTCCTTTAAAGTGACCTGGTACAGGAAGATCATTATTTCCTGTACCGTTCCTTTAAACTGACCTGGTACAGGAAGATCTTTATCTCCTGTAGGAGTTAAATTCTGTTCTGAAATCTCCTCAACATAATTACAGGGGAACCATCCTGTCTTACCATCTACATATTTATTATTTATTAAATAATATTTATTTGATTCTTCTTTAGTATAAAAGTTTTATGCTAAAAAAACTTTAAAATTTGATAGAGAAAGGAGTCATTTTTTTCAAAAAAAATTCTGGATGTATTTGCTCTCTAATTTTAAGTTTATACAGTGCGGAATCCAATTTTTATGGGAAAAAAGAAAAAAGTCGTGACACTTTTCATAATATGGAAACTGAAAAAATAGTAGTTTTATTTTAAAATATGATTATATCTTGAATATTTCAACGCATGTTAAACGAACATTATAAATTTGTTGACAAACATCATTAAAGATAAAAAATATAAATTTCTAATTTATTAAAATCTTAGTTAACTCACCCAATGTTCCCTCCCACCAACCACCTTCTAGCTTCTGGGTTAATGTTATTATGTCACTCTTCTTAAACTTCAACTAGAAAAAAACATGTTTATTAAAAAGTTTCATCAATATAAATGTTTGGCTCGTCTGTCTATTTATTTTATTTTTATCCAATAAATGCACAAAACGGCTGTTCCGATCGGGCCAAATTTGTTGTAGTACCTAACATTATAATTTTACTATAGAAAATAGAAACTGACCAATTTTTTAATTTTATCTTGCGTAAAATGATGGCATAAAAAGCAAGATTACAGGGGACTAAAAATGGAGCGTGAAGCCCCTTTAAAGTCCAAGTTTATTATATTTTCTTTAATTAGTTTCCCCTACCTCGTCATTATTGGTTCCTTTGAATTTAAAGATTGCTCGAACTTTGATTGGATCTACCGCCATTTTGTCTCAGTCCATTCTGAAACAGTTTTAGGTCTACATTTTTTTAACAGAGAAAGTTGCAACTATTTGCTGAACGTTATTTTCCAACTAATTTGATTAAAATAAACGTTGACACTCTGAGGGTTCGTGGATTCGTCACATGTGTCAAATTTACATAGCTGTCAAATTCCTGTGAAATCTTAATACATTTAATTGATGTGATGGGTAATCAAGCAGGGTGGATAACGTTCAGGACAGAAGACAGCTGGATGAGGGGGGGATATGGGTTGATGAGGGGGNNNNGGGGGGGGGGGGGGGGGAGGGGGTGTCAATGTTAGGTGAGTAAAATTTCAGTTAAAAGTTTTTGGCACGAAAATATGATGATGTACAAAGGAGAAAATCTGTTTATAAAGTAAATCTCTTTCTCCTTGTACATAATCTTTACATAAACAAAGCTTATTGTCGACTGAAATCTAGAAATATCGGTTTACCACTACCTTGGTAAAATATTTATTATGAACTATACATTGAAACAAACACTTGTTGATAAAATAAACAAAATGTATACACATTACACATGAATAGAAAGAACTAAAATTTTTGAATGTCTCTATGTGAAGGTTAAATTTGTTATTTTGTCATTAAATTAGTTGTGAATACTAAAAAATTATGTAGCAATAAATTAAAAAGTAAACAGGTTTAGCAATGTAAGAATTAAAGAAATTAGACTGATTTATAAATACCATACAGCAGGGGCGGATACAGGGGGGGGGACATTCGCCACAATGACAGATTCAGGGAGGGGCGTAGCCCCCCCTGAATTTTGAATTTTTTGTTCCTATTTTCAGAATAGCTTCTCAATAGCATGCTTAAGGGAAAGAAACCCTAGTACTAAACAGGAAAAATATCGGTCTTAATAAACTATGATGTGTGAAAAGTTAAAAATCTAGTTTTTTAGTCTTTAGTCATTAATTTTGACTCTTTTTGAGCCTTTTAAGTCAAAAAAAATTTCGCCTGCAGCGCGATTTTTTGTTCCTAATTATGAATTTTTTTGTTCCTAAAAAATCTTGCCCCCCCCACTTAAATCCTGTATCCGCCCCTGCCATACAGTAGTCTTTAAAGTCTTAATCCTTTGTAGTAAACCATGTACATGGATTTGTATTTTGTACATAAGGTACATTGTTTAGATAACACTGTAATATATCCAGGTAGTTATCCCTAGGATCTACAGTTGTCAACTACTGCTCTAGTACCGGGCCCCCTGTGTGACTGGCAAACTGCCAAAAATACATGTTGTAAAGGGGAAACTAATTTTTCCGCAGATCAAACAAATTGCAGACTTTTAGACTCGAAATCGAGAATAGACTTTAAAATAAACTGTAAGAATTGGACGAAGAGATAGATTTAAACTTATTTATTTAAATTAAAGAATGATTATTTAGATATCAACAAATTATGTAAACAAAGTTCCAAATCTAACAACCGTATCTGAGAACGTAATAACTAGTTCTGCACATAAACTGTACATTGTATACGCTGTATTGTGTACATATGCAGTACAATACAGTCCTTGTGTACATAAATTGAAGATGTTGAGGGTTCATCTATCTACTGTATCCGACACAACACTAGAACAAAAATAATGTACGGAACGGGAAAACGGAGATTTAAAATCGGTTCAGATTTGTTTAATGCAGGGGCGACCCGACCCCAAACTTTGAAGCCCCTAGGGAGGGTGGATGTATGTCAGATATTCAAACTAGAAATGTTGGCATATAAAAGAAAAAAAGAAAAAAAGGAGACTGACAGATAAAGGAAAACTGAAAACCACATGAAAAAGTTTAAATTCATAAAGAATAAACTTGAAAATAACCTTTGCAAATTTACCTTGAACTAGAATCCATAACAGGAGGAGTTGTATTGAGCTCTGGTCTTGTATCTACTACAGAGACTACAGGGGGTGCAGGGAGTACACGAGGTATCGGGAGTTCAGGGAGTACTGTGAATTCAGGATATCGGAGTCCGTTCAGACGACGCCGCATTAACAAATCACCTCTAAATGTAAATAGTCCATTTAAAAATAAATAAGATATCCTTGTCCTTTCTAATCACATCAAACCAAAACAAACCAAACTTAGCCGAAACCATCAAATCCAAACCAAACCAAATCAATCCTATTCAACATAACCCATAAATGGCAATAAAACGTCTAATTCAATTAATTCGCATCACATCAATTCCATCCAATCCCATCCAATCTACAAACCTATCTGCCATCCGATTCCATCCAATCCCATCCAATCTACAAACCTATCTGCCATCCGATTCCATCCAATCCCATCCAATCTCATCAAATTTTATATAATCTCCCATCCAATACCAACCAATCCCATCAAATCTCATATAATCTCCCCTCCAATACCAACCAATCCCATCCCATCCAATTAAATCCAACTGATAAGATGAAACGGAACTGAGTCTAACCTAGCAGATAATGCTCTTGAGTTCTGAGAGCTGGGAGCAAATATTCTTTTCTCCTCCTCCCTTGCAGCAACCTTAGCTCTGTGGAATCCAGGAACTGGATCTAGTAACTCAACCTGGAGTTTATAAACTAAAAAATTGTTTACTTGCAGAACAATCTAATGGTTAACTCATTGGTTGATCACACATTGTCCCAAGAATCAACATCTACTTCCAAGAAAGTTGGCGCAAGCACCAACAGTCTGTGGAGAAAATGACGATAAAACCAATTTATCAAATAAATCTGAACTTCAAAGTAAATATGAGTTACTGCTAATATGGTCAGGGGGAACCCATGTATTCACTGTCCAGCTTGTTTATTAAGCTTAAGACCGGAACCTGGACGGAAATTTGGAATGCATTCTTTAGGAATCGTGCCTTCAAATTCACCGTAATTCATGAAAACCAAAAATAGTTTTGTCTTTTCACCTTTTGATCTGCGGGTAGATTCTTGTTTAAAGAATCCAGGATTCTGTTGTAAACTTCCTCGCCTAGGAACCGTTTAGACAAACCCGTTCTCCTGGAAAACATATATTCGGTTGTAATCTTTGATACTGTGTATCCTGGATATTTTAAAAACGCAAGGGGGTGAGGTGACAAAAAACATTTTTAGAATAAAATTATTTTTACAACTTTGAATTTTTCTCAGAGAAAATCATTATCCGCAATTTTTACACATTCTCTAAATCTAATCTTCCATTTTTTACGGTGACTTTCACGTTTTTGTATAATAAGATAAGTACTGTAAGGTAGTATCAGAAACACTTTATAAATTGGATTAAGGTTGGGTTCCAAACCTGATAATCTCCGGAGCAGACCAATTCTTCCTGGCAATCCCTTCCTCCTGTTCCACTTTCTTCTTCTCCGTCAACTTCTCATCCTTCACCAGCAAACTCCAATCCACGCCCAGAGCGTCAGCAATCGTTGCATTTGCCTAGAAAATTTGCATTTCTTGTGACGATTAGAGATTTGAGATTTGAATTTTGATAATATGTTTAAAGATAAAGATCGTAAAAATTTGTTGATGTTAATATTTAGATCTCTGATAAGGTAATCTAGAAAATTAACGAATCCTCCCTTAAAAAGTGAATACAAATATGGAATGGATCTCACCTTCTCTATTTCCATTTTCTTAGAACAATCAGATTTGTTCAATGTTTCAAGGTTCTCTAAAACATCACTTCCATCCTCAAGAACTCGGGACTGTTTATCAGATTTATTTGAGTTGCTGGAGTCTGGTCTGCTCAAACCCTTCTCATCCTCCTGGTTCAAGATTTCTTCATCACTCTCACCAAAATCACTGAAATCTTCGACCAAACCTTCAGCGTTTTCACCTTTCTCAATATCATCCTTCTTAGTTTCTTTTCTCTCGGAGTTTTCAATTTTCTCCTCCCCTTCAGTTTTCTCTTTCTCCTCCTCGGCTGAATTTGTCTCTGGAGATTTATCTTTCGGGGATTCTAATTTAATGTCTAGCGACTTATCAAGCGAGGTTTGTCGCGATTTGGGTTTTAAATCTTCTTTCTTTCCGCTCGAGTTACGCTTACGTCCCTGTGCCGCATGTCTCCCTTTCTTCCATCCATCTTCTCCCCTGTCTATATCAATTCTTCTCTCTGCTCGTCCTCGTTTCCCTCGTCCTCTACCACGTCGAGGACTGTCTCCTCGATTCCAGTTTGGTCTTCTACTGTCAAAATCTCTAGCATCTCCCTCGTCGTCTCTTTTCCTTTCTAATCTCTTCTCCTCTCCTTCCCAGTCTCGTCTTCGATCAAATCTTCCAAGATTTCTATCCGTTAGTTTCCCGCGTTCTAGATTTTTTCTCCCATTACCCCCACCTCGTTTATCTACGTCCTTCCAATCGTTCTCTCTTCCCCGACCTTTCTCCTCGTCCCTCTTTTTCTCAAGGAGCAAATCGTCCTTTTTCCTATCCATGTTGGATCGTTCATCTCTTCTTCTTCTATCATCATCAAAGTCGTATCGCCTTTCGTCTCTCTTGCCCCTGTCGTCCCTCTCTCCCCTCTGGTTGCTCCGGTTTCTTTCGTCCGAACCATGAGATCCTCTATCTTCTTTCCTTCTGTCCACGATATCATGCTTTTTGTCGTCATCTCTGCGTGCTAAATCTTTTCTTAAATCCTCGTCTTTGCGATCATCTTTTCGGTGTCCGTCCCTTCCTCCTTGGCGATCCCTACCTCGATCGTTTGTCAGATCTCTCCGATCTCTGCTTCCACCTCGTTTATCTCTGACAGCTGGAGATCTACCTCGATCTAAGGGAGATCGATCTCTGTTGAACTTATTTGGAGATTTCTTGGTTATGGGAGATCTTTTTCGACCGGGGGATTTCCTCGCCGGAGATTTGCTGTTATCCCGGCCTTTACGATCCTTGCTTACTGAAATTTTCGGAGAATCTCTTTTTAAATCCTTTTTACGATCTGGTTTATCCTGAGATTTCTTTCTTTTCTGAGGAGTTCTACTCCGTCTTCGCTCCGGAGAACTTTCTACGGATTTTACAACCTGAGGTTGTGGAGCTGCTATATAGAACCCGAACTTATCTCTCTCCTGAACTCCAGGTTTTATCAAGTTTATCCGGGGCGCTGCCTCAGCTGGCTTAGGTTCAACTTTCTTGGATGAATCCTTCTCGTCTTTCTTCTCCTTTTTCTCTTTCAGAACTTTTGTTTTTTTCGTTTTTACACCCACCTTCTTTTTTACTTTGTCGTTTTTCTTCATTTTTTTCGCTTCAAGTTTTAACTTCAACTTTTTCAGCTTTGTTTTATCTAGACTCGACACGCTAGAGTCTCTTTTCAGCTTCTTTTTAACCTTCTTTCCGTCCTTTTTCTTGCCCTTGTTGGATCCACTGGAGGAGCTACTGGAGGAGGAGGATCCCGAGGTTGATGAGGAGGATGAGGAGGATGAGGAGGATCTCAGTCTCTTAAGTTTAAATCTATCCTCCTCTAACTGTCTAGCCAACTCTCTCTGTAACAGTTCTCTTTTCTTCTCCAGTGTACTCTGATCATCATCATCCAAATCCTTAGAACTCCACTCCTCGAAGTTTTCTTCCAGAAGAGGAGAATCTTTTAAACCCTTTAATCCTCTTGGACGTTCCGGTTTTCCTTTCCGCAGCTCTGGTTCTTTACGTTTAGGAGACAAACTCTGCCGGCCATCCGGCCAACCAGCCCCTAGACACAAGGAAAGGTTAGTATATAAATATTTACTTATCATTTACTTTATCATGCTTTGGACCAATATAAACTTTTTAAAAATTTTGCTATGCTATCAATTGGTTTGATTTAAATAAAGTTCTTTAACCTGATTTCCTAGTTGTACCCCCAGCACTGGATCCTCTAGCAGTCCCACCTTGACCTTAAGTAATAGGTCAGATAAACTATACTTTAAATTACTTTAAGCAACAACAAAAAATGGTTTGTAAATGAAACTGTAATGGTTTACCACAAGACTAGCTCGACTAGAAATGATATAACTAATAATTTATCCTTAAAACCAAGAAGTTAAGTACGGATGATTAAATTATCCTCATGCTTCACAAAATCCTAGAAATTTTGATTATCAATGGCAGGGAGGACAAATAATTATTCTTTCTCCAACATTCAAGTTGTCTAACAACTGACAGGGAAATTCAGGTTAAATGTTTCGTTAAAAAGAAGATTAAAAACTATTAAATCAGCGCAGCAAATACAAATTTTTTAAGATTGAGAAAATGCATTTAAATTAAATTGTTAACCTGGTATTTTGTTTCCAAGTCGAGAGAATACACTAGGACGAGAATCAACAATTCCTCCCTTCTCTCGTCCTCTTTCTGAGTCGGCAGATCGTCCGTCTCGTCTTCGATCCATTTCCGGCAGATTCGTCCAAACTTTACTTTTCAATTAGAGCTTGCTTTGAGCAACATTTGTGTCTGAAAAAATCTATTTTACTCTTGACAGAAAACAAAAAGGACGAAATGTGCGAAATTTTTTTTCTTTTAGTTTATTTTTGTGTACACTTCACCCAACCCGGTCTACCTGCCTCATATGTCGTCATTCTCATCCGTTGGGCTTAACTCAAATCTCCATAGTTATACGTTATTATGCGTCCCTCCTGCATGACCTGCATACCTTCTCTTTGCTCTTTATGAGACATATTCATTATGCGCCCTCTTGACTCTCCTGCATATCTTTTCTTTGCTCTCTATGAGATATATTCATTATGCGTCCCTCCTGCCTACGTCTTCTCTTTGCTCCTTATCAGATATATTCATTATGCGTCCCTCCTGTCTGGTTTTTTCTTTCCACTCTATCAGATATATTATTTGTGCGTCCCTCTTGCCTACCTTCTCTCTGCTCTCTATGAGATATATTCAATACGCGTCCTTTCTGCATACATTCTTTTTGCTCTGCATCATATATCAATTAAGCGTTCCTCCTGTCTACCTTCTCTTTGCTCCTTTTCAGATATATTCATTATCCGTCCCTCCTGCCTACCTTCTCTTTTCTCTTTATCAGATATATTCATTATGCGTCCCTCCTGCCTACCTTCTCTTTTCTCCTTATCAGATATATTCATTATGCGTCTCTCCTGTCTACCTTCTCTTTACTCCTTATCAGATATATTCATTATGCGTCCCTCCTGCCTACCTTCTCTTTTCTCCTTATCAGATATATTCATTATCCGTCCCTCCTGTCTACCTTCTCTTTTCTCCTTATCAGATATATTCATTATCCGTCCTTCCTGCCTACCTTCTCTTTCCTCCTTATCAGATATAAACATTATGCGTCCCTCCTGTCTACCTTCTCTTTGCTCGACTTATCAGATATATTCATTATCCGTCCCTCCTGTCTACCTTCTCTTTTCTCCTTATCAGATATATTCATCCATCTTCCCTAGACAATTGGTTTCTAAAATATTCTCCCAATAATCTATGTCATGTTTTCATATTAGTCAAGATTTATAACAATTTTAATGATTTATTGTAGTGAGGAAATCAATTATATAAGAATTACATATTTAATTTCTTCTTCAAAATAAATCCAATATTTTTTTTGGAAATAATTGTTGAACGGTATCTTTAGAAAGTACAGATTTTACAGATCTGGGTAACCAGGCGGAGTATTATTACAGGGCTGACACAATGTATGTGATTTTAATGCCGAAATTAAACTGATTAATTATATTAATTATAACGATTAGAAAGTATTTTTTAAAAGCACTAGTACATGAAACCTTCAAAATAAGCGATAAGACTATAGAAACTGTTTAAGTAGTCTCTGAAATGTCGTCCTTAAACTAATTAATAATCGAGCAAGCAAGAGGCGCGGTAATTGCCTCAAGGCAGATCCAGCCGATTATCAGCTGCCGCCGAATTGGCTAGTAAATGCTCCAAAGCAGATCCAGCGGATAATCAGCCGCCGCCGAATTGGCTCTAGTAAATGCCCCAAGGCATATAATAAGCTGCCTCCGAATTGGCTAACGACTGCCTTGAGGCAGATCCAGAAGATAATCAGCTGCCGCCGAATGGGCTAGTAAATGCGTCAAGGAAAATCCGGCGGATAATCAGATGCCGTTCAGTAAATGCCTCAAGACAGATCCGGCGAAAAATCAGCTGCCGACGAGAAATTATCTCAAGACAGATCCGGCAGATAATCAGCAGCCACCGAATTGGCTAGTTCCGGTGATGAGGCAAGAACCTCCTCAACTAAAGAGGCAACAGCCTCATCCTCTAGCTGTCGTCTAGCCTCCAAATCTGAAAACAGAAAAAATATCTATTGAAACTTTTTATTCAAATCTCGTTAAAACTAAATGGGACTCAACAATATATTTCGAATTACAAGAATTGTCAAAAATAGGAATTTGAGATTTATGGAACTTGAAACTGAATCAAAAAATATTTTTAACAACAAAAATAAACTTACCATGAGAAGATGGTAATCTGATTGGAACTCTGTCTAGTCCAATCTGACATGGAATTCGTATCCCACCAACCTCACCATCCCTTAAACAAATTATTCACTATTAAGAGAGCAAAACAAAAAATATAAACCCTTAAAACTGGTTCACTTTACCGATTAAATCAAAAAGGCAAAAATAAAAAAGTAGCAACATGTAACAACAACGTCAAAAACAAATAAATACATGGATAAAAATAATAATAAAAAAAAAAAAATTAATGGCAACAATTTCCAAAAATTATTCCAAATAATGCCAAAATAAGATTTTAATGACATTCTAGGTCACTGAACTTTTGAAGTTTACCATTGAATTTAATTAAAATTAGCACCTTGTTGGAAATGATGAGTCTCTTGAAGCTTGGTTTTGGTTTCGAGACTGTTGGTTAGCTTCTCTCGAAGGTTGAGATTGCTCTCTCGAAGGTTGAGATTGCTCTCTCGAAGGTTGAGATTGCTCTCTTGAAGGTTGAGATTGCTCTCTCGAAGGTTGGGAATGATCTCTAATGGATTGGGATTGTTCTGAATGTACTGGATGATTCTGTTCTCTGAAATGATGTGACACCTCTAGAGAATGATGAGGTATCTCCATAGAAGGTTGAGATATATCCTCGCCTTGAGATCTGTCCTGATCCGCCTCCGCCAGCTCTGCCTCCGTAAGGTCGGATATACTCGCCTGCCCGGCTCCTCCGGTGGGAGGATCACTTTCTAAATATTATTCAGAATCAAACCACAGAAAACATGCTTATGTTCATTTTTTACCCATTCAAATCAAACCTTAAAGTCGGAAAATAAAATGTTAAAAATCGCCCGCTTTGAAATAAAGAAAATCCAAATTCACTTGCCTTCCCCAATGTCGGCCTGGTTTGATTCTCTGCTATAAGACATAGGAAGCTGGAGTTGGATATTAATGAATCCGTCCTGATCCGGGGGAACCTCAGAACTCTGCATATTCCGGGGCAGTCCTCTTTCCTGAACACAAGTTGGTATTAAACAAATGTCGATGTTTACCGTTGCGGGGTTCCTCGTGTTATAAGGTCACCCACAACGGATGAGACTTAAATGACGATCTTAAGTTTTTTTAATATATAATTAAAATTGAACTGTTATAAACAATTAATTTTAAGCTACACTATTTACTAGATGATCTTTATAAGAAATAAAGTAGTGTGCAATTACAGGGAAAGACTGAGTAAATTCCGTAATGTTGTCTCTGAAGTCTCATCTTTAATGGGTAACCCTGAAGTTTTGTGAATTTATAACATACTATCTTCTAAACATCTCTAATAACACGCGTATAGGTAAATACGCCGTATTCTTATTTCAGAAGTGCAACAACAACTACATCTCGTGTCTTATCTGTATAATCTGTAACGGGAAAAATGTTAGGGTAAGAATCTGAAACTAGAAGATTCTACCTGGGCGCCTTGAATCCGTCTTGAATCCCGTTCCTTTGACATGAGATTCTTCTGCTGGTTCTTCGGTACAGCGTAGTTCTGCTGGGAGTTGTTACTACTCCAACTAGACTGATGGGACCCAAAGTATGGGAGTGGGAGCAAGGGGGGTAGAAAACTGGACCTATCAGGAGCACCTCCAGGGTTCAGAGAAGAAGCTCCCGGGTTCAGGGCAGAGGCAGCGTCAGTATAGTTTGGAGAAGATTGGTTTGTCAGGGGTGAGAATAAATTGTTCTCGTTGGGTCTGTTATGACTACTCCTTCTAGAATACAATATAATGTTTAAGGTTAAGGATGAAAAAACGAAAATTTAATTTTCTAAAGGGACTGTAAGCGAAATTTCAAGTGACCTTTCATGCAAAGATGGTAATGTCTGATTCACAACGGCACCCTTGAAACCTTTGTCTGATCAATAATGCAGAAGATAATATATTTTTTCTAAGTTTAATAGTGTTTAATTCGAATAATTTTCTATATATTTTCCGGCCGTAGAAATGCGCGAGTCACTTTTGCAGAAAACCACAATTGTAATTAATGTTTTCAAAATTATGAACATTGTTATCTAATTCGTACGTAATCAAACAAAGCTTTTAAGGGTACTATTGTGAATAGGGAAATGCCATCTTTGCATGGAGTATCACTTGGAATTAGGCTTCAGTCCCTTTAATTCTGACTTTGTCTCGAAAATACGAAACAAATTCTAAAATGTTTATTTATTTGTTTTCTCCAAAAAAAAAGGCAATATCTTTAATTGTACCTGGAAGGGAATTCCGCGTTAGAAAATGTCGATGAAGTTGGTAAATTCTGATGGGAGGGAGATTGTTCGCTAGTTTGGGTTGGAGATAAATGGTTTGGATTGGGAGAAGTTATACGGTTTGGATAAGCCGGGGATTGGTGGTTTGGTTGGTTGGTTAGAATCTGGTTTTGTATAGAAGAGATATTGTTGAGACCAGTATCACTAGAATCAATTTCTACAGCCTAAATATAAAAAATTAAATGATTTTTCAGGAAATAAAGTTTTCTTCTGATTGCACATATGAAGCTTACAAATAATGTTTATTGCTTATGCTCCCAAACACCAATAAAACTACACCTTAATCTTTTGTGCTTTACAAAAAAGAGCTACATGCATGGCCAGGCCAGCATATTAGTGTGCCAATAATGATTCACTAAAATATTTTTTCAACCGATATCTAAAGCAAATAACAGGACATAATGTTTCGGGATAAAAATGATTTTTAACAAATTCAGTCTATAATTCAGTTTTTAAACTTCATATTTTCTTCAAAACAGAATAATAATAAACAAAATATTTCCCGTCTCAAGAAAATACTCAATTCTTTGAGATATTTAATCTATATTATACAAAGTAGTAATCTCTATTTGTCTGTTTGTTTGGATATCCGATCATATGTCATGAACCTCTGAGCCGATTTGCCTCAAACTTTGATTGGGGAAATAGTCAAAACCACCTGTTTTAGCGCATGGTTTGAAAATTCTAAGTAAGTGAGTTGGCTTGTATAAAAAAGGATAGTTTCAGGCAAAGTTGGGTTCACAAGCTGGTTTCATTTTAAAAGAATAAAAGAAGATATTTTGCCTCGAGTTTTCTGGTTACCACTAGAAGTTGCAATGATAAGTGCTAAGACTCCTACCTGGAGCGGAGCATGTGAAGATAATCTTTTAGCAGCAACCTTGCTCCGACTTTGCCTTAATATAAATGGAATAATTAGGAAAAAGGAAGACCAATAGAATTAAACTACAACAATTAAACTAAAGAAATCAAATTCTTCTTAATGGATAATTTATTCATTGTACAACGTTGTACCAAAAACCAAGCAGATTGTAGTTAATTTATATACATAAATGAACATTGGACACTCTTTCAATGGACATTGGACACTCTTTTAATGGACATTGGACACTCTTTTAATGGACATTGGACACTCTTTTAATGGACATTGGACACTCTTTTAATGGACATTGGACACTGTTTTATCTTTTATATTTAAAGAAGTATTCTCTGATGGATGTCTGTGGGAAGAATGTAGACTTGAAAAGAGAAAACTTGGTTTCCAGGCAAGAATGGGCTGACAAGCTAGTATAAAACATATAAGATCTATACCTAGGCAAAGGTCTTTCAGTTCCATCTTCACTACTCTCTGAAGATGTTTCTCTAATATCCAGGTTCAGGTTTCCAGATCTATATTCTCTTCTCTGCACACTAACTCGAGACTCATTCCTATAATATGCCCCATAATTATTTACTTTTTCATCCTGACACAATTACTTAATCTTTTTTCAAAATGACTTAATTGTCCCTGTTCACAACTTTACTGACCCGGCTGGATTTTAAAAAGTAAAGTATGATATAAATCATATTTATGACCTAATATATTTCATTAAAAGAAACCGTAACAACCGTAACAACGAAGAAATTTTGTAATATTACGCCAGATTACCAATTTCTCTTTTCGTAAAAAATTTAAAAATTAAAAATAACTGTAATTTTAAAATTAGATACCTAAGTGGTGATAAATTAAGGTTCTCCTGAGAAGAGATGAGAGTAAGTTCGTCCAGTAGATTCGCCAGGAATTCAGGAGCAGTATCATTCCGGGAGATAATGGAGTGAATCTAAATATATTCCTGGATATTATTGAGTGAATCTAAATATATTCCAGGATATTAATGAGTGAATCTAAATATATTCCGGGATATTTTTGAGTGAATCTAAATATATACCAGGATATTATTGAGTGAATCTAAATGTATACCAGGATATTATTGAGTGAATCTAAATATATTCCTGGATATTATTGAGTGAATCTAAATATATACCAGGATATTATTGAGTAAATCTAAATATATTCCTGGATATTATTGAGTGAATCTAAATATATTCCTGGATATTATTGAGTAAATCTAAATATATTCCTGGATATTATTGAGTGAATCTAAATATATTCCTGGATATTATTGAGTGAATCTAAATATATTCCTGGATATTATTGAGTAAATCTAAATATATTCCTGGATATTATTGAGTGAATCTAAATATATTCCTGGATATTATTGAGTGAATCTAAATATATTCCTGGATATTATTGAGTAAATCTAAATATATTCCTGGATATTATTGAGTGAATCTAAATATATTCCTGGATATTATTGAGTGAATCTAAATATATTCCTGGATATTATTGAGTAAATCTAAATATATTCCTGGATATTATTGAGTAAATCTAAATATATACCAGGATATTATTGAGTGAATCTAAATATATACCAGGATATTATTGAGTAAATCTAAATATATACCAGGATATTATTGAGTGAACCTAAATATATACCAGGATATTATTTGAGTGAATCTAAATATATACCAGGATATTATTGAGTGAATCTAAATTTATACCAGGATATTATTGAGTGAATCTAAATATATACCAGGATATTTTTGAGTAAATCTAAATATATACCAGAATATTATTGAGTGAATCTAAATATATTCCGGGATATTATTGAGTGAATCTAAATATATTCCTGGATATTATTGAGTGAATCTAAATATATACCAGGATATAATTGAGTGAATCTAAATATATACCAGGATATGATTGAGTGAATCTAAATATATACCAGGATATTATTGAGTGAATCTAAATATATATCAGGATATTATTGAGTGAATCTAAATATATACCAGGATATTATGGAGTAAATCTAAATATATATCAGGATATTATTGAATGAATCTAAATATATTCCGGGATGTTATTGAGTATATCTAAAAATATTCTAAATAAATTAAAAACAGAATGTGTTTTAAAATTGTCATATATGAAAATTTTAAAACAAATATTTAACATAAAGGTAACAGGAAGAAAATATAAAATCTACTTGTAAATGTAATTTCTCGGCAAATTACCGAAATAAAAACACAAATGATAATATTGTAAATAAATTTTTAGTTTTTAAACGTAAATTTTTGTTACCCGTGCATAAATATTTTTAGCAATATTGTCTTTACTAAAATATTTAGCTTACAACATTATATTTCTGTTACCTGTGTATATATTTTTAGTGTTATTGTCTATACTTGAATGTTTAGGTTACAACAGTATATTTCTGTCCCCTGTGTATATATATTTTGAGCGATATTGTCTATACTTGAATATTTAGGTTACAACAGTATATTTCTGTTATCTGTGTATATATATTTTTAGCAATATTGTCTATACTTGAATATTTAGGTTACAACAGTATATTTCTGTTACCTGTGTATATATATTTTTAGCAATATTGTCTATACTTGAATGCTCTTGTTCAATGTTTACTTCATCTTCAGGAGGGTTGTATACATTCACTCCTTCATTCCTTAGCAAACAAAGGTTCATATCATTCACAAAAGTATAATAGATATATATATAGTGAAATATGAAACAATTTCTAAATGTTAAATGATGAACCCAGTGTTTAGGATCCGGATACGGATCCGTTAGATCCGCAACATTTGGGCTTCCTGGATCCGGATCAGCAAAAAAATGCGGATTCAAGGGACAAAAAATCAACCAAAACCAAAAATGTTGCTCTCAAAACACAAATAAAAATTTTTAACTAATAATAGATCAAAAATTTCTGAATGATTCACTAAGTTGCAGCAAAAAAAATAAGCGGAGAGAAAAACATGTTGGAAAATTTTTCATTTGTTAAAAAATCAGTAAATCTTGGAACAATTGTTCAGGACCTTGATCCGGATCCGGATCCGTCTTTTTCAGAGCGGATCCAGGATCCGGATCCTTATCAAAATTAAATGGATTCTAAGCACTGGATAAACCTAAGCACTCTTAAACCAAAAACAAAAAATTGTAGTCTCAAACACGAGTAAAATCCTGAGAGAAAAACAAGATTTGGTGTTCATGTTGTTGGTCCAAACCAAAATAAAGTAAATAAAGCAAATATTATTTCCCACTTTTTAAACTTCATTAGTCTTTAAACATAAAGAAAACCTGATGAATGCTGCTCCTACTGCGTTATCCTGGTTACTTTGCTGACGCTTCCGCGTGGAGTTCTGATCCCTGTTCTGCTCCCGATTGATCTTATACTTCTTCCTGGTCCTGTTATACCCAGCTGTTGTGTTGTTGGCTGGCAGCGATTCTGCCGCTCGAACTGGCCGACTAGTGGACGCCAATGGCGGTGCACTAAACCGGTTTTGTCGCGAGAATGACCGGAAGTTGTCGTAATAATTATTTGCGCGTATTCCAGGACTAACTTGGTTGTTCAAAGCGTTTGAAGAAACGCCGGAGTCTGGATCTGATAAATTCGACTGATTTCGGTCACGCAAAAGATTTAAATTCCTTGGCTCTAAAATCAAAAATTAATTAGTATAATATTCATATTTAGAGGTTTCAGAAACAAAAATAAAACTAACCATGTAGAGGTCCAATATTATTGAACCCCGGTGAGTTTTGTAAACTGTTCCACAACTCCCTGGACGGAAACGGAGAAAACTGTTCCATGTTTCCGTCCTGGCTCCAGGACGGGCCTTCACCGTTCCAGGTTCCCGAGAACCTTTCTCCAATATGGTTTCCTATCCAACCACTGTTTTCAGTCCTAAAAGCATATCTTACATAACAAGGATTACAAAATCTCAAACGTAAAAAAATTTTTTTTTAATAATCTCACTTACCCTGTGTTCCAAACATCAGAAGGAGTAAGATCTGAGTTCCTCCAATTCACGTTCCCTGCTCTAGCTTGAAGGGTTCCAACTGTTTGAGCTAGTGTTCCAACCTCTCTCTGTAGAGACCAGAGAACCTGATAAACCTGGTTGAGGGAGAGGGTAAGCTGATGAACCTGGAGTTCCAATGGTATACCCAGTACACTACCGTCACCTTCACAACAAGTAAACAGTAAACAGTCTGGAATCGGATTAGTATTTGTTGGATCCGCAACATTTTATTTTCCAGGATCCGGATCCGCAAAAATATGCGGATCCACGAATCTGGATCCAAGGGAGAAAATGTCAAATCAAAAACAAGAGTATATTACAAACTTTTGAATGGTTTATCGAGTTTGAGAAAAAAATTGAGAAAAAAATTGCGAAAAAAAAGAAAATAATTTTGAAACTTTTTTTGTGAAAAACCAGTAAAACTTAAAGAAATGTTCAAGTATTAAGAGATGTTACCTGAGTTATTATCTCTATATTGAGTGGTTGCTGAGTTAGTCTGATTACTATGTTGAGTTGAAGCAAGAGATAATCGATCCAACTCATCCGTAAGTTTACGAACCTCATCCTTTATAAAGTTTTTTTTCTATTAGATTGTAAAATAATAAAAACTACAAAAATAATATAAGAATATTTTTACATTTGTAAAAAACCTTCTCCAAAGCAGTTTTCATCCAATTTGTTTGAGAAACTACAAGTATACAACCATTGTTGGTGCGGGAAAATAAACTTATTGAATATTATTCTCTGTTTATTTGAATAAAATCTCACCTGGAGAATAGAAATATAACCAAGATCTGGAATTCTCTGAGAATTATTCAGCCTTCTAGGATCCCTAGAACTGAAAATAAGTTTGCTGTTTAATTAGATTCTTTTATTCTTATATTTTCTCTATACTTGAACTCTCACACTTACCCTGAAACTTTCTATCAACTTAGAATTCTATCACACAACCTGGAAATATCACACAAACCGGAACAATCACACATACTGGAGCTCACACACAACCTTTAACTATAACAAAACCTGAAACTATCACAAAACCTGGAGCTCACACACAACCTCGAACTATAACACAATCTGGAACTATCACAGAACCTGGAACTATTTCACAACATGAAACTGTAACACAGCATGGAACTATTACACAACATTGAACTATTACACAACATGGAACAATTACACAACATGGAACTATTACACAACGTAAAACTATTACACAACATGGAACTTAACACAACATGGAACTATAACACAACATTGAACTATTACACAATATGGAACTATTACACAACATGGAAATATTACACAACGTACTATTACACAACATGGAACTGTAACACAACATGGAACTATTACACAACATTGAACTATTACACAACATGGAAATATTACACAACATAAAACTATTTCACAACATGGAACTGTAACACAACCTGACACTAGCACACAACCTGTAACTCTTTCACAGATATTCATAAGGAATTAATATAGTCCGTAGGACTGAACCAGATACGGATAATTGTTTAATATCGGCATTCACAACAGTTTTGAACTCTGATATTCTCTATCTCTACCTTGAGTTTCTAACTGGAGGATGAGGAGGATGAGAAGCAAGAGGTGGATGAGGAGGATGAGGATGGTGAGTAGGAATATGAACTGAGAAGGGTCGAGTGTTTACTTCTTTACTCCTTAACCCTGTGCTGGAATCTCTGGAGTTCCGAGGAAAATCGTTCTTGTTCAGGGTTCGGTTTGTCTCGTTCACATTTCCACTTCAAACATAAAACAAGTTCATTTATTGAAATAAGATTTTTTCTTAACATTTCATCAAACAGTTGACCGGATACATATTTTAATAAACTGGAAAATCCAATTGGAAAAGTAAGTGAACCACCACTTTCTAGCTGATCCAATTAAATGAACTTATTTTTAAAAACCCAGGGATCAAATTTGATTTTAGAGAAAAGTGATCAATTGTGGCTTTTGAGAAAAGTAGTCAAATTTGATCTTTGGGGAAAGTGATCAAATTGAATTTTTGTGGAAATGTGATCAAATTTTATTTTTGTAGAAAAGTGATCAAATATAATTAAATATTTGAATTTTATTTTAGTACCTGTTTGCGGTCTTCTTGATCAATTCCTCCAGCTGATCCCTCCGATCTCGGAGTTCTTTCTCGAGAACATCCTCATTCCGTCGTCCTTCGTTCTCGTCCCTTCTGGACAAGATGTTCGTCCTGCTGTGGTTGGAAGAGGTCCGCTGAAAGGACGAGCGTACTGGATCTTGTCCTTTCCAGTGGTTAAGAATGCTCATGGCAGGGGGGTAGGACGACATTTCCTCGCCCTTTAAAATATATTTTATTTCAAAACTTTTCTAATTTGGCAAACTTTTCTTTCTAAGATGAACTAGACTTAAACTATTCCAAAACCTCGTTTCATCTTAAAGTGTTACCCACAAAGTATGAGACGTCAGAGACGATTGTACGGAAATTGCTTAGTCCACTTTCGTGCATTCAGGGTTCATTGTAGGCCAAAACTGGCTTGTTTCTATGCTTAATAATTAAGTAAACCGTCAAAATACTCAATTGAATGCAGAAACCACAAATCAAGCTTCAAATTAACATATTTTTAGAGTTTTTGGTCGTCTTTACAATCTCATTCTTTGTGGGTAACCCTGTATATTCGAACCAATAAACTTATAATTCAAAACACAAGACCAATTATTCATATTTTCTTTAATTTTCGAATCCTCATTCCACCCCCCCCCCCTCGAAAATGCGCTTAGTTGCCTCTTGGTCTAACCTGGGATTTCTCATATTGAGCGGTGAGTAGTGCAAGGTTTCTCTCTACTAGATCAGGTTCAGACTCATGCTGCTCAGAATCCAAGTTCTCTAGTCTCTCAAACCCATGCTGGTGTACATCCTGACCCGGAGCTAGATCTGACCCACGGGAGGAGGTCTCTCGGAGAGAATGATCACGTGAGCTGAAATAAGGAGACGGAATATGAAGATGAATAGAAGGTAAGTATTTTCAATCATTTAAAGATTTTATTTAAATGTCCAAACTTTCTATCATAATATTTATTTTCTGAGAAACGATGGCGTTAAGATTTTCTAACTAAAATAGATTACAAACCTCCTTGCTGGAGAAATATCTGATGTATTGGAGTTTTTAGGTTCAGCTTCATCATATCTCAGGACTAGATCCTGGAGCTCACGAACCCTGCTCCGGAGATACTCAAGTTCTTCCTTCCTACCAGAGAAAGAGTTAATTAATTAACATCAACATTAATAATAATAATTTATAAGACCACCAATGTGAAATCCCCAGACCAAAATTTTTTAAAGAAAACTTTTATATTTTATTATTATAAGATCGTTGAAATAAACCAACGTCAACTTAAATCTGCGTAAGTAATAATGAAGTAAGTATATAATTGTAACAGAAATCACGCAAAGCGCCTTTGATTTAATATTTACCCTTTATTGTGGCTCCGTTGCTCCGAGTTAATCGTTCCCAACTCAACGCCATGTCTTTGTTCCAATTCTTCCTGAAACAAATAATGTTTTCCAAATCTATAAATGAGCTTTTTTGTTTTTATGTGTTATTGTCAACTGACGAGATTAATGTTTCCTAAAAAGTTAAGGTTTCGCCATTAGATTTAGTGGAATCGTGACGGATTCTTTGTTTTAACAGGGAACGGGGACTTAGGGAAGAGATTTCACCTGTATTGATATATTATCTTGACTGAGAGAATCAGAACCTCTATTCCTTCCTCCCCTGGTTCTATTCCTGTGTCCAAGGTTCTTTACTCCGTTCTGTTTATAAACATTTCCTTGTGTTTCGGACGGTTGCATTAAGGAAAAATCCGGGGGACGGATTCGTTGTAATCCACCAGAATTTGTTGATGTTGCGTCCTGCTGTTGCAGTTGGTTTTGGAGAACAGATAAACTGTTCTTCCTTCTCTCATAATCCCTGCAGATAAAGAATAAACTCAATAATTGAATGACCTAGAAACAAAAAAAAACTTGTGGTCGTGGTTCTCTGAAAACCCGAATTATAGATTCATTCTCTACAAACGTAGATTGACCATTTTTCGTCGTTTTAATTAAATGTTTTTCATAAGTTTAGCCAAGTGCTTCTGCAGTAATGACGAGGACATCTTCAAATTAAAGAGGCTGTGAGCGTAATTTCAAGTGACCCTCCATGCAAAAATGCCAATTTTGTTAGTTTCTAAATGTATTCAGTAGAAATAAGTTAAGTCCCTAAAGTAAAAAAAAAACACAATAAAAAAATACACATTGATTTCTAATTTAGACTTGATCAGACAACGAAAAAGGGTACCGTTGTGAATTGGGTTTAGCATCTTTGCATGGAGGATCACTTCAAATTCCGCATACAGAGTCCCTTTAAAGGGAGTGACCGGCAATGTATTGTAATTGAACTGAGAATGTAGTATTGTGGAGAAATTTTTTGGAATTCATTCGAGATATATTAAACGTTTTATTTAGATGATGTATACTTATTTTTCATCATTATATTGAATTTCTTATTCTTTACGAATTTGTTCGCAGATTTCTACAAATATTTGTGAGCAATGAGAGATTACAGAAATTAATAACTGAGTAAGATTACTAAATTTCGATGATAAGAGTTAATTTCTATTATTTCAACCTGTTCCTTAACATCTAATTAGTTTACTGTATAATTTTGTTAGATTTTTTGTCGTCGTTATTTAATAATTTTTAAAAAATCGATTCTCAAAACGTAACCACCCAAATGGATGATTTTGAAAGTCGAGTTTCCGTATCAAACTCAGTAATTATACATCATTAAAACGTTTTATGTCTCAAATGAATCCTACACAATACTACATTGTTCACGTACCATAAATTGCCACTCCCTTTAAGTGTTAAATTATTAAAAAATAGGCCTTCGACTTCTAAGCATTTTTTTTAACTGGTTGCAAATAAATTCTAATGTCATCGTTACTTCAATTTGAAATATTAAAACAAAATTAGAATTTTGTAACAGATGAAGATTGAACAATAACTTGAAATCTTCATTTTCAATCATAAAACATAAATAATATCAGTTTAAACCTGAAGTGTTGGTCAAGATGAAAACGAAATTGGTTAAGGTTTTGATACCTGAATAGTGTTGAAATATCTCGTAAATTTCCATTCTCTTCCTCCCGTTCCGCTCTATCTCCTCCTAGTAAACAACAGATGTCTTCAAAAAAGTTAAATATTTGATCAATTTATCATTCTAGAATTTATACTGAAAGTACAATTATCTTCCTTTTCTATTTCATGTCAAAGTGCTGAGTGAAAAAAGAGAAATTTTCCATCAAAAAAAAATATGAAAAAAGAAAAAATTCAGCATCAAAATACTTTTTGCATTATTTCTTTTCTTTTTTGACCATTTGGTAAATTGTGTTAAAAAACAGGAGAAGGGGAATCGAGAATGATTTCTTATCAGCTTTAGCAAAACTGAAAACCTTGCAGACACCATGTGAATTATTTTATTATGGTGATCTGGATCGATCCAGATACCAAACAGAACGGATGTTTAAACTTTAGAATTAGAACACTGTGCCATTATCGTAAACTAAACCTACCTTGGTTCTGGTACAGACCAATACCCTGATATTGTATCCTGAACATACCTCGGTTCTAGTGTGGACCAGTACACTGATATTGTATCCTGAACCTACCTCGTTCTAGTACCCTGATATTGTATCCTGAACCTACCTCGTTCTAGTGAGGATATTGCATCCTGAACCTACCTCGTTCTAGTATTCTGATATTGTATCATGAACCTACCTCGTTCTAGTGTGGACCAATAAACTGATATTGTACCCTGAACCTTCCTCGTTCTAGTACCCTGATATTGTACCCTGAACCTACCTCGTTCTAGTACCCTGATATTGTATCCTGAACCTACCTTGGTTATAGTGTAGACCAGTACCCTGATAATGTATCCCATATCAGTACCCTGATTTTGCATCCTGACCCTACCATGGTTCTAGTGTAGATCACTACCCTGATGGTGTATCCTGACCCTACCTTGGTTCTAGTGTAGATCAGTACCCTGATGGTGTATCCTGACCCTACCTTGGTTCTAGTGTAGATCAGTACCCTGATGGTGTATCTTGACCCTACCTTGGTTCTGGTGTAGATCACTACCCTGATGGTGTATCTTGACCCCACCTTGGTTCTGGTGTGGACCAGTTCCTTATATTGTATCCTGACGCTGACCCTACCTTAGTTCTAGTGTGGATCAGCACTCTGATTTTGTATCCTGACGCTGACCCTGCCTTGGTTCTAGTGTGGACCAGTACCCTGATATTGTATCCTGAAAGCTGACCCTACCTTGGTTTTGACTCCTTTGAGTTTTAGGTCTAGTCCCTGTACTCCTATTCTGGTGCCCGGACATAATAAAATATCTGAAAACAAAACTAAATACTGGCAAAATATTAAACTCTTTATTAAAACTGTTTTATAAATAAAAGTGCTAACATCACAAATGCATCACAATTCAAAAGGTTGAGAAATTTTTTAAAAATAAAATAGAAATATGTCATTGGATAACTTTTTCTAGCGATACAGGATCAAATAAAGCAGATTTCGGTATCAGAAGAAACTTGGATCTGATTATTTAGATTATGTATGAAACTGACGCAATAATCTAAGCTACTTGCGTAGTTAGATTGCGTACTGTTTGCACATCCGGTCAAAGTCTGCCTCCTTCAGTGCTACGGAGACAAGGAAGGGATGTTTAGGATCCATATCCTTCAACTGAGACATGTATCGGTTACTCACCTTAATTAAAATATGTATTACTTTGATTAATTAAAACAAAAAATAATTTTAAATAACAAACATCTCGACGTACGGAAGCAAATATATACACAAGACTTCCAATTTACAATAGTATAAATCGTTTACCTCCTGGGGTTTGCCCATGAACTGTGAGTTGACAAGAAGATTGACGAGAATATCTGTATTGTTGGGATCCTCCTGCAAACCATCGTTCAAGGAAGCCTCAGCCTCTACATACTTACCCTGCAATAAAGACTTAAATTTTTGCCGACAAATGTTAATTTTTATTCACATAAGTTGAAGGATAAGGTCGACTTAATGGTACTATCCTTGTAATTTCAATTGACCCTAATCCATTTAAAGAGGGATATGCCTGATTCATTCTCTCTTAAAACTTTTGCCTGATGAATAATGTAGAAAATGTCAAATCTTTCTAGCTGAAAAGGAGTTAAATCTGAACAGTTCCTCCCGTGTCTCTCAAACAGAAATGTGGAACGGTTAGGGAATCAGACATCAACTCAATAAATGGAGCATCACTTTGAATAAAGTCTACAGTAAACTCCCACCCCATAGTCAGAAATTCTTATAGACCCTTTTTTTACAAAAACAGACCCGGACTAAGGATAAAAAGTCCGGGAAAATATATTCTCACCTCTGCAATTGAGCAAGCAGCTGAGCCATTTAAAAGAAGACACGTGTTTCCGTATTTATCCAGAAGATCCTTGTATATATAGTAGGCCTCCTGGATCTTATCTGAACCAAGGTGAAGGTTGGTCCAGGCCTGAATTTAAAAAAGATTAAAATCAAATTAAAAATCAAATGATGTAATTTGGAAAAAAGACTTAACTATTTAGGGTACAGGAAATGAAAGTCATCATCTAAAAGGGAGTGTTCGCGAAAATTGAAAGGGGTTATAGGCTTACGGCGAAAAATAAGCGCTTTAGATCGCCACTAATCTTACTTCTATCTGTTGCGTCTATAAGGAGAAAAATGTTAAAAAAGACTCATGCTAAAGAACGTTTCGAAAAATTGTTTGGTTAACTATTATTATTATTAAACAGAACTTCTGAGGGATTTTTAATCCCCGTATGAAGCAACACCCATCAGTACTTCCCCTCACGATACGTGTACAATCACGCCTGGGGTCGTCTGTTTGTAAACCGCCTAGGGCATGTTCTATTATTGAACCCTGGATGTGAGCGTACCGGGTGTTGGGATTATCGGGAACCTGAGTAATATCTTTAATATCTTTGTTCACAGTAAAGTAAACAAACATTAAATTTTGAAATAGAATTTACATCTCAGATTATTGCGGAGCCAATATTCAAAAACGGAGAACAAAATGATGCCCCCATCATTAGAGCTGTCATTATTTGGTTTATGCATGGTGGAAGGTTTCACTTAAATCACAAATATGGAATACATCTTTTTAAAAGAAACAGACTCAGCTAATCAAACATTTATAGATGAATCCAAAACAATGGATTACCTGAGCAAGCTGGGTGATTGTTGCATCCTCATCCTTCTCAACCAAGTTCTTCATCTCCTTCCTCGCAAGGTCGGGGCGGTTCATCGACAACAACGCCTTCATAAATCAGAAAAATACCATTAAAAAGACTGCTTTGCATTCTTCATAGAATTGGCACTTTTAACCCCTATATATTATTATTTAGTCAAACTGTCAGGTTTTTATCAACTTCTTTTCCCACCAGTTACTCAACAAGAAAAAAGAACATCCTCTGCGCCCAGCGGATAATCAGTGGAATGAAGGATTTAAATAAAAAGAAATAGCAACGTGCAACTAGTTTTCTCCCTCTTTTTGATAATTGAACCCAATATTTCATTTATTTTCATCACGCAAAGATTCATTACATGATGGTTGAACAATTATTTTAGATTTATAACGGGGATTGTAGAGTTCTGAACTAACCTGAACTTTCAAAGCTAGGCATTCAATATGCTCGCTAGAGTGAAGAATCTTCAGAGCTGACTCCGGTTGACCAGCATGTAAATATATAGTTCCAGCCACTAGGAGTAGGACGTAATTGTTTACGTCTAGATTCCCAGACATCTAGATAAATATATATATATAGATCCAGCCATTAGGAGTAGGACGTAATTGTTTGCGCCTAGATTCCCAGACATCTAGATAAATATATATATATATAGATCCAGCCATTAGGAGTAGGACGTAATTGTTTACGTCTAGATTCCCAGACATCTAGATAATGCATCCTGAACCTACCTCGTTCTAGTATTCTGATATTGTATCATGAACCTACCTCGTTCTAGTGTGGACCATCTTTGTGGGTAACCCTGTATATTCGAACCAATAAACTTATAATTCAAAACACAAGACCAATTATTCATATTTTCTTTAATTTTCGAATCCTCATAAGAGTTCCAGGCACCGGGAGTAGGACTGGAATAATAAGACGACTGTAAGACTCAAATTATGATTTTGAATAGGTCAATGAACTTGAAAAACAGTGATAGTGCAGACAGACCCATTTCATTGGGATAAGTTGATTTTAAGCTACTACTCGTAGAACTATTTCCTTTTTAATTTAGTTTCAGAAATAATGCGGCAGATTCCCACCGTGGAATCCCCAGACTACATATAATACACATAGGATTGCTTGATGGTCGCTTTTATTATACATAATTTTATGGGTCTACCTGCATGTAATTGTAAATGAAAAAAGATTTGTTTATGTCTCAACTCTCAAGGGACTGTAAGCGTAATTCCATGTAATAATCCATGCAAAGATTGCAGTGCCCGATTCACAACGACACCCTTTAAAGCGTTGTCTGATCAAGTATGATTTAAATATCAATGTCTATAATTTACGAAAATTAATATTTTCATTTCTGGATTCTCTACAGTAACTTGCGCATTTCTACTGCAGGATAACATATAATAATTCTTTGAATCAAACACTTTCAACCCAAGAAAAAAAAAACATTTCTTCCACATTATTGATCAAACAAAGCTTGTTAGGGTACCGTTGTGAGTATGGCATTGCCATCTTTGCATGGAGGGTCACTACGTAAAACTACGTTTACAGTTTATTGGCTTTAACTGGAAACATTTCGAAAAATGATCTGACGCGGAATTTCTTCTACATACTATTTGAAACAATACAGTTTTATAAATCAAGATTTGTGCTAAATCTAATTTCCAGATCATTAATTTAAAGTTAGAACTAATTTGCCTGTTAAATGATTTGGATTAATTTTACAGATCTATAATTGCGTAGAATAAAGTAACAACTGTTTATGTGTGTTAACTGTAAATAATACTTTACTATTGTGCGTAGATAAATCTATTATCCCAGTTCGCCATACTTTTCTTTATTACCCCCCCCCCCCCCACGAAAAGAACTTTCAACGTGTCGCGGACTCGCGGGGGGATTTTCTGTCTTTCTAGCGTTACTACCAACAATATTTTACCATAAATAGTTCTTTATCAGCATGAAAACTGAAAATACCGCTGGCAAATCTGAATACCGTCCGAATGTAGATATTAGATCTTCTACAAAGATTATGATTTTTTTTACAAATGTGACTAGAATGCTTGAAATCTATTAACATGAAAGCATTACTTTGGACTTTTTTTTTTAGAAACGCAGTACTTAAAATGGTTATGTATCATATTATAACAGAACTTAAAATATTCTTGTAATATCTAAATAGACAAATATCCAAATTGTTGTTTGTAACTCATCTTTTAAGTTGGTTATATTTTTAGTACAAGAGGCTAAGAGTAGAGAAGATTAATATTTTTACCATGTTATCAAGATCTACCACCATACTCTCTCTCCTCTCCGGGTTAGCCAGGAAAGTTGCCAGGGTCTTCAAGGGTTGGATCAGGTCAGGAGAGGACGAAGAGATTTCGTCCAGGACGACCCTGTACTTCTTCAGGGCTATGTATGAACGGTACATGAAGATATCCTTCTCTACCGCTAGGCTGGAATCTTGCAGCTAAAAAACAAGAAATTAATCAAATTTTTCTGACATTTTTAAAATCTATTTTTTTATTGGTTTTCAAAATCTAAACCGAAGTTATCACGTTTGGTGATGGAAGTATCTCAGTAAAATTATTTATAATTTGTGAATTTAATAATTAGAACGGATATCCAAAATCTAAACCCCGAAATTAAAGCAGTGAGATACCTATGCTTTAGTCCTATCAATAGGAACGATTAATCGGGATAAAGTTCCATCAATAGAACGAATATCCAGATAAAGTAACATGTATTAGAACGGATATTAAAGATAAAGTTCCAATGAGAAAAACTTATAACCGAGAAACAATCCCATTACTTGGAACTAATATCTGAGATATATTTCCCATTAATTAGATCGTATTTTCATGTTATAATCCCATTTTAGAACGGATTTCCGAGATACAGTCCCATTACTTGGAACGGATATCTGAGATAATGTCCCATTAATTAGAACGGATATCCGAGATATAGTCCCACAATTAGAACGAATATCCGAGATATATTCCCATTAATGCAAAAGATATCTAAGATATACAGTCTAGGGATGTTACCTAGAATGTTCATTAAAATATTTAGTCAAATATATATCTATCTTTCTATCTACCTTATGCTTCTGACATTCGTTAACACAAACTTGGTAGTTTCCTGTAAAGAATGAGTTCTTTATGTCAATTAGTTCATCTCCAGTCTCCATGTTTACAACCATTCTTTTCTGAAATGAATCTTATTTATAAATGTACACAATAATCATAAAGATACAACTGCAGCAGATCAGACAAGTTGAAGAGAAAAAATAACAACGGATTAGTCCGTAACATCCGACCAGTTCATACTACACAGTGCCCAAGATTGTTCTTAGTTCTTTTTCCGTCCTGGGCGGTCAAACACCTGCCTCATACCCGCTGCGTGCTGCTGTTGAAACTTGATATTGGTTGCAGTCTCCTGGGTCCAGGACGCGTCAAAATCTGTTGTATCTTGATCCACCAGGTGAGTATATTTGGTTCGTCCTGACCTACCGAAGTTCTTGACCTGCATGACCTTGGGCAGGACGCTCTTATTGAATCTATCCTCCAGGGTCGGAGCCGTGAAATCTCTCTTGAGAACGTTCTCCTCATCCGCGAGATAGAAAACTCCTCTGTGATAATATTTCTGCAGGAATTTGTACTTTCCTTTTGCGGATTTATTTGTGATTTGTTTAGGATTCATTCTCAGTTCCATTCTTCTCTCATCTTCGGTGAGATTTCGGAGGCGTTCAACCTCGGCGGCCTCCCGAGCTATCTGTTCAGCCTCGTCTCTGTCTCTCTTTAACCTTTTCAGTTCACGAACCTTCCAGGCTTCGTATTCAATTTCATCGTTCTCATCATCTGTATTAACCTCCTCTAATCCCAAACCTTCATCCCCAGTCAATCTATCCGCCATTGTAGCTTTCCGAACCTCATCCTCAACCATTCTCAGGGTTTGTCTCCTACGCTCCTCGGCAGCCCTTAGAGCCTCCTTTTCTAGCTGACGAGCCCTAGCTTCCTCCCTCTCCCTTTCTTGGATCGTCAAACGATCCTTTGACCTGAATAAAAAAGGTATTGCTAAATATTACAAAAATAAATTAATTCTACTTTGATAAAAAAACGTTTATTGTTGTTTACTTGGGTTTATAAGCATATCAGGTCCTACAACAAAACATGATTTTCTATTCTAAATGTATAAAAAGCTAGGAAAAGGTAAAAAAAGATAAATTCTGGTTTAACCTGACAAATACGGGTTTAAGTCTGGCCCCCTCCTCCTCCTCTGAATCAGTTTCCTCCTCACTTGTTTCCTCTTCATCACTCTCTCCACCAGACTTCTCCTCTTCCTTCGTCATCACCTCCTCTGGAGCATCTCCAGCCTGTGCTTTATAAAGCGCGCGCTGTCTCATCAGCTCACGTCGACGTGCAATGGCGTCTTCGTCAAGATCCTCATCGCTGGAGTCAGAATCGTCGGACTCATCCTCATCCTCATCACTTTCCTCCTCCTGCTTCTCAACCTTAACCTTCTTCTCGTCCTCCTCATCCTCTACAACCTTAAAACAAAAAAGTTACGCCTTTACTCAACAAAAATTAATTCTATAAGATAAAGATTTTTCAAAATATTTATAATCAAAATCTTAATTGCAGGGAATAATAAAACTTCACTCTTATCCTAAAATAGTTTAACCCGTCATGACACATAAAGTACGATGCTTCTATTTTGGACCAATTTTTGTGTGAATAGGCGTAGAACGTTGAAATGCATGTCAGATAAGAGGGGGGTGATAATCAGGGGCGTATTCAGGGGGGGGG